TTGAATTAAGGAGAAGAGATAGATGAGACAAAGAAAATGGAATCAGAAAGATTGGAAAATTTGTTATAAGAAAATTTTAAGAATTTATTAAGAAGACTTTAACATTGTCCAAAAGATTATGAAATTATAAAAGGAATGAAAACAAATATAAATGCAGAAATGAGTGATTTATTACATTGTGTAAAATGTATAAAAATAGTTATGTTGAAAAAGTTAAGTACGGCATAAGAAGAATAAAATAGTCATGTTAAATAATTAGAAGATTTAAAATCAAAAGTAATAATAATTTTAAAAATTATAGATTGCAGGATAAGAAAAGACAAAGAGTCAATTAGAATAAGAATTATAAAAAATTAGATAGGAGAGAACAGCAAATATGAATAAAATGAAGGAAGAAATAGAAAAATTAAAATAAGCAATTGCAGAAGTTAAAGCCAATAAATAGAAGAGATAAGATTAATTAGCAAAAGAAATATAAACTAAATATGAAGCATTAGAAAAAGATCATAAAACTAAAGAAGATAAATTATCTGCTGAACTTTAGGCTTAGAGAGCTCGCTTTATTAAAATGAAAGATGAAAATACTTAAGAAGAAGCAACTTTAAAGAGACGTAAATAAGTTTAAGATTAATCTTTGTCTGAAGCAATTTAATTATATGATTAAATGATGGAAGAATTAATGAAAAATTTAACTGATTTATAAAATGAATGTGCATCTACTGAAAAATAATTGAAAGACCGATAAGAATATTTCAAAGCAGTTGATTCAGAAAAAGGAAGAGAAAGATAATTAGAAGAAGAATTCAGAAGATAAAAAGAATTACACTAAATAGAATTAGAAAAAAAATCAGAGGCAGCTAAACATATTTAAGCTTTTTTATAATAAGTTAAAAGTATATATTAAATATATATCTATAGAACCATCAAAAAAACCAAAGAAGGCAGCTAAAAAATGAAGATTAAATTTATTCATTAAATTATTTCATAATAAACTAATTTTTCATTTATTCCAATCCTTTTTCTAAAAACATTAAAAACTTTTGCAACAAAAATGCTGTTTAAGTAAATGGGATTTCTTTTGGTTTATAAACAATTTTATTAATACATAGTTTATTTTAAAATCCTTTTTCCATTTATATTTTAAATATTAAAAGGTTGTTATCTTTACTAAAAATATTAAAAGAATAGATGAATGATTAAATAAATTAATAATAACAGATAATACAGATAATGATATCAAATTCTAAGTTTTTGTTCATATAACTATCTATTTTATTGAAGCTTATTAAGTCTTTCTCTCACTTCACTCAAACTATCATTTTTTATTAATGAATTCTCTTTTGAAAATTCTAGTTTTTTTTTGGGACTTGGTGTGTCTTACTCAAAATTTTCAGAAGATTTTAAAATCTTTTTCATATATTTTGCATGTTTATGAGCTGATTCTAATAATTCCTAAATTGTTTTTCCATTAGGACTATCTTGTTTTTATTTTTTAGGAATATTCAAATTTTATTATGATAATTGATTTTAACATTAGGAAGTTTTCATTTAAGAAGATAAACTTTATCGACTTTCTTTAAGACTAGTACCTAGATTTCCTAATTGAGACTTTAATTTTAATATATCTTAATCCTTTTCTCTAAGTTTGCTCTATAATTAATTATTTAATTCAGTCAATTCTTTATTTAATCCAATAATAGTTTATATTTCTAAGACTTGAGGTTTTTATAAATCTGAATAAATACTAGTACGTAATAAACTCAACTCTTGCATTAATTTAGCATTCTAAGTTTATAAAGATTCAATTCTATGATTAGCAATAGTTAAACCTTCAGATAATTTTTAATGTTGTTATAAAGAATTACTAGTTTATGATGCTAATGTTTTATTTTAAGATTATAAATTTCCAATTTCAAATTCATATTACTAAACTAAGACTGATCTTTATTAAAAGGATTCTTTTTCTTTACTATATTATTCTACTAATTATTCATTAACTTATTATTCATAATTTAATTGTTCAGTTAATTCACTTAATTAATTTTTAAATTAATTAAGTTAAGAAGTCTCATCATCTTAATATTATTTAAGTGAATCTTTAAAATTTTATAATTAATTAGTAAGTCCATCAATTTCTTCATTTTTGATTTTAAGTTAATTTTCTAAATTATCAATTAAATCTTCATATTTTTCTAATTTTGATATAGCATCCTTTTAAAATGTTTAATGTCTTAAACATTATTATTTAAGATCTTTAATTTAACTTTCTTAATTAGCCATAGTATTAGTATAAGTTTCAACTTAAGTTTGTAAAGTACAAATGTCTTCACTTTTAACATCTAATAGTTTTCTTAAATCAATATTGCATAATTCTAATTCAACAAATTTGGACTTTAATTCTCTATTAATTTTTTCTAAAGCATTTCTTTCTTCACTTTCAATTTGTAAAGTCTTTGCTAAATATTCTTTTTCTGTAGTAACAGGTTAAGGTGGTTTAGATATAGCAATAGCATAATTAATTCCAACACCAAAATGTTATATGTTTTTAATAACTTTAACTGCTTCTGTTCTAGTTTATGTATCACCTACTCCTAATTCTCCATTAACATTGCTTCCCCATGAATATAATTAACCTTATGTATCAATTCCTAATCCAAGAGTTCCATTAATTTTTACATCAACAATATCCTATAAAAATAATGTGGGTTTAGAAAATGTTCCAAAACACCCTGATCCCCATATATATAAATTACCACCACTTATTGCAGCTGAATGATTTCCAGCTGCAATTTAATCTACTTTTGGAATATCAATTAATTGAGGTTTAAAAGAATTCTTAATTCCTTAAATACCTAATTATCCTAAATTATTAGATCCACAAGCTAATAATTATTAATTTATTTTTATTAAAGAATGTGATACTCCACATGCTACTGTCAATACATTATCCATTACATGAGTAACCTCATTTATTCTCTTTATATTTTAAATACCACATTATCCTGAATCATTTGCTCCTATTGCATACAATTAATTTTTATTATTTATCATCATTGTATGTCTAGCACCGCATTTTATAAATCTTATTGATTATCCTATTTATTTTGGTAATGTTAAATCGTTCACTACCTTTCCCCAAACAAAAGCATTATTATTTATATTCAAAGATATGTTATGATTCCATCCACAATCCATATCAATTATATTTGATTATATCAATTAAGGTGTCAATGATCTCTCTGAATAATCATCACTTCCTATTCCTAATACACCATAATTATTTGTTCCTAATGCATATAATTAATTAGTATTAGAAAGAAATAGCATATGCTCTTCTCCGCAACAAACTTTAGTTATTTAGAAATTTATTGTTATTTGTTTAGGAGTAGTTGATTCCTCTTAAGATGGTGTTGTTCCCCAAATATAAACTGACATTTTAATCGTTAAATTCAAAATTATTTAATATTAATTCTTAACTTACTAATTCATTCGCTATTATATTCAAGTTTTCTAAAAATTCTTTTTTTTATGTTCTTAAACTTTTATAAATTTTTCTCTCATAAATTACCAATAAATCTTTTAATCTCAAATATTTGATCCGAAATAATTAAATTAAAAAATAATCCAAAATTTTGTGAATAATCATTACTTTTATTATTTAATCCTCTATAATCCTAGCTTCATCCATTAAAATTTTTCTTACTCTCATTTTTCACTAAAACTCTTCTGTACTCTAAAAATTACTTTTCCCAATTTACAAATATTAAATAAAGTATATATAACTTTCATTTTCATAATTATAAGTTATTGAGTACTTTACTATCATTTCTGTTAAAATATCACTATTATATACTAGAGTAAAAATGGATTGGCTTTTTTTTTCTATTTTTGAATACCCATTTCAATAATAATATCTTTAATTTAGTTTTTACTTCTAATAGAATTTATTTGATCTTTTAAAATGTTTTTCTTTTTCACTAAATTCTTTTTAAAATAACTTTTGAAAACTGAAATCAATTTTTTACGATAAATTTTTTATTTTTTAAAGAAGATTAAAATTAAATTAGAAATCTTTGATAATTTATTCATTAAGTTGCTATCTCAATGAATATTCTTTACTCTTATCTTATTTATAAATTATTATGGTTGCTATTAATCATAAATTTTATAAGTCTGAAATAAGGTATTTTAATTTTAATAGATTAAATTTGTATTTATGATGGTAATCTTTTTAAAAAACAGTGTTATTTATAGAAAAAGTATAAATAAAAATAATAATTTATATATTTTAATAGTAAATTAACTAAATCTCATCTAATATACTGATTTTCATCTTTAGCGTAACTTTACTACATTTTTGATTGATTCATTCTAGATTATTACATAATTGCTAAAATAAAATGAGAATAGCATACATTAAGTTTTACATGATTTATCTAATCTAGTAATTTCTTAAACTTATTAACTTTCTAGTTCTTTTCTTACATTTTAATATTTTTATAATAATCTAAGATATAGATATAATTTACTTTTCTAATTCTTAAGATCTAATTTTCCTTTATTCTTCTTATCCACTTAAAATTCTTTAAGTAAGAGCATTCAATTCATTAATTTATTTTTATCTAAGTTAAGTAATTAAATTTCTAATTTTTTATTATCTTCCTTAAGTCCATTTTTCTAATTCATCTCTCTCTTAAGCTAATATTTTTTATTGAATTAAATGAGCTTCCATATAACTATAAATAAATATAAATATCTATACTTTTCCTATTTGGCTAATTATTCTTCAGTCTTTCTTAAAGCTAGCAATTCTGCTGAATCTTTTGGTTTAACAGGAATAGAGTTTTCAAGTTCTTCTGAAAATTATCTTAATTCATCCTCATGTCTTTAAAGAGTTTGTTCCTTAACTTTTTAAGCTTCTTAATCAAACTCAATCATTTTTTAATCCCAAAATGTATTAAACTAATTGAATTCGTCTAGATGAGCTTTTTCAATTTCTTATTTTTCAGAACAATGTCTATCTTTAACATCACCTTTATTTTTAGAATCAAGTTCTTTTTTAAGTTCAGCTAATCTTTTTTTAGCTAAATCAGCTTCTAGATACTTTCCAGCTTTTTCACAACTCTTTTAATGATCATATAAGATTTAACTAAGAGTAAAATGTTATAAATTACATATATTCTTCTAAGTCTCCCTATTATGCTGGTAAACTATTAGTATTCTTTCTTGATGAAGTTGGTCTTTAAAATGAGCTCATTATAACAGAAAACAAATATTGTTAAAATTTTAATTATTAACGTTAAAAATATAAATTTTTGCTTATAATTTCTATATTTTAATATAAATTAAATATTTCTTTTATCATTCTTCACTTTAATCAAAATGATAAATTATAGATCATTATCTTTTTTAATTATAGTTATACTAACACTTAATTTTAATCCATTTCAAATACTCTACTTAATGTTTTCTATAAACCATCCAACAAAAATATTTATATTTCTCTTAAATATCTCAATAACTCTGATATTATTTATACTAAATTACATTTCATGCATTCATTTCTACTCAATATAAAATAATTAAATAAAAAATTAATATAATTTATCATTTTGATATTTATAATTGTCAATAAATCAAATCTTTATATAATTTTTTATAGAAATTATTGAATCCAATCAGTGTATGATACTTCTAATTAATCCTCCTATTTAAGAGTGTAAAAAGACATCTAAAAGAACTATTTTATGATAAAATGATGCAATTTAAAAATATTATCATAATTTATCACTTGATTGATTTTATTATAAATCTAAAAATTTTACTGTTACTTTTAGACTGGAATTCCAAAAGATAAATAATTCTTAATTTAAGATTTTAAATTCTTATTGACAATTTCATTACTAATTTAATTATTACAATTAAAAAATAAAATATATACAATTAAATATGTATACGGCTTCTAAATAGAAATTTATTAAATTTTCGGCTGTGTTAGAATAGTGGATAAAAACTACGTATTTGTTAAACTAGCAATAAAAATGCCCTGATGTGGTGTAATATTTAGTTTTCAGTCTAGCATTATTTTAACCTTATTATTTCAGAAAATAAATTGAAGTCAATGAAAACATTATTTATAAGATTTTGGAAATATTTGTAAGACCAGACATCATTATAATCCAAAATGGATATTTTGATGGAGAATTTTACATCATTTTATTGATAATTTCAATTATTCAAAAAATTATATTCATTCTTATTTGCTTGCTCAACTCTTTTTATGAAACATACTTTATAAAAGTCTTATAAAAGGATTTAATATAGTATATACTTTAAATAATGGCTTATTACTAATGTTTTTTGGGAATATATTTTATTTTACCCATAACCAGGATTTTTGTATATAGTTTTTATTAATCAATACAGGAAATCAATTTAGGTATTAACTCATCAATATCAAAATCTTTTCTTTGTATGTTAGGATTTGTAATATACACAATTGACACAATATATTTAATGAAAATAGATCATCACCCCACTTCTTTCAAAACACTTAAATGCAAATAATTTTAGATTTCTAATTATGATTATTATATCCTCAAAATAAGACTACTTTAAGTCATTATTGCAGATTAGATTGAATCTGTTTACTTACAATAAATCTAATAAATTATTATAATACTCTTATCTTTACTGTAAGTTATCAATTAAATAAGAAATTGTGGTTTTATATATGAAACACAAAAACAAATATTCTTAATTTGTTAAGCATTTTTATTTATGACAGGAGTTTATAATATATTAATTTACAGTGATGTAAATGATTAGGATGTTTAATTAATGTTTTTTATAACTATTCCAACAATTATATATATCTTATTTAGATTTTAGGAGTAACAAGATAATGAGCATTTTATAGCTCTTTTCTTACATAAAAGTAAAGATTCTTAATAAATGTTAAATTTGAATATTAATTAAATTCTTTATTAACTAGTGAGAATATTAAATAATTGTGATTGTGTTTCGAATAATAAGATTTTCAAATAATCATTGATATACTATCAACATAAAAGTAAGTGCAAGAAAGCTTCTTGTGTTTGTGAGTTTGACTATAATATAACAGAGAGTACATAAATTAATGCTACAACAAGCTTAATGATAAATAATTTTATGAAATCTTAATATAAACAATTAATCAAGAAGCTCTTTTTAACTAAAATGAAAAATTCAGTGAAATAAGATTTACTAATCTCAACAGCTATTCTTCTTCATGACTTTAATCAAATGATGATTTCTTTGTAAATTCTTAGTTAATTGAAAAAATCAAAAGACAATAAGATTTTTAATGTATCATTTCTATATAATTTTATGAAGTATTTTATTTATTTAATTTAGTTAGAAAGATAATAAGGAAAATGAATAAACAAAGATTAGAATAATGTTATCAATTATAGAATAGGTTTAAATAAACTTAGTTTTATAGTAATCAAGAATCAAATTTGAAGCAAATTTAGGAACATCACTTAGAGCAGCAAATCAAACTTTAGTAAGACAATATTTAAATGAATTTTTGATTAGTTAAACAAATTAATAAGATTTAATTATTGGAATGAAAGAATGTGTAAAATTAAAAATTTAATTTTATGAAATTTTAGATTCAGATTCTGGATTTACTTTTACTTAACTATTTAAAAAGCTCAAAGAAACTTCAAAATATTTGTTAAAAATTGAAAAATAATTTTATCAATTGTTTAATATAGCTCCAGATTTGTCTCTACAAAAATCATTCTGTTATTTTGAGTCATAAATTATGAATAACTTGCTTGCAGCATTTAAGGTTAAATAATCAGAATTAAATTTAAAAGAAAATTAAATAAAGTATAGAGGTATTAAAGATTTAAACCATTCTGCTGATGTTAATTCATATATCTTATTATCGGTAGATGAAAATTTTAGAACCTTTAGCATCATTTAAACATCCCAAAATTTTTTTAAATTATTTGGAATGTAATTTGATCTATCAACATATAATTTTAGTGATATAATTCCTTAGTTTTATGCAAAGTATCATGAAAATTCAGTGTAAAATTTTTTTCATACAGGTTAAAATAAGTTTTACAGAAATTTTAATTATACATTTATCAAAAGTCATAATGGATTGCTAAAATAAGTGAGCTTATGTATAGATAATACATAAATTTTTAAAATTGATAAGTTTATATTTGTTGGTCTTCTTCAAAGTGTAAATACAGAACTTCCTATTTTAGTTGTTGATGCATAAACATAAATAGTATCTTTTACTAGTAAAATTCTGTAAGCATTTGGAATAAACGAATTTTATCAAAAATAATTAATTGAGGATGGTGTATTGCATTAAATAGGAATATTAACAATAATTCCTTATTTTAATATGTTATTAAAAAATGAAATCAATACTGATATTGCAAATACGTTTTGTTTCTTTCTTAAACCTTAATATAGTTCAGAAACAATTTTAACATAATCAAGTGTAAAAAAGGATTCCAACTTCTTTATTTGGAAAAATAGAGATAATATAAATTGTTTTAGTATTGAAATTAAAATTGAAAAAATAAATCTTTAATTAGCTAGTTATTTTTAATTAGAATTTATATCAATGAAATAAATTTTGAATAATGATGAGAGGAAGAAAGTTCTTGAATTTTATAAGCCTTGTTTAGGAGATACCTCAATTAGTAAGGGATCAAAATGGAAAGGAAAGCATTTAAAAATAATGAGTATATTGTCATTTAGGTAAGAGAGAAAAAAAAATACTTTGAAATAATAAGATTCTAATTTGAAATAAAGTATATTAATAAATTCCAACAAAGGATAAACTAAAAATTTGAATCAATCATCTATTATACAATAAAATTAAAGTTTATCTAATTTATTAAGTAGTAAAACGAGAAATGAATAAGAATTTTTTAAATCTTTTAATAAATCATTTGTTGAAAGTGATATTTAAAATAGTTAAGTCGAAAAAGAAGAGCATTCGCCAGATAAAAAAAAAAATAAAGAACAAAATAATACAAGATTAAATTAGTAAGTAGAAAGAATAGGATAATAATCCTCAAGTGTTGCAGGCTTTTATAGACCATTTTATTACAATAGATATTATTTATTAGAAAAAATGAGCGAAAAAAAGAATCCTAAAAAAATCGATTCTTTTCTATTTTTTTTTATAGGACAGAGTTTAATATTTTTTATATTTTCTTCTCTTGTTATGATTAATATGACTACTGATATGATTTTTATTATAGATAATATTGAAATGGCATCATTGCATGCTAGTATAATGGGACCACATGATTTATTTTTTTCAATGAGAGTCACTGTATCATCTTATTAATAAATGTATAGAGAGGGATTCTTAAGTGAAAATTAAGTAATTTAATTAACAGATCCTTATTATATCAATATAAGATCAGGCTATTTAGAATTGAAAGAGAGTTTCTATAAATAATTAAGAAATGTGTATTTGTAAGAATTTTTTTCAGATATTGAATTAAATCTAAGATTTATGGAAGAAAATGAAAAATAATTGTATAATATGACTACAAGTTTTAGAGAATCTTTATTGACTATTTTATAATATTAGTATGATCATATGAGAACAATTGAATAAAGATAAAGCACATCAGGTAAACCTTGTTAAATTTTCTTAATGGCTAATTATTTTGTTTTACATGACAAAGTTGAAATGATTACACAAGAAATATAAAGATGGTTAATAGAAACTAAAGATGCAACTGATAATAAAGGCTAGATTTTTTGGATTATACTATAAGTATTATTGATAGTTTTTGGGTTAATTGGATTATTTAATTTTAATTTGTACATAAAATATTATGATTAGTTTTTACTAATTTTTAATGAATTTAATAAAAAATAAATCTATGAATAATTAAATAGATACGATTTTATATACTAATAGTTATAATAAAATTAAGATGAAATTTTAAAATATAATTTTGATGTAGAATTAAATGAGTAAGAAAAATCTTAATCTTAATATGGAAGGGGTAAAACACATCATTTTAAACTCTTGAATAGAAATAGATAATAATTATCAAGGTTTTACGTTTACTCAATCATAATTTTTATTACCCTTGTTTATTTAATATACACAAGTGTAATTTATTATAAACAAGCGACTTTTTTAACTAAATATAATGATACTGTATTATTGTATAAAATGATTTAAGATCTTAAACTAAAAAGTGGAAGTATTTATTTATTTAAAGAAATCAGTCTTCGATGGAATAATTTTACTTTTTTAACTTAAAATGAAAGAGATATCTTATATGAATACATTGATTAATCACATAAGATAATGAGTCAATATATTCTACTTTCTTCAACTTTTGATTCATCATAATATTTAGTTGGAAATAGGTTTACTGAAAAATTTGTAGATATTTAAAAAAATATTATTTGTATAGAAATTCTAGATGTAAAATTATATTTTATTTTCAGTAATTGGAAGAATTTATGCAATTTTATTGTGATAAATCATTTGAAGGTACCCTCTTGAAAGGGCTAATATAAAGTTTAAATTATATTTCGAACTCAATAAAAGTTTAATAATAGATTAATAACTTTACTAAAAGAATAGAAATTTAACTGTATGAATAAGAAGGATCACAAATAATTACTAGATCATTTTTTGGTTTATCTAACTTATTTTTAGAAAGTGTGAAAGACACTTGCAATGAATTAAATAATTTTTTGATTGTAAGAATATTATTTAATATTAGTATTTCTCTCTAACTTATTTGATAATATCTGCTTTTCTAATTATTTTCATCAAGTAAATATATAGATAATATTTAATAAATGAATACCATGAAATAAGATAATCATTATATTTGATACCAAAAGAATCAATACTATATGATGAATCTTTAGAAAGATATCTCAGAGAAATAGCACTTTATTAAGGTTTAATTTGATTTATAGACATAAATATATTAAATAATTAATCAATATTCAAACAATAAAATAAAAAATGTTGTAAAAATAATTGGGTTAAAATTCGTCTTTATATGACCTATGGGTCATGACTGCAATTTTTGTGAGAGGATAATTTGTTTGTTCATAAGCCATCGAAATTTGTTTACTGATAATTAACTCGCTTTAAACCTTAATTATGGCAATTCATCCAACATTTACACTAATTAAAGACTTTCAAGTAAATTCCTCTCCAGATCTAATATACACCTTTATTATTAGAACAGAGATTTATATTCTAATTAATTATAATTTATAGGAAGAACTAATTTATTTATTTATTTTGGCAGTGGTGTTCATCAGTAAAATTGGGTTTATTATTTTAATGTTTATGATAAAAAATAATTATCACTCTGATAAATTTGTGTAATAAATTTAGCATTATATACCTTTACAAATTTTTGTGAGAATTCAAAGTTATTATTAACAATTACTTTGTCCAGTATTTATTATTCCATTTAACACTATCATATTATTGTCTATTAAAAAAAGTTTTTATTTGATCGAATTAAATTAACCCATATAATATGTGAATTTAGCATTTGCAATTATTACATTCATAATTTTACAAATAGATTAAATATTGATTTGTTCCATTAATAAACAACCAATTACATTTAAAATGAAACCTATGGACAGATTAAAAGTTACAGAATCCCATTTTATTATTTATATTTTTTCTACTATCTCCGTCATATTGTTTACTTTAATGTAAGATAATTAATCAATTAGAATTATTTAATACATTTTGATTTTTGTAATATAAGTAGTTTCCATCAGAAATTAATTTAAAAATTCAATTTATATTTATAGATATCAAGAAATTATACTTTATTCGGGTTGTCTCTTTTAATTACTTTACTGCATACTTTAATTTATTGATAATTTTAATCAAACCATTAATTAAACATTCCTATTACTTGTAATAACTCCACTTATGTTAGTATACATTCTTTCAAATATTAATCGTAGAAAGACTTAAGATTTTCTACTATTTTTTAAATCATCAAATACACCTGATATATAAATTATAATGAATACATTAGTCAATATACTTAATAAATGTGACATTAATGAAAATTATGTTGCAATAAGATCTTCTTTAATCAACTACTATCATTCCAAATAATGTCTATAAAAACAATGTTCTTGTTCAACTACTTTCTATATAGCAGAACCAAGATAAGCAAATGCTATAACAGGACAAATATTTAGAAGTTTTATTTATGAAAAAATATCTCAAATTAAAAAGGCTATTTATAAGAAAAATTCAAAATTTTATTGTAATTAAGAATTACTTGTTTAATATGCTATATTTCTAAATGATTTTGGTTGGACTATGTTAGCTGCTAAAGCTTTCAATAAAATATTAATAAATGATACTATCAATCCGTCTAATAATAAAAATTTAAATCTTGAATTTGATAAAACTTCTATTCAAAAAATTAAAAAAGAACTAACCATAAAATCTACAACTTTATAATATAAGAAGTTTAAATCATTAGACTCAGAAAAAGAGAAATAAAATGCTAACGAAATGAAATTATATTTTAAAATTAGTTTAGGAATTATTGATAGAGCAAGAACTATTCAATTATTTAATTAAACTAAATGGAATCTCAAAGCTTCATTTGGTTCATCATTATAAGCAGCCTAATAAACATAAATCTCAGACTCTATAAATCAATATTTACATTATGAATTTATTATTTAAAAAATTAAAGAAATCATTGTTGATTTAATAAATTAAAAAGTTTCCATTTTCTAAGAATTAATTAAGGAACAATAATAATTTGATTTTAAAAAAACTCTTAAAAAAACTAATGAACTTTGCAGCAATCTCTATATAACCGAGAATTTCATTAAAGCTTAATTTAATAAATTCCCAAGTATTAGATTATAGAAGGCATTAACTTTCTTTTTGGCAGAATTGTACAGTAATTTTATTGAGGCTAATAAAGTCTATAATCAATCTATTAATGTAGATTTAAAATTTATTTAAAATAATCATTCTGCATTAAATTTAACGCAATAGTAGAGTGCATATGTAATATTATCTCTAAATGAAGATTTAAAACATTTAGAAGTTCAAACTATCTCAAATTAAATGCTTAATTTGATAGGAAAACCAAAATAAGTAAATACATGTTTTCCAGAAATATTACCACTATTCTTTTATTAATATCATCCATTGATGGTTAATAATTTTTTATCAACAGGTAAATCTCGGTATTATAGAAACTTTAGTGCTAATTTTGTCAATGTTCATGATTGCTTAGTAAAAGGAATATAATTATGTTATGATACAACATCAATATTTCATCATTCATAATTAGTTTTTGTTGCATTTATATAAGAATTAATTTATGAAAAATGCTACATCATAGTAGATGGCTTTGATAAAAGCTTTGTTAGTTTATCTTTAAACTTTTTATAGAAAATAGGTTACGATGACAATTTAATTATTAAAATGGCGAAACATAAATATTTGAATGATATATCGATTTATAATATATTTCCATCATTTGATTTTGCTTTACAAAAATAACAACAAGATAATAGACTTTTGATTGAAAAACTATTTTTTTTTGATTATTTAAAAGTAAGAAAATCTACAGTTGTAGAAAATAAAGAAAAAAGAATGTCGAACTTGAATCCAAATATTTGGAAATAAAAAGAAAAAGTGTTATCTTTTATAGCTAAACTTAATATCATTGAAAGAAATCATTAGGATTTTTCATATTTTATAATAGAAATTCAAGATATATAATAATTAAGTGGCTAGAATAATATATTTTTAGAAGAAGCATATGAATAAGAATCATTAATATCGGGAACATCAAATATTAGTAATAGCTAAAGTTGTGTAATTAGTTAAATTGATGAGGACCATCCAAATTAAATATATATTCAAGACTTAAATAATTAGGGAACATTATTTTCACCATTAACAACGTTTTTTAATATTCCTGGTGATTAAAGTTCTCGTTAAACACAAATGTTAATTAAAGAGACTACTCCAAATAATGCGGTTGAGAATTTAGTAAATTAAAAGGAAATCAATAAATCTTCTTTATAAATAAAACAGTAGTAATAAGCTTTTTACAATAGCAACTTATCTCATTTAGTTTCTTATTAGGATAGATCATCAATCCGATCAAATTAGAAAGATGACCATCATTAAGAATAAATATAATAATAATAATAAGAATTATAGTATGCCTAATCTCAATCATCTGTGGCTAGCATAAATTTATCAGTTAATTATAAAAAGTACGAATTGGTTGAAAAGATAACTTCATAAAGACCTCCTTTAAAAGTTAATTAATTTATAGGATTTTTATTATTTTAAAATATGATTTAAATGATTTATTTCATTATCATTTTAACAATAATGCCATCAGATTTAGATAACAGCATAGTTGAAATTAATATGATTGGACTCCATTCAGATGTAATGGCACCACATGATCTTTATTTCTCAATGAGAGTAACTTTATCATCATATTAATAAGCTTTTAGGGAAGGGTTTTTAAATTAAACTTTATTTACTTAACTTACAGATCCTTATTATAATAATATCTATCTTGGATATCAAGAATTAAAAAATAGTCTTTATAAATAATTAACTAATCCTTATTTATAACCATTCTATAATGATTATAATATGAATATAAAATTCATGAAAGATAATGATACTTAAATAGTCACTGAAAATATGACTTTTAGGGAAATTCTATTAGTTATCTTATAATATTAATTTGCTTATGCTATAAAATATGGAAGAAGAGAAAGTCCAAGTGGATCTACTTATTAAGTGTTTCTTTATGCTAATTATTTTGACTTACATGATTTATTAACTTAAATTACTGAAGAAATATTTATATATTCAAAATCAAGATCAACTAGTGTGAATCAAAAGTGGACAATTTTTTGGTTGATTTCAATCATAATCATAATCAGTACAAGTGTAATTTCATTTTTCTACTATCATTAATATTTAATTCAATATGATAAATATTTATATCTTATGGATTATTTGCCTTTTGAAATTTTAGAAAATGAAATTACTAAATAAAAATCTATTATGTCATAGATTATTAATGATGAAAAAATGATATTTGATTACTAATTCAATTTTGATAATTGTTAAAATAAACCAAATAATCCGATGTCTAAAAATTCAATCAATAAAAAAAATTAAAAATTAAAAAAAATATTTAAAGCAAGTAGATTGAAACCTGCTATTATGTTATTTATGTTTTGCTCAATTTTCGTATCCTTTTCAACATTAGTCGATTAATCAAGTTAAAATTTCTTTGGAAAATATTAATCGACGATAGACTTTTTTAAATTAATTTCGGATTTAAAACTTAGATCAGGAAATGTTATAATGTAGAAAGAAATATTTTATAGATGGGTCAATTTTACATATCTTTCAAATTATGATTAAGAAAGATTATATCTTCTTGTTAATTAAGCGATTTAAATTATGAATCATTATGTTGTGTATGGCAATTCTTTTTAATTTGATAAATTAATTGTTTCTGATACGTTTATTTAGTATTATCAAAAAGTTGAAACTGAAAATTTATGCGACATATTAACAGATGTATTTTTACTTAATTTATTAGAATTTCAAAAATTTTATGTACAATTAATGCAATTTAGCCTTTGAAGGAACTTTAAAGCAAGGAACAATTTAAAGTTTAAACTACATTACAAATCTTATAAAAGCAGAATAAGCTATCAATAATTTTACAAAGAGGCTTACTTATAATTTATATGAACAAGAAGGCTCATAAGTGATAACTAGAATTTTTATATAATTAAATGAATAATTGTCATAAGGAATTGAAGAAAAAACAAAAATTTAGATTTATTTTAGTAAAGTAATTATTTAATATTGATTTAGACTCTTTCAATAATATATCTGATAATTGCATTAGTGGGTTGTTTGTTTGTGGCTAAATTATTAAGATAATATTTGATTTTTGAATATTATTTAATAAAGAAAATAGTTAACATTGCTCCATTACAAGTCTTAATTGAAGATGAATCTTATGAAAGATAACTAAGATTACTAATACAACAATAAGAAATCGGTTGACTCTTTACAATATGATTATACTAATTAATATAAATTACATTTATTCTATTATCATCTAATCATCCTATCAAATTTTTTCTCATTTTCTAAAATTGTTGGGATGAAAGAATTTAAGACCTTTAGTTAATTTAACAGAACTAGAGATCTTTCTATAAGAATAATAACAAATTTTTGTAAATAAAGATTTAGTCTAGTCTATAAAGGGAAAATGATTTCTATAAAATTATTATAATTTTTTAAAGGTTGAATTGATATCTGGAAAGTAAAATTTGTTAAACTAAATCGCTTTATTATTATAATAATTAATTTAAGAAATTTTTAATTCTAATAAAATAATTTAAGATACAATTAATATTTAGAGGCAAAAAGTGCCGAAAAATCCATTTAAAATTGTAAAGGTTTTATAAAATTATGGCATGAAGAAATCTAAACAGTAAATTTTAAGAATGTTATTTATATTAAGAATTTTTAAATAATGAGAAGTATTTAACATATATATAAATTTATTTTTACAACAAATATTTGTTTCTCTTTTAATTTAATAATGGGATAAACTTGCAGTATAAGCACTTGTTGTTCGAAAGAAGAATTATATACGATAAAAAATTCAAGTAGATCTATTGAAATATAATCTAAAAAATTGAATGTTTCTTACAAAATAAGCGAAGAAGAAGAAAAATTAGATGAACAAATATAAAAGAAAAAAAGTGATACTGTATTAGAAATGAAATCTTCATAACATAGTAAAGTCTCTATAAAATAAATCGAAAAGAATCTTACTATGTAAATTAAGAGTTCTTATCTGAATCCTCTTGTTTTGAAAACTATAGGAATAAAGGAGAGAATTAAACTTTCAGTATAAAACATGCTTATTAGGCAATATAATTATAAAATGGTGCTATGTATGAAGGAGAATGGTTAAATGGAAAGAGAGATGGATATGGAAAGTAATAATGGCCAGACGGATCAATTTATGAAGGGGAATGGAAAGATGATAGATCATGTGGAAAAGTAAAAAATTTGGAATAGATTAGGGAAAATTAATTCATGCAGACGGAGATATATATGATGGTGATTGGTTAAATGATGCAGCAAATGGTTTAGGAACTTATATTCATATTAATGGAGCTAAATATTAAGGAGAAGTATTTGGTTAATTAAATGAAAAAGTGGTTGAATGACTTATAACATGGAAAGGGTACTGAGACTTGGTCTGATGGTGCTAGATATGAAGGAGATTATTATTATGGAAAAAAGAATGGAAAAGGAAAATTGAATTTTGCTGATGGTTCATGTTATTAAGGTATAAGTTTTATAAACTTAAGGGGATTTTATTGATAATTATATTGAAGGTTTTGGAAACTATATATGGCCAGATGGAAGATCTTATGTAGGATAATGGATTTAAAATAAAATGTAAGGATATGGAGAAATTAAATGGAAAGATGGGAGAAAATATAAAGGAGTTAAATATTTATTTAATTATTAGTTGTATCTAGATGATAAAAAAAATGGAAAAGGAATTTTTTATTGGGAAGATGGAAGAAAATTTATTGGAACTTGGCTTTAAGGTCAATAAAATGGAGTTGGTATATATTTTTAGTCAGATAATTCATTCAGGATTGGGGAATGGAAAGATGGAAAAAGAATCAAATGGTATAATGAAAATGAAATTCACGAACTACAAAATTAGGGTATTCTTGATGATCTTAAAAATTAATGAACTTTATATTTATTAAATAATTAATACTGGAATTATAATTATTTATAATACTAATTCAATCAAAAAAAAACCTTTTTTTAATTATTTTTCTATTGACTTTTCTTTTGAGAATCTTAAAAATTTGATTTTATCATTAAATTAGTAGAATCGGAATGTTAAACTTTAGGTGTTTATTATAACTCAATTTATTTAATCTAAGCAGTTTACGGTCTTTTTAGTTTATGTTTCTCATTCTTTCCATTTAATTTTTAACTTTAATTCTTTTTTTCTAAATCATCCAAAAGTATTTCTAATTGTTTTATTTATTAATCTTCTAAAAAGCTTTTAGATTCAGGAATTTAAATCATCTAATTTTAATTCCTCTATAAATCTTGATAAGAATTATTAGAGATCTAAGGATTTTTTTCTCTTTCTAAATTAAAAGAATTAAACCTCTAATATATTATATCACTTAAATTCTTATCTTATAATAATGGATTATTCAAAATGTTTAAATATTGTAAATTTAATGATTCTATGTAATCTAATTGATTTTCATCAGCCAATTAATTTGCTTCGAGATCCAATTTTACTATTTTTGGATGAAAAGCTAATGGGCTCACATCAGAAATATTATTGAATGAGCAATTTAACTCAATTAAGTTGGGCATGCTAGATATACCTAAAATACAATTTATTTATGGATTACCAGATAAATCAGATAGATTTGATTTTCTTATGTTTAAAATTTATAAAATTGATAATTTTGTACCTAAAAGTCTCAAAGATTCAATATTTGAATAATCTAAAGTCAATTCTTAGAGATTTATTAAAAATTCTCCTAACTAATACAATGAGCCCTCTATTGCATTAAATCGAAATTCTATCTGTGTTATTTGATGGAATTCACTCTAAATTATATAAGAACTTACTTCTTTCATTTTAGTAATTTATTAAAGTTATTCTCTATCTAATGAATCATATTATTCATCCATTTCTTTTTAATCATAATTATTTTTCATCTTGCTTATCTTGAATGATTTCTATATATCAAAATTATTTTATTATTCTTGTTAATCATAATTTTAATATTATTCATGTGATTAAGACTGTGTCCTTATTCTAGATGACCTTTTAAATATTGATATGTTTTGATTTTGATTAATTTATTCATTAATAGGAGCTAAATCTTTTCCTTGATACTAGATCTTATTCCCACCTAAGTTTCTTAAAATAAGAAATGGCTTTTTTTATTCTAAGTTTTCAAATTATTACAATTATTATTAATCAGATATTTTTTTCATAATTAAGTGTCTAATAGGTTAAGCAGAAATAATTCTTTTTGCTATCATCTAATGTTTAATTAAAAATGTTTAGCTTTATTCTTCTTTATTCAAAGGATTAAATAATTAAGATATACTCTTCAATTAATTATCATTTGAAACTTTATCAAAACCTGAATTTACTGTTGATACTGTTTCTAATTATTGCTATATTAGTTTTTATTAATATTTATCTCTAATCAAACTTAATCTTTAAATTTTTTGGTAACTTTATTAAGGAACATTATTGTTTTCTTCTTTGATTAACTTTTCTACTTAATTCTTTTCATTATAATTTTAAGCATATTATTCCCCTTAACATTCTAATAATTTTTAGTATTATTTCATTTAAAATTTCTAATTAAATATAAATAAAGTCCCCTCAATTTATCAAATAATTTTTCTAACAAATCTATGATTTTTTGTATTTATTAAATTTTAAAGTATGATGATGCATTATTAAAACATTTTTTCTTGGGAGAAAATTTCAAGAAATAATAATGCTCTTTATTTTTATGTTTTATTGTTTTAGGAGAGTCATTTTTAGTATTAAATAGCAAAATGTTATTCTAATATTGATATTTATGTAATTCTAGAACTATTATCCGTCAAATTAAAGGATGATAAATTTATAAATAAAATTCATTATTAATAATGAACAGTCAGAAAATTTAAAATGATGAAAGTCATTAAGAATAGGAATAGGATCCTAATAAGAAATTTATTTAAATTGATGAACAAGAAAGTATAAGCAATTCATAAACTGAAAAGAATGAGAGGGAAGTGTAAAAGGAGATAGGCCGAGAAGATGAGAAAAATATATAAATTAATTAAATTGATTCAAACTATGATACTAAAAATGAATCTTAAGCTACTTCAATAATACCTTAAAAAGCTTATGAAAAATCTTTTGATGATAATAAATAGTAAACAGGATAAGAATAAACTTAAGATCTTAATGAAGAAACAAATTAGAATATACAAAAATATGAAAATAAAGAATACGATAATAAAATTTAAGAAAATAAATAATAATTGTAAGATAATTAAATTTTTCTAAAAAATGAGGCTATTATTGAATAAGTTGATAATTAAAGTGAAGAATCAGAGAATTTAGAATCAATATAAAATCAAAATTAGAGAAATAAAAATTAAAATTAATAACATTTATAATATGATATAATTACGAATGGATTAAAAGAAGGAGATATTTAAAATTTAAATAAAAATATAAATGAAAATTAATATTAATAAAATAAAAATCAACAAATTAATGAATAAGATAAAGAATTGAATTTAAATGTGATTTAACAGAAAGATAAATAAATAGAATAAAATGGTGAAGAGTAACAAAAGTTAGATTAACAAATAGATGAATAAAATATATAAGAATAATAATCAAATTAAACATTAAATAGTTAGGGTTAAAAAAAAAATCAATAAGATTAAGAATTACCATTTAATTAAGAATAATCAAATTAGAAAAAAGAAAAATAAGATGAAAAATATAATTATAATAAAGATTTATAAAAATAAAATGAAGAAAAATAATATTAAAAATAAGGTTAGGATAAAAAATGTGAAAAAGAGGATAAATAAACATAAGATTAATCATAAAACTTAAATTAAGAAAAATTTTAGAATGATTAATAAAAATAAGATTAAGAATAAAGTTCAAATCAAAATTAATTGAATATTGATTAATATAATTAAGATAAATAATAAAATTAAAATGAAAAATATGAATAACATGATTAAGAAAGATAAGATTAAATACAAAATTAGAATGAAGAATAATTAAATAATGATCAATTAAGATAAGATTAAGAAATAAGTTCAAATCAAGAATAATTGAATAATCATTAAGAAACATAAGAATAATAATAAAATTAAAATGAAGAATAAGAATAACATGATTAAGAAAGATAAGATTAAAAATAAAATTAAAATGAAGAATAATTGAATAATGATAAATTAAGATAGGATTAAGAATAAAGTTCAAATTAAGAATAATTGAAGAATGATTAATATAATTAAGAATAATAATATAATTAAAATGAAGAATAAGAATAACATGATTAAAAAAGATAAGATTAAATATAAAATTAGAATGAAGGATTATCATATAATGATCAATTAAGATAAGATTAAGAATAAAGTTCAAATTAAGAATAAATGAATAATGATTAATAAAATAAAGATTAATAATAAAATTAAAATGAAGAATAAGAATAAAATGATTAAGAAAGATAAGATTAAATATAAAATTAAAATGAAGAATAATTAAATAATGATCAATTAAGATAAGATTAAGAAATAAGTTCAAATCAAGAATAATTGAATAATCATTAAGAAACATAAGAATAATAATAAAATTAAAATGAAGAATAAGAATAACATGATTAAGAAAGATAAGATTAATAATAAAATTAAAATTAAGAATAATTGAATAATGATAAATATTATTTAGATTAAAATTAAAGTTCAAATAAAGAATAGTTGAATAATGATTAATAAAAATAAGATTAAGAGTAAAGTTCAAATCAAGAATAATTGAATAATCATTAATAAAATTTAGATTAAGAATAAAGTTCAAATCAAGAATAATTGAATAATGATTAATATAATTAAGATTAATAATAAAATTAAAATGAATAATAAGAATAACATGATTAAGTAAGATAAGATTAAATATAAGTTTCAAAAGAAGAATAATTGAATAATGATCAATTAAGATAAGATTAATATTAAAGTTCAAATAAAGAATTGTTGAATAATGATGAATATAGATAAGATTATGAATAAAATTCAAATCAAGAATAATTGAATAATGATTAAGATCATTAAGATTAATAATAAAATTAAAATGAAGAATAAGAATAACATGATTAAGAAAGATAAGATTAATAATAAAATTAAAATTAAGAATAATTGAATAATGATAAATATTATTTAGATTAAAATTAAAGTTCAAATAAAGAATAGTTGAATAATGATTAATAAAAATAAGATTAAGAGTAAAGTTCAAATCAAGAATAATTGAATAATCATTAATAAAATTTAGATTAAGAATAAAGTTCAAATCAAGAATAATTGAATAATGATTAATATAATTAAGATTAATAATAAAATTAAAATGAATAATAAGAATAACATGATTAAGTAAGATAAGATTAAATATAAGTTTCAAAAGAAGAATAATTGAATAATGATCAATTAAGATAAGATTAATATTAAAGTTCAAATAAAGAATTGTTGAATAATGATGAATATAGATAAGATTATGAATAAAATTCAAATCAAGAATAATTGAATAATGATTAAGATCATTAAGATTAATAATAAAATTAAAATGAAGAATAAGAATAACATGATTAAGAAAGATAAGATTAATAATAAAATTAAAATTAAGAATAATTGAATAATGATAAATATTATTTAGATTAAAATTAAAGTTCAAATAAAGAATAGTTGAATAATGATTAATAAAAATAAGATTAAGAGTAAAGTTCAAATCAAGAATAATTGAATAATCATTAAGAAACATAAGATTAATAATAAAATTAAAATGAAGAATAAGAATAACATGATTAAGAAAGATAAGATTAATAATAAAATTAAAATGAAGAATAATTGAATAATGATTAATTAAGATAAGATTAATAATAAAGTTCAAATTAAGAATAGTGGAATAATGATCAATTAAGATAAAATTAAGAAATAAGTTCAAATCAAGAATAATTGAATAATCATTAAGAAACATAAGATTAATAATAAAATTAAAATGAAGAATAAGAATAACATGATTAAGAAAGATAAGATTAATAATAAAATTAAAATGAAGAATAATTGAATAATGATTAATTAAGATAAGATTAATAATAAAGTTCAAATTAAGAATAGTGGAATAATGATCAATTAAGATAAAATTAAGAAATAAGTTCAAATCAAGAATAATTGAATAATCATTAAGAAACATTAGATTAATAATAAAATTAAAATGAAGAATAAGAATAACATGATTAAGAAAGATAAGATTAATAATAAAATTAAAATGAAGAATAATTGAATAATCATTAATTAAGATAAGATTAATAATAAAGTTCAAATTAAGAATAGTTGAATAATGATCAATTAAGATAAGATTAATAATAAAGTTCAAATTAAAAATAGTTGAATAATGATTAATATGATTAAGATAAATAATAAAATTAAAATGAAGAATAAGAATAACATGATTATAAAAGATAAGATTAAATATAAAATTAAAATGAAGAATAATTAAATAATGATCAATTAAGATAAGATTAAGAAATAAGTTCGAATCAAGAATAATTGAATAATCATTAAGAAACATAAGATTAATAATAAAATTAAAATGAAGAATAAGAATAACATGATTAAGAAAGATAAGATTAATAATAAAATTAAAATGAAGAATAATGGAATAATGATGAATTAAGATAAGATTAATAATAAAGTTCAAATTAAGAATAGTTGAATAATGATTAATATGATTAAGATAAATAATAAAATTAAAATGAAGAATAATAATAACATGATTAAGAAAGATAAAATTATATATAAAATCAAAACGAAGAATAATTGAATAATGATCAATTAAGATAAGATTAATAATAAAGTTCAAATTAAGAATAGTTGAATAATGATTAATATGATTAAGATAAATAATCAAATTAAAATGAAGAATAAGAATAACATGATTAAGAAAGATAAAATTAAATATAAAATCAAAACGAAGAATAATGGAATAATGATCAATTAAGATAAGATTAATAATAAAGTTCTAATTAAGAATAGTTGAATAATGATTAATATGATTAAGATAAATAATAAAATTAAAATGAAGAATAAGAATAACATGATTAAGAAACATAAGATTAATAGTAAATTTTAAATGAAGAATTACAATAACATGATTAAGAAAGATAAGATTAAATATAAAATTCAAAAGAAGAATAATTGAATAATGATCAATTAAGATAAGATTAATAAAGTTCAAATTAAGAATAGTTGAATAATGATTAATATGATTAAGATAAATAATAAAATTAAAATGAAGAATAAGAATAACATGATTAAGAAAGATAAGATTAAATATAAAATTAAAATGAAGAAAAATTAAATAATGATCAATTAAGATAAGATTAAGAAATAAGTTCAAATCAAGAATAATTGAATAATCATTAAGAAACATAAGATTAATAATAAAATTAAAATGAAGAATAAGAATAACATGGTTAAGAAAGATAAGATTAATAATAAAATTAAAATGAAGAATAATGGAATAATGATGTATTAAGATAAGATTAATAATAAAGTTCAAATTAAGAATAGTTGAATAATGATTAATATGATTAAGATAAATAATAAAATTTAAATGATGAATAAGAATAACATGATTAAGAAACATAAGATTAATAGTAAATTTTAAATGAAGAACTAGAATAACATGATTAAGAAAGATAAGATTAAATATAAAATTCAAAAGAAGAATAATTGAATAATGATCAATTAATATAAGATTAATAATAAAATTAAAATGAAGAGTAATGGAATAATGATCAATTAAGATAAGATTAATAATAAAGTTCAAATTAAGAATAGTTGAATAATGAATAATATGATTAAGATAAATAATAAAATTAAAATGAAGAATAAGAATAACATGATTAAGAAAGATAAGATTAAATATAAAATTAAAATGAAGAATAATTAAATAATGATCAATTAAGATAAGATTAAGAAATAAGTTCAAATCAAGAATAATTGAATAATCATTAAGAAACATAAGATTAATAATAAAATTAAAATGAAGAATAAGAATAACATGATTAAGAAACATAAGATTAATAATAAATTTTAAATGAAGAACTAGAATAACATGATTAAGAAAGATAAGATTAAATATTAAATTCAAAAGAAGAATAATTGAATAATGATCAATTAATATAAGATTAATAATAAAATTAAAATGAAGAATAATGGAATAATGATCAATTAAGATAAGATTAATAATAAAGTTCAAATTAAGAATAGTTGAATAATGATTAATATGATTAAGATAAATAATAAAATTAAAATGAAGAATAAGAATAACATGATTAAGAAAGATAAAATTAAATATAAAATCAAAATGAAGAATAATTAAATAATGATCAATTAAGATAAGATTAAGAAATAAGTTCAAATCAAGAATAATTGAATAATCATTAAGAAACATAAGATAAATAATAAAATTTAAATGAAGAATAAGAATAACATGATTAAGAAACATAAAATTAATAGTAAATTTTAAATGAAGAACTAGAATAACATGATTAAGAAAGATATGATTAAATATAAAATTCAAAAGAAGAATAATTGAATAATGATCAATTAATATAAGATTAATAATAAAATTAAAATGAAGAATAATGGAATAATGATTAATTAAGATAAGATTAATAATAAAGTTCAAATTAAGAATAGTTGAATAATGATTAATATGATTAAGATAAATAATAAAATTTAAATGAAGAATAAGAATAACATGATTAAGAAACATAAGATTAATAGTAAATTTTAAATGAAGAATAAGAATAACATGATTAAGAAAGATAAGATTAAATATAAAATTCAAAAGAAGAATAATTGAATAATGATCAATTAAGATAAGATTAATAATAAAATTAAAATGAAGAATAATTGAATAATGATCAATTAAGATAAGATTAATAATAAAGTTCAAATTAAGAATAGTTGAATAATGATTAATATGATTAAGTTAAATAATAAAATTAAAATGAAGAATAAGAATAACATGATTAAGAAACATAAGATTAATAGTAAATTTTAAATGAAGAACTAGAATAACATGATTAAGAAAGATAAGATTAAATATTAAATTCAAAAGAAGAATAATTGAATAATGATCAATTAAGATAAGATTAATAATAAAATTAAAATGAAGAATAATTGAATAATGATCAATTAAGATAAGATTAATAATAAAGTTCAAATTAAGAATAGTTGAATAATGATTAATATGATTAAGATAAATAATAAAATTAAAATGAAGAATAAGAATAACATGATTAAGAAAGATAAAATTAAATATAAAATCAGAATGAAGAATAATTGAATAATGATTTAAATATATAAGATTAAAAATAAAATTCAAATCAAGAATAATTCAATAATGATTAATATAATTAAGATTAATAATAACTTTCAAATCTAGAATAATTGAATAATGATTAATTAAATTAACGTTATGAATAAAATTAAAATCAAGAATAATTGAATAACGATTAACAAACATAAGACTAATATTAAATATAATATGAAGAATAATAATTAAATCATTATGAAAGATAGGATTAAATCTAAAATTAAAATTAAGAATAATTATAGAATGATTAACAAGAGTAGGATTAAATTAACAATTAAAATTAAGAATAATTATAGCATGATTAACAAATGTAAGATTAAATATTAAATTAAAATTAAAAATAATTATACCATGATTAAGAAAAATAGGAATAAACATAAATTTCAAATGAAGAAATAATTAATAATGATATAAATACTGAATAAGAAAATAAAGAAAAACAAAAAAACTAAAATCTGGAATATTTCAATTAGGATAAATAAACATAAGATTAACACTCTAGTTAAAATCATAAATAAATTAATACTCATTAAGAAAGTTTAGATAAAGAATAGATTTAAAATCCTATATTATCAAATAAAGATTAAGAAAAATAAATTTTAGAATCAACTTAAAATCAAGAATCATTTAATAAGGATTAGCAAAAATATGATTAAGAAAAAAATTCATAGATTGGTTACCAAAATAATGAACTAAATTAAGATTTTATTTCTAATTAAATTCAAGATTAAATTAATTTTGACTCTCATATATAAGATCTTTCATTTAAATAAAATAATGAACAAAAACACAATGATATTTTAAATTCTGAATAAATTATAGATTTTAACTAAAAATCTAATTTATAATAGGTTTAATATCTGATATAAGATTAACATTAATAATCATAAAAATAATAATAGGAAAACGTCGATTAGGTTTCTTAAAATAAAAATACTATTAATTAATAGATATCAGTTCAACAGCCAAATAGTATCTAATTAGAAGATTTTAATATCTAACATAAATAATATACCAATTAATACTAAGAATAAAATATCTATAATTAGGAAATTGATGATTAAGAACGACAGTAAATTATAGAGATATAAATCAATTCCTTATAAGCTACTGATACCCAATAACTAATTCCTATATTTAAAAATGAATCTAATCTTCAAATTGCTTAAAAAGATATCTAAAATTAATTTTTCTTATTTTTAAATTAAAATGTTTAAGATTAAACTTTGTTATAATCAATTAAATAATAGTATCAAATTCTTCATTAGGAGGGTTTTTAATAACGTTAAGATTATTATTAATAAAATTCATAGATTGATAAAACATAACCTTATCGATTTGATATTTAAAATAGTTCATTATTAGATCCAAGTAATTCTAATGTATTTTAAGAAGATTTTGTAAATAACCTTGAGGAAATTAAAACTTAAAACTAAGAATAACTATAATAAAAAGATGCAATAATTTCTTAATTACAATAAGATTTAGAGGACTTGTAATATTAGCAAAACTTGGAGAATAACAAAATAAATTAATTGGAATAATTTTTAACAGAAATTTCTTTCAATGATCTAAAGGAAAAATATTCAGAGAATGAAGAAATTGATGCTCCAAATGACTTGATAAGAAAGGTTGTTAGAAAATTAAAGAAAATTCTAAATGATTGTTAAACATCATTTTAAGATTAAATATAAAATTTTAATTTTGAACAGTATGAAAATTCTGAAAAAAATAAAATGGGTGATATTTTATTTCAAAAAATAGTCGACTACTCTTAAAAATAAGCCTATAATGAAAATGTGAATTAAATAATTGCAGAACTAGTTGAATAAATAAAAATTCTTAAAGAAAAATAAAATAAAAATCACCAGTTATTAATTAAAATTGGTTGTGAAATATTTAATGGCTTATAATCCTTAAGCAAATTTTAGTAATAAATAGAAAAAATAAAAACACTTACTGAGTAAGTAAAATAGGAAACATAATTATTTTAAAGTATTATAAATTAATAATGTGATTTGGAAGCATCTGATCTAGATGATAAAAATAAGAATTTACTTTTAGAATTTTTGAAGGAATTAAATCAAAAATAAGATCATTTTGAGAAATATTTGAATTTTTTAAAAAAATCTATGGCATTAAGAATTGGATAAATTAAAGAAAGTGAATCAAAGATTTTAAATAAAATTGCTGAATTATAATAAGGTTAAAAATTTTGATATATCATATAAATTATATAAAATTAGATCTAATTTTAAATAATATTAATTAATTATTTCTTTATAATTGTCAATTTAATTACAATTAGGTTATCCTGAAATAACTGACATTAATAAAAATAATGATTTAAGTTCTTGTAAATTTCTCTTTAGAAATAATAATTTTTTTAAATAATGAACAAAATTTTATGATGAACAAATATTTTTAATAATTATTGCAAGTATTTTTGACCATTATCTTCATTTTGATTATATTAAGGTATAAAATTTTAACCTTCTAAATTTAATAAAATAAGAGAAAAAAAATTTGTCTAAAAAATGAAATTTTATAATACTTTTTTGTATAATTAAAATAAATTAAATAAAGATAATTTAAAATCAGAAAAGGTGACATAAAGTTATGTTCTAATATTGTTTTTTTTAATAAAAGAACAAAAAGACACTAACTTTAGAAGGAGTATTTTTTTTTTAATTCACATATTTAAGCATAAATTACCTTTGAGTTGATTCTTTAATAATATTATAATTATTAAAATATTTTAGCCAGCTCAAGAAACTCTCTAAATTAGTTGAGCACATTAATTAAAACAAAATGATAAAATTTTATATATTGAAATGAGTATAATAGTAGTTAATAATATATGACATTTATTGAATCAAACTAGATTTAAATTTATCATTATAATGGAGAGCAAGATTAAAAAATTTAATTAATAAACATAATAATTAATTAATGTAGTATGGCAAAAGAGGAAGTGATTTAACAAAATCCAAGATTGAACTTCTTTTTTCAGAAAAATTAGAAAAACAAATCTTACCTAGTGAATCGGTAGAATCACTTGATAGCTTTCTACCCTAGTTCCATTGTTCTAATTAAGAGCAACTTGAATGTGAGCATAGAATAGTACTGTACTTAAGATAACTTGGAATATAATTTAAAACTGATCCGAGAAATAAAGAATTAGATTATTTGTATGAATACTAATTTATTAAAGGGAAAAGTCAAAGAAAAAAGGAATAGTTTTTTAGGAGTCCATTGGAGAATCACCTTAATTGGGTCCACAAAAAATTAATGATATTTTTTAAAATAAGAAAATAAATTTTGGAGAGAGCATACCTTGGTTAAAACCATTGAGGGCACGCAATCATTAAAGTATAGAATCATGATTTTAATTAATCAAATTGCTTTTTAATTAGTACACTTAAAAAATATTTTATATTGTGGAACAACGCAATATATTAATTTAAATTCAAGCTGAAATCATTAGAGAAACTTAAATTTCTATCTATATTTCTAAGAATATCTTTTAATTTTTAATTGAATATTTTATATTTCCTCGATAAATGAATCCTTTCATTATGATAAGATTGTAACTTTTCTTAATTTTTTTTATAATTCCATTTCGTTTTATTAAAGGGAAGTATAGAAAAATTTAATTGAAGACTTTAGATAATAGATATTAGATTTCATCTTAATTTTTTTAGGATTATAGATTTTCTTTTTTAATTGATTTATTTAGTTCTCCAAATTCTATTATTAGTTTAAGTCTATTAGTTATTGGCTATCTTAGTAATAAAAGTACTTTATTTCTGCTTATAGAGATTAAGTAATGATTAATAGATTCTTTTTTTATTTTATACTTTTTATCTGATTTATTTTCAAGTGTTGATATGATTAATTTTTAAGAAAATTTAATTAGTTTAATTTTTCTTGAGTTGTGACGAATCTGAAATTTTAACAGATTTTATTTTAAAGATAATAATATTTCTAAGTGAAAATAATATTTAAAAAGTATCAAAGTAATAATAATAGAGAACAAAATATTTTTATAAATTGCTTATAATTTAAATTGAATTGTAAAATTATTTATGATAATTGTTTTAAAAGTATTGTAAAAATAATAAAATATATTGAATTATTTTATAAGCATGTTTGTAGATATATGGCTGAATTTTTGTTGCAATCGTCGGAAACAAGAAGCAAATGAATAACCTTTAAATGATGCAAATAAAATATTACTTGATACAGGTTAGATGAATGTGTTATAAACGAATGAATAAAAAGCATTGTAATCAACATCACAAGAATTGCGACAAAAGTTATAAGAAGTGTAAGAAAAAAGATAATAGATGTAATAATAACCATAGCAAGAAAATAAATTATAGTAATTAATAAATAAAGGAACTGTGAAAACATCTATTGAAATGGAAGGTAAAGAAAGCATCCCTATTAAGAGTGGAACCAGTTGATGGATTTCTATCATTATCAGATAACAAATCAAATAAAATAGCAAGTTGGGAAGCTTTAGAATTGTCTAGATAAAATGATGTTTTTGGATAATTAGCCTAATTTTCTGTTTTGGCAAAATCAGTTTCAAATTATGGACCTTATTAAGGAAGTCAACATAATTCTGATTAGTAAATATTTTCAGGATAATAAATTTTGTATTAATAAATAATAATGATCATATAGATAAAATAATCAAAATTCATTAGTAAATACATAATTATAAGTTATTGATGAATATCCAAAAAAATAATTGCTTAGGTAATAAATATATTAATAAATTAAGATCTAACAGTTAGGTTTCATTAGGATTAAATAAAATAGACAAAAAAATTTAGAAGAATAAAAAATAGTAAAAAGATAATTCAAATAAAAAAGAGATAAATCATAGTAAGCTTTGGGATAAAAATGAAGACACAATATTAAGATAAGCATATTATGAATTTAAAGGTAATTGGAGATAAATTGCTGCATAATTGCCAGGTAGAAATATGAATTAATGTTCATAAAGATGGAGAAGATTAAATCCATAAGATGTATAAATAAATAAATAGTGAAAATAATAGAATAATAAAAAGAAATGGACTTATGATGATGATTAGAAAATAATATAACTAGTTTAAAAATATAATAAAAATTGGGCAGAAATTGCAAAAAATTTCCCAGAAAAAAGTGGAAAATAAATAAGAGAAAGATATTTAAATAAACTTGATCCTAACATAAATTGGTAAGCATGGACAAAAGATGAAGATGAAATAATTTTGACAGTATTTAAATAACATGGACCTAAATGGAGTATAGCATCTAAATAATTAAAAGGCAGACCTGTATAAATAAAAATATTTTAGGAAAATACAGTTAAAAATAGATTTTATTCATATATAAGAAGAGTTTGTTTAGGTTAATAAAATCCTTATTCAGTTGTTTTAAACAATAGAGAACTTCATGGACATGAAAATACTATTTCTTAGGATAGTGATTCAATCAAAATGCCAATGTCTGTTGATTAAACACCTTCTGTAATAATTCTAAAATATTTAGTTCACTGCCTCATCTTATATCAGCTCTTTTATGGATGATGATTTGATTGATGAAGAAGATAATCAAGAAATCTAAGAAGATCATTTTAAAATTTGATATTTAATATTTATAATATGATATTATTTTTAATAAGTCAAAATCTATGAAAAATATACTATTTCTATTTATTTATTTTCCTAAGCTAATAATAAAGTTTATGAGATAAATATCATAAAAACTATAATTTGATTGATTACTTATGTGATGTTATTAAAGATTAATTAAAATTAAGGAAAAATTGAATATTTAATTTTTAATAATTATTAGAATTTTTCCAATTATTGAATAGTGCAAATTTTACCATTTGTGCCTCCTATTCGTTAATTAGTATAGTATCATTAATTTCAAGAATTGTGAATGGAATAGTATTTAATTATATATATATAGATAAGCATATTCAGTTTTTATAACATCCTCTTATTCTTACATTCCATATTTGTATTCAGAATAACATTATTAAAAGGTTGCTTTAGCAGAGAATGCTATTTCATTAAGATATATACTTGGACCAATTATAGAATCTATTTATATGCAGTAGGTCCCATTTATAACATTTATTATTTTATCCATATTTTATGGTTATTAAGTACACTATTCTAAATTTTAAAATAATAAAAAAGAATGTGAAATAGATATGATAGAGATTAATTTTCATTCACAACATTCTGAACCTTAATTAGAATAACCATAGAGTTATTTCAAAGTTCTTAAATAATATAATGTTTATATTAATGCATTAATTTTTGCTATGGTAACTACATCAATAATATCAATTTTCCATTAATGGCATAATATATGTAAGATCACTATAAAATTGAAGAATCTACAAGTAGGATTTTATATCGAATTGCAACCTATGTGTTATACAATAGCCACTATTTTGATTACAAGAATTTAAAATACAAATAAACCATTGTTTATGATAAGATTTTAACTTTTAAATGGAATACCATTATTTTTTATGGTCCTAATCATACATTTACTGGTATTGATAGAAATTTACTTATTTGTTGTATCAGTTTAGCCATAAATGGAATTTCATAATCATTTCTGTATCAATTAAAATATACTATATAATTTATATATATATTTTAGCTTAATTAGATGAATCTTTTGATTGAATTATATCCAAATTAAGTGAAATAGTTTAATAATTTTGGATAGCAATATTCTTTGCCTCTATTTAATTGGATTAATTCTCGGGTCCTTTCATTGGTGGATTTTTATCAAATTTATGTGTGTGATCTTGATAGAATTGCCTCGATTTCTGGTTTGTTAGCACTTATCTTACATTCCATTTTTATAAAAACATTTGAAAAAATAGATTATGATTTTTATTATTCGTTTTGAAATACAAATAATTCTAATAAAGAAAAAATCATTAGAAAATCTTAATTTATATTTTTTTTTATTTTAAAACAAATGAGTGAAGATGAAGAAGAAACACAAACATTGTTTGAAGCTGAAGTAAAAATTGAATAATAAATAAAGGAATAAACTCCGGATAAGGGAAAGAAAAATAAAAGATCTAATGATTAATCACGTCTTTCAAAATTAGATGTATTTTTCATAATAATTTTATTATCAATAATGTTATTCACAGGATTTAATTTAATGGGGCATTTTAATAATGGTAAACTTGTTTAATATGTGAATTAGTTAAAATTCTATCAAATTCTCTAAATAATGAAATATTAAAAGGGTTATAAAATGTTCATTAAAACAAAAGCTTAACAGAAGAATAATATATTACAAAAGATAATGATAGCTAAATCTCAAAAAAAATAAATATAAAATTACCGGTTGTAAAAGATGAAAAAGAGATCCAAAAAATAATGCCTGTATATTCCAATAATATTTATTCTTAAAATGAATTATAAAATGGAATAAGAATATTATTTATTAAATCAAATACTTAAAGGATTGATTTTGCAATAACATTAAAAATTGGAAAGAGGAATGATCCATTCGATAAACATGGATTGACAGAACTTTTATTTAGATGTCTATAAACAAATTTTTAGATTCAAATCTATGATTACTACACAACATTAACAACTGAGCTAAATATATATGAAGAATTAAATGATAAATTACAAGAATTGTATAACATTTTGACAAAACCATCATTTGTAAATATAGAAAAGAATGCTAATGATTTATTTAATGATTTAAAACTTTAATAGAAATCTGGCGATTTTAATTATGTAAGTGAGTTCCTGAGTTAAAATTTTACATTATAAGATTTAAAACTTTTAGAAGTAGATTCTGATCAACTAATCGAATAATATAATCAATATATTTCTGCTGATACTATTAGCTTAATTTTTAAGAGTTAAATTTAGTAGAAAATGATCTTGGATTAATTATTTTAATCAAATCTAGTCTAAATAAAAAATTTATATAAATTTTAAAAAGCAGACTTTGACAATAAATATGACTTAGGTAAAAATATTCTGAAATTCAAAAGTGAAACATAATAATTGGCAATATTTTTTATGAATGATTAATTCAGTTTCTAAAAATTCTTAAGTTATTTATTACCCAAACCATTTTAGGAAGTAAAGAGATAGAATCATTTATTATTTAATTTAGAATAAGATTTAAAAACTGTTTTAAATTCAACTAATAAATTCATGTCATTTTTAGATTATTTAAAATAAGTAGATGAAATCTAACTTAAAAATTTATATTCTTATATGTAATCAAGAGAAAAATTATTATTAAATACCAGATAAGAAGAGAATCTTTTTTCAATAGGACAAATTCTATTTTAAAATCCAGATTATGTCTTCAAAGAATAACAATATTTGCCTATATTTGATAAATAAGAATTTGATTAATTTTTATAAAATTTGGCTAATAATTTTATTGTTTTAATAGGAAGTAAGAATTTCTAATATAATAAAACACATGAATCTTAAATGGATGATTCAAAATTTATAATGGATGATGTTTTAAATAAAATCCATGAAGATTTTATATTTGACAAAAAACCATTAGATCAGATATTAAATATTGATGATAAATATGAATTTTAGTTACCTTCTATAAGTCCATTCTTACCTGAAAACTTAACTAAAAAAATCTCAGTTTGTTAAGAACCTATAAATAAAATATCAGGATAAAGAGTATAAAAAATAGATGATTTAAGAAAAACAGTACAAGTAGTAAAATTTAAAGGGTCAAGAGAACCATAGTTTAAAGAAGTAAAATTTTTTTGTGAATTTCCACTTCCAGACTTTTAAGTGGATTGCTAATAGATTGAAAAAGCAGCTTAAAACTCATCAACTCCTTTTTAGATTACTAAGAATGTTTGGTGGAAACCAAGTAATTTAGGTTTTATGGTATTTAAAGGGTTGTTTATTGAATAAACTATGCCTCCTTTTTTGACCTAAAGTAGAACTATGCTAAAATTGTTACAAAATTATTATACAGAATTATCTAAAAGACTTTTATAAGAAGAATTTGAACTTGGATATGAATTATCCTTTAAAGAATCGATTAATGGTCTCAATATATAGATGCTAGGTTATTCAGAGAAAATAACAGAATTTGAGAATAAAGTGATTGATTTGATGGGTTATCAAGATGAGTAACTATTTTAATAAGTGAAAGATTTTTAGATATAGGATATTAAGAGATTTCATGAGTAAAATTTGTTTCTTTTGACATCAAAATTTTATTTACCTTATATAATGTTGAGACCTATTGATACTCAATAAGAAATATTGTCTGTATTGAACAAAATTAACTTTAAATAATTTTAAGAATTTCGAAGTTCTCTTTTACCCAATAAATTTGTAATTTTAAATATTGGAAATATATTACCTAATTATGATTCAGTTAAAGGCTCTTAAAAAATGTATTTAACATAAACATTAAATCTGAATGGGCTAAATTTGAAGTATATAGTTCAAAGAGAATCAAAAAATGACTTAAATTAATCAGTTCTAAATTACTATCAAACAGGATTAACTAGTATTGAAACAACAGCAAAATTGTATTTTTATGAAGATTTCTTATAATCATATGCTATAAATTATTCTTAAATAGGATAATAAATTCAAATAAAAAGATAATCACTAGGATGTGCAGATGGATTATTAATTTATATGTAAGATGTAGTACCTTAAAAGGGGTAGGAAGAAATTGAGAATTTTTTAGAAAAAGCAAACTCACATTTGAGTAAATTACAAAATTAAAATATATAAGAATAGAAATTACATACAATAAATAAATTATAAAATTAAATAACATTTAACACTTTATAAGAAGAAGGTAAATATATATGGGATAAGATTGTTAATAAGAATTATGCATTTAGTGAGATTTAAGATGTAATTAAATATTTAGATGAAATTCTTCCTAAAAATTTGAAAGATTGTTCAAATTTAACTAAGTAGGGATAAATAAGTGTACAAGTTTATGCAAATGATTAATCGATTGAAAAAATGAAAGGAACCAAGAGCATAGAGTAATTAGTTAATAAGAAAGTTTATGAATGTTTTTTTACATTATGATTTTGTATTCGAATATATTATTAAATGTTAATAAAAACTAAAGGTGATGTTGATGATAATAATATAGATCATATAAGCAAGTAAATATTGAATAATTAATGAGAGTGATGAAACCACAAATCTAGTAGTTCCACTATTTCCTGAGTTCAAGCATCCTGGTTTAGGTAAATAAGTTCTAATGAGACCTCCAAGTAAATAATTCTTGAATTCCCCATCTAAATTAGAAGACTCTCTATCAGGGAGTACTAAGATTACTTAATTCAATGTAAGTCTTCTAAACTATTAAGAGTGCCGGACAGCCCTATGATTACATTGTTAATCGCTTTCTCTAGACCATTAAAAAACATCTTTCTTCACCTCAAAGGTAAAACCCCTACTTAATATAAGATCTGAAGTGGAGGGATAAATTATACGAACCTTGATTTCATAACAAGCTAAATTATAATATATGCTTCATATTGATTGGGCTAAATATTATACAAGCTATTTATAACACATTAATACTAAAGTTCCTGGACCTATTAATAATTAACCTTTTTTTGCTGATTTATGTTCAAATGACACCATATATAAACTAAATCTAAAATAAGATGTAGATTTTGTATTGCTTAATCGAAATACTTGGATGTTCATTTATAGTTTATATGGTGGAGGACCTGAAGTCTCTATTCAAGATTATACTAAAGGAGAGGGATTTGAGAATTCAACATAAAAACCTACCTTATCAAGAGTTAGTTCATTATAGTCAGGATTGGTAGATACTGTTTCATATATGAGTATTACACTACCTTTTTAAAAATCTTAATTTGAATTACCTCCTATAGGATTTTATAATGAATCTAATTATTGTTTTATGCATGCAGCACTACAAACTTTATTATCAGTTGAATAAATAAATTGTTGGATGATGAATGAAGGTAAAAGGATAGTTACTTAATTTTCAGATAAATATCGTTATTTGAATGCTTACTAAGAAATAATTACATTAGCAATTAATAAAAAAGCAGGAGCATTTATTAAAATTTAATAATTGAAGCAATTAATAAAAAGTAAATTTGATCCTCGTTAATAACATGATTCTTAAGAATTTTTAAGATATTTTATAGAATAATTAACAATTGAAATATAAGGATAATCGAAATATGATTAACCAATTACAGAAATAGTTTTTTAGGGATAAATGATGTCATTGATTAAATGTGATTAATGTAATTAATAATCAACAAAGTTTGAATCTTTTTTAGATTTATCTTTGTCAATGAATAAATTATAAACTTTAGAAAAATGTTTAAGATTATTTTTTGCTTAGGAGATTTTAAGTGATCATTATTAGTGTGAAAATTGTAATAATGAAACAAGGGCAATTAAGAAATATGTTATAGGTACACCTCCATTATATTTGATGATCCATTTAAAAAGATTTTAGGTATATCCAAATAAAATAAAATTGAATGGACATGTGAGATTTCCTATAAGTCTTGATGTTTAAGAGTATATTTTTAAAATCCATTATGATAGATTTTGTTCAATAAAAGCTAAATATAAATTAAGATCAATAATAGTTCATTAAGGAACACCTGAGAGAGGACATTATGTAACATTTTCATCTAGACAAGAGCAAGTAATAATAAATAGTAATTTATATAGTGGTATTATTTTGATGATCAAAAAATATATTTAGTTACAGAACAAGATGTTTTGTAATAGTAAGCTTATGTTTTGATATACGAAAAGGTTGAAGAATATCTCATTGACATGTAATGACTTTTATTATATATTTATATATACATTTTATTTTTCCAAAGGAACTAATTTTTATATTAGATAATACTGAAAATAAATATGAATAACAATTTTAATTAATATTAAATATAATAATGTTTTAAGGAATCAATAATTTTGTGAATTCTTTTGTTACACCAAAGCCATAAGATTTCTATTAAAAAGGATGGTTAACACCAGAATAATTTGTAGAAGCAGGAGATTAATTAACAATGACAGGATGGTAATGGAAGAAAGCTTAAGTAAAAAAAGGAGTTGATCCTCCTCATCCTGAAAAGATGTATTTAGTAGCTAATGCTACATCTTAAACGAGAATAAAAGATTTTTTGTCATATGATTTTTAAAATAATCAAGGACAAGAAGGATTTTTATGTGTGGATATGAGCAAATAATAATAATAAGCTTTAAATGAACAAGAGACTCGTGTTTATACTATTACTATAACATATGATAGAAAATATCATTGTCCAAGATTATGGTTATAAGGAGTAGCATTAAACTCAGGTTTGCCTTTGAAACATTAGGAGATTTTTGAAGATATCATGAGTGTCTATTAAAATGAAACAGTAACTGTAGAAGAACATCCATATCTACATTATTAATAAGTTACTATTCATCCATGCAATCATTCAACTACAATGAAAGCTTTCCTTGACAAAGCAAAATAAAATGGAGCAGATATTAAACCAATGTAGGCTTTGTTTATCTTTTTAAAATTTATGCAATCAGTTATGCCCACTGTGGTGTATGACACAACAATTGATATATGTTTAGGTGTTGATTGATAATATAAATATATATATATAATATTTCACATCAAACAACCTCCTTCTTAACTTTCAGAAACTCTGCAATTTTGAAGGCAAACAACATTTCTTAAAAATAATTCATTGTCTACAATCACACATGGCCCTAAAAATTAAATATCCCCTTCAATTCTGCACCAATATCCTAGTATTGTATTGTAGCAGATTATTGAGTTTTAAATAAAAGAGAAATTCTAAGATTATAATTATAATTACTTTGACTTCTACTCCATCTAAAAGAATAGAATTTTTTATTCGTACCCCTTCTCCAATCTCACAACCAGCACCTATTACGACATTACTACCTAATGATGCTGATGGATGAATTTTAGCACTCTTATGAATTAATACTCCATCACCTTTTATTTCATAATCTTAATTGTTAAATAAAAAAGGATTTTGACCATAATATTAAAGAAGAAGTCGATTTGCATTCAGAACATCATTTGTTGATTTTATTGATTTCCAAAATCCTTTATGTTCATATAAAAACACTTTTTCTCTTTCTGCTTATTTTAATACATCATTTTCCAAAGATAAGTAAGCCTTATCTAAATCTGAACTTCTTTTTATATACTTAACATATGGTTAATGTTAAAGTTCTTCACTAACACTTGATTCCTTTTTGGCTTTTGCATTCATTATTGTTGTTTTGAATGATTAATTAAAAAAGTATACTCCACAATTTACTAAATTTGAAATAAATTATTCTGGTTTTTCGGCATGATGAATCAATTAATCAGTCTCACAATCCTTAATTAAGCATCCATAACGAGTTGAATCTTCTTTTGATACTCTAACTGTCATTATAGTGCAAATACCAGATTTACTAATTTAGATTCTATTTTATTTACTTCTTGTGATATTCATATAATTTCTAAGCTTATAAGTCACAACAAATATCTGAATGTACAACTAAAAGATCTTAATGTTATTTATTTTAATAATACCATCTACTTCATCAAACAACTCATCTAAATTTTATGCCAATCCACCTGCTGTTCCCATTTCACATATTTCTTAAATGTAACGAATATTTTTGCCATATAACTTTTAGTACTTTTCTTAAAAATGTTAAAAACACTTCTTATCATAATAACCCATTAGAACAAAATCCTTCAAATTAGGTAATTTCTAAATTGCACTGAGGAGATGACCAATTATTTCAATCCCACTAACTGGAAATAAAGGAGATGCTTATTCATAAGTCCCATAACTAGCTTTTCTGCTTGGACCACCTAACAAGATTACCGCCCTAATCATTTATTTTATTAAGAAAAAAAGTCTGTATTTGTAATTATTTACAAAAATATCTATATTGATGTGTCCTATTAATAATAAAATGTCTGTATAAAATTACAAAAAATTAAGCAAATCTAAATCGAAATTCTCTTACTAAAACAAAGGATTTGTAGATTTGTATCATAAAAACTGGTAAATCCTTTTAAAATAAGTTATTCATTAGAAATAATAAATGCAAAAAATCTTTTGTTTAAATTGGCAATGAAATATGAAATTTATTAATTAAAATGATGTTAGATTTTTCACTCAGATATATTTAGTAAGAATTTAGACTTTATTAAAAACAATTAAATAATCGTAAGAATTAACCCAGATTAACTTTTATATTTTATTGATTTAAATTCATCTTTTTGAAACAATGACTATTTAACAATTTTCTAAATCATAATAAAAATTTTAGGATATTAAAGATATTGAATAGTTATAAAATAAATAAATTAATAAAACTATTTTAGTTCTAAAAAGTAATTTGAATCATGCTTTAAAAATATCCATCAATTTCAGTTAATACATATGGATTTAAATTTTTATAAAATCAATACTAATATAAGAAAATATTTGATATTGTTTAATAAAAAATATATATCATTGAAGTTTTCCTTAAATAATAAAATATGATTCAATTTGAATTTAGAGAAATCGATAAATAAATAATAAATTTTACATGTTATTTTTCTTATCTATTTCCTTAATATATCCTACATGAAAGAATTGTATTATAATAATATAAATATTATATATAAAATTAAATTTGATAAATTTTAGCAGTTATAAGACTATTGTCAAATTAATCTCTTTTTTGAAAATTAGATATCTATAGAAAATTTAAAACATTTTTATGATTATAAGTAATCATTTTGATTTTTTGTCCCAGCATCTTAAGGCTGTTAATATATTCTAGAAAAAACTAGGGTCTTTTTTATCAGTTTAAGCTTTTAAAACTTTGGGTGACTAATTTTAATTACATTTTTACATCTGATACTTGTAAATTAACTTATTATTGTTAAGTCTATTGCAATTAAGTGATCAATTTTTATTTTTCTTGATCATCCTGAACTAGATTGATAATTTCATCAACCATTTTTGGATTTTTTTTAAGTTATTATCCAGCTATTGTTGTTAAAAATTAATGAACTAATGGGATTCCAGATTCTAATATCCTATGTATTAAAGTTTAAAAATACTACAATATCCTTTTAAACACCATTATTAAATTGCCACTGCTGCAATTTGAATATCTTTTGTAACAATAACCAATAATAATCTTTGATGAAGCCATTCATAGAATTCATCCTCATCCATAAATTCTAAATCTGGTTTCGGAGGTTTACTTAATTCAGGAAAAAAACTAATATATAATCACTTTCTCTAACTTATTCAGAAATAGCTATATTTCTTAATTCATAATAAATAATAATAATTAAATACATAATTTTCTATTGAAATAATTAACTTAAATAACAAAATTTGCTTATAAATGAAATTATTGTCAAAACCCTTATCTTTCACCCTTAGTTTTCTGAATCATACATTTTATTTTAGAATTCTAATTTTACATTTAATTTTCTATCATTGGACTTATTGTTTTTTAGTATTGGAGATTCTTAGATATTTGCTAATTCTTCTAAATCTTTATCATTATCATCAAATTCTTTATCATTTTAATTAAAATATTTATCTTCATTATAAGATACGAAGTTTTCGTTATTTTGCTAAAGAATTGGATCGTCAATTCTCAAAGGTTAAGAGCTTTCAAATTCTGATGAAGTATTAATTGATTAAACTTTAATTGATGTTTCATCATACTTTGGTTCATATTGATGATATTGCATCTTTACCTTTTTTCTTATTTCATCTTCTCCCTAGAAATCATTTTTTTAACCCCTTTATCCATTATATTATAATTCTTAGAAAGTTTGACCCTTTTATTAAGGTTGTTTATTTCTTTCATTTGTTTTTTAATAAACTTGTTTTAAATCTTAAGTTGAAGGAATCGATTTCGATGATAATTTTAATTTAGAATATGAACCATTCCCTTAATTATTTTCATTCTTTGGTAACATAAGAAATGAAGCCACAAAAAAACCTACTCCTATTCCTAGCAAAAATTTGGAATCAATAATTATTTCCAAAATATTCATATGAAATAAAATTTATTAAAAGTGAATATATATTTTTATTTTTCCAATCCATCCATCTCTCTATCTATATATAATTAATATATATCTTATTTTAAACTTCATAAATTATGAATTTTACATTTTTGATTTTATAAGAATTTTTTTAATTGTCTTATTTGTTAATTGAAAATATGATTGCTATTCAGATTGAAATCAGTTTATAAATATAACTATATATATCTATTATTTAAAACAAATAAAAAAAGTCATAAATAAGAATGTTTGATCTCTTCGGATTTCTTAATCGCATATTTTTATAAATGATGATCTAATGAAGTATTTACTATCTTTTTGATTTACTTATCCTAAAATATATAATATGTAAAAAAATAAGTTTATTTACAATATTCTGGTAAAATTTAAAACCAAAAAATTTTTCTAATGATCAAAATGGAAAAGTGTTATTTTTCATACAAAATTATTTCTAATATACTTTACTCTTAGTCTATATACATGAATGAAAATAGAATAAACAATAATTTTATTAGCAATGTATAAAACATATACATAGAATCTTCATTATGCATATTTTCTTGTCCATTCTCTTGCTGTTGCCTCATAACGCTATTTATCAGTTTTATAAATATTTGCGATTTCTGGTACTAAAGGATCATCTGGATTTGGATCTGTCAACAAGGAAGAAATACTTAATAAAACTAATTATATTATTATTTGATTACCTTTACTGATTGTTAAGGCTGGGGACCATTAATCTTTCAGAATATCTAAACATATTGCTCCATTTTGATTGATATTTGGATGATAGATACGAGTAACAAAGTTTATTTTAGGTGGCTTAAATGGATAGTCTGTAGGAAAGTGAATATTGAGTGAAAATAGACCACCTTAATATGGAGATCCTTCAGGTCCCATTATAGTAGCCTACCAATGGAATTAATCTTTATCATCAATTGGACCAGCTGAACAATTTGAAGGGGGGTCTTTTGAAAGATCAGCTAATTCTTTTTGAATTCTTTTAAGTGCCATTTTTAATTTTTTTTATAAATTAAATCAATTAATAACTTATTATTTATATATATTATTTATACATTATATTTTTTCCTTTCTAGCTTACCGATAAAAACTGATTCTAAAATTTAGGGGGTATATCTAATATTTATAGAATCAAAATATATTAAAATCAGACATTTTTAAAATTTTTACTTGTTTAAATAGTTGCTGTATCATAATTGTTTTGTATATTTTAAAACAAAATTTAAATTTTTATCTATATTTATTGATGACACCTATTTTTGTATGAAAAATATAAATATTTATTATTATGGAACACATCAATTTTTATTTTTTTTATAGTTATTTAATAAAGTCAAATTTAATAATTATGATTTCGTATTTAGAAAATAAACATTGAAATACTAAAATTTATGTAGTTTAATCATAAAATTATCATAAAATGAGGATAATAAATAATAAAAATATACAAATAGAATTAAATTTAAAGAATTAATAAGAAATAGATTTCAATATAGCTTGATGCAATACTCTTTAATATATTAATAATTTTATATAAAATATCCTCTAATAAACCTATTAAATAATTAGAAAATCTTATTCTCGATATTACAATATACATAAATCTTTAAATTATCATAAATAAAGTTCTTAAGAATTATAATACATACTATTTATTTAAATATTTTTGAAGTATTAAATTAATCAGGTTTAAGTCTTAAGATTAAAAATCTATATATAAAAAAATGAATAAAAATTTTTATTAATTAATATAAATTATTTATTAATTCTGGAATAAAATATACTTATAATTAAATTTAATGTACTAATGCATAGTATTTCCTGCTGATTATACACCATTTAAATAAGAATTGATTCTAACAGGAAGTATAGTAGCTTTTGAATTACTTACATATCCAATAGATTTTATAGGAAATAGATGTATTTAGAGAGAAACATATTTATCGAAATCCTTAATTTAGGAATCAGCCTTAATATACTCTGAAGTAATTCATTACCTTATTTTTTACGATTATTGGTTCAAAGTGTAGTCTATATTATGGATTAAAAAGCAGACTCGATTTATCTCTTAGTAAGATTGTATTACGATATTATATCTTTAATTATCTATATTTCAAATATGCCTTTAAGAATTATATTTCACCAAGATTTAAGGATGAAGATGAGAATAAAGGATTTGATATAACTCCTGAAAATTCAACAGTTTACCCTTTATTGAGATATGCAAAAATGACAGATCCATTAGTATTACTATTGGCAGCTACATCTAATTTTATTGGAATGATTGCATCTCATCCAATAAGCATTTTAAAAATTAGACTACAAAATGAAATATTAAAATAATATGAGTAAGATTGATATTAAATTATTAGTACTAAAAACTATACATAGAAGATGACTGAAATGAGTAGAATTTGTGGAAATTAGTTATGGATTAAAACTACATTTGGTTCTCGTTTTTTATATACTTACTTACAATTTATTGCAGAAATGGGTCTATTTTAGTTCTGTCTTAATAAATTAGGATATGAATTTATGAATGTTTTTAGACCAAATTCAGATTTCAAAGGAAATATTCTAAATTTAGGATTATCAGTGATTGGATCTTCTATCTTATCAACATTATTATTGTAGCCAATTTATCTTTACCAATAAAGAACAGTCTATTAAGTTATAACAAAGCAACCAAAAAAATCAATTAAATAATTTTTTACTTAAGTAAATGATTGATATATGTTAGATTTATTAAAAAGAGAAATTCCAAGGATTTTTAAAAGGATATATACATAATTCTTTTAGAAGCATATGTAGAAATAGTATAGCTGTAGGTACTTTGTGGGCATTTGCAACGTAAGCAAATAAAGAAAGATTTAGACCTTCAGAAGATTGAATTAAAATATTAATTTTTGATAAACAGAATTGAAATATATAGATTAGATATATAAATATCAATTAAAGAAATGAAGAAATCAAATATACAATTTATTAAAAATAATCTTCAACAACAACCTTCTTTCTACTATTATTACTAATTCTAATTAGTTGTAACAATTTAAGCTTTTGGTTATTCTCTAGTTTAAACAATATCATTCTTCTTTTTGATACCAATAGATCCAATCTTGATTCCATAAACCTATTGTTGATAATTTTGAGAGTACTTCTTAAGTAGGATCAATTTCACCGCTATCAATTTTCTTTAGTACTTAATTAGCCATAGTTTCAAAAACATTGTCAACATTCTCACCAGTCTTAGCTGAAGTTTCAAAGTATGCAAATCCTTATTTTTATGCATATTTTTTTGCTTCTTCAGTTTATACTTCTCTTCTATGCTTAATCAATATTATTATAACCTCTCTTCTAAATCAATTTTATTTCCTACTATAACCATTTCTATTTTATCACAAGCATATCCTTAAATTTCTTGATACCATTTTTATAAATCTTCAAAAGATTATCTGTTAGTCACATCAAAGACAAGGATTCCACCAATTGATCTATATAAGAAATTCACTCTATACCCTCTATAATATGATCGCGTTATTGATTTAAACGATTCTTGTCCTGCCTAAATTATTATGAAATATCATACTGTATCCCAAATTTATAACTTGATTTATTTATCATTTATTTTTAGATTTCTTGATCCAAATTCTACACCAATTGTGGCATCATGTTCATTTCTGAATCTAGAATCTGTAAATTACAACAATAAACAGCTTTTACCAACGTCTAAAATTATCTTAGATTATTTTACTTGTATCTCCAACTATGATGAACTTAAAGAGGTAATTGTAAATATTCATAAATAATTTTTTTAATTAATTTTATTACAAATATATTTATCTAATTAATTAACTTTGTAAATCTTTTGAAATCAAATGTTTCTGCTTGTATTACTTGAGACTAAAATAATAAAAACTTAATAATAATGATTAAATTTTTGTAATAATCTTAATAAAATATTATAGATTATTTTGATTATTAAGGTTGATTTTGAATATTTTAATTTAAATCATTTATTTAATTTTTATATGAGAGCAACTTCAGAAAAATATGAACACGTCAGAGCTGAATAAGTTTAAGCTCCCATAAATGAAATCAAAGTCTCTGTTAAAGGTCTTGATGGCACTTATATCAAGAGAGCTATTGAATTATTGTAAGGCGCATAAGATATCCCAAAATAAGACTTTGTAGTTATCAAAGGAATTGATAATGCTATCCCTAAGGTTTTAGTAATTAGTGAAATTGTAAGAAGAAGAGTAGTTGGATTATCATAAGTATGAAAAATTATATATAAAAAGATTAATCATATTGGTAATACTTAAATTGTGGACAAATATGTTCCAACAGAAGAGGGATTAGTTGAAGTCAGTATTACTAAATAATTATCTATATTGACTGTTAAATTGACTACCAGACCAACAGAAGAAGATAAAAAGTCTGTTGGATACTAAGAACCACTCCCTGAATCTGAAGTTGTTCCTTAAAGATAAAGATAATGTATATAAATATATTTAATTATTTAGAAGGAGAAAAAAGAGAAAGAAACACAAGATAAAATAGAGGAGGTCCAAGAGGTGAAAATAACAGAGGACAAGATAGAAGAGATAATAGAGAAAATAGAGACAATAATAGAGATAATAGAGATAACAGAGAAAACAGAGAAAACAGAGATAATAGAGATAATAGAGACAATAGAGATAGAAGAGACAACAGAGATAATAGAGACAATAGAGATAATAGAGATAATAGAGATAATAGAGACAGAAGAGATAATAGAGAGAATAGAGATAACAGAGATAATAGAGATAACAGAGATAATAGAGATAATAGAGATAACAGAGATAATAGAGATAATTATAGAGATAGAAGAGACAATAGAGATAATAGAGAAAGAAGGGATAATAGAGACAATAATTAAAGAAATAACAATACAAGAGATAAAGAAAATAAATAATGAGATTTAAAATATCATTTTAAGAAATACAATAAAATTTTAAAATATTTTAAATATTTTATATATTTATATTATTTAATTAATAATATATGCAGAATGATCTAAATCAATCATTGAATTAAGACTTAATTAAGCAAACAATTATGGTTATTGGATTAATATAAGCTGGAAAAACTACACTTGTTTAGAAATATACAGCTATAAACTAAAAACTTTTCTAAGAATCTTGTATCTCTGATTAAAATATAGAATTAATTGACACACCTTCCTATGATTATTATTTTACATTACTACCTTTTAGGGATCCAAAAGTTACTGGATATTTAATTATATTTTGTGAACAAAATTTAGAAATTATGAAATCGATTAAGTAAATTAGGAAAAAATTATTTTAAATAAATGGTTAGCATAAAAGGACCATAATACTTTTTAATGAATTTTCTTTTGATAATCAATCTTCTGAAATTCAACAAGAAATTGTAAATATCAAATATTGGTGCAGATAGCAAGATATTATATTTTCTTAAATTAATGTAAAAAAAGCTTCATCTAAAGAAATTAGTAATTTTTATCATTAAGTAGTTAATATTTTTGAGAAAATGTTCATGAAAAAAATACGAACTACATTATTCTAGAAAATTTTTATCATATTCTAATTTGTCATTACGACATTTATTTTTCTATTTGCCATTTGGCTTTCAATTAAGGACCCATCTTTAATTGTATTATCTATTAAATTTTTTTTTAGATAAGAAATATTTCGTTGGAGATTTACTGCTTAGCTTTGCTCTGTCTAGGAATTTCTAATATTTTCATTCCATATTTTTGTATTAATTTTAGTAATATTCTTCTTAGTGAGAGCAGGAATTAAGGATTCTAATAATTAATGCATTAAAAGAGTAAACAACATTTAGTTAGTAAGTCCAAAGTTTTCAGTTGTTTAGTAGCTGTTATCTCAATAATAACGTTGATTATTGCCTCCATGTTCTACTAATTGTTATCCTGCCTGATAATGTCTATACTTTTCACGTTTAATTCAGTACTTTGCTTATTTTATACATTTTATTTATGAAAAGAGATATCCATTTTGATCAATTAATTATAATTTATACAAAGATCTTGAAACTCGATAAATACTTTAATATACACTCTTTATCTAAGGTTTTTAAACAAATTTTTAGTAAATTTTTAGAAATTAGATTTTATACTTTTTTCTTTACAATTAATTTTTTGGCCATCATTATGGTCTATTCAAAAAAATTATTATTATAATATATAAATTCTTTAAAAATGAGTATTCATAAATTTACATCTTTGGCTAGAACTTAAATATTTATATACGTTAGAGTATTTATGAACTCAGTAATATATTAATAATAAAATGTTATAATAAAATGTTATAATAAAATGTTATAATAAAATTTTATTATTTGTTTAATTATTTAAATTATAGAAAGGGTGATGTTTACAAAATTTATTGGGTTTTAGTAAAACAATTGATATTCAAACTCTTTTAATTTAATTATATGAAGATGGTATTATTTAATAAATAAGAAACTTAAATTGAAAAGTATGAAATTTTAAGTGATAAAATTGGATGATCATCTCTTCAAAGAAAGCATAGAGTAAGTCAATTATAGTCTCATAATTCATTTTAATAAGAATTAGATGATGATTTCCATATTATGTTAAATTTTTATAAGAGAATAAGCTAAGAATTCCTTTTGTCTTGGTAAAAACAAAATTTTTTTTTTAAATAAATAAAAATAAATGATACGCTGCATATGTATTATTAAAATATCACATAATAATTTATTAAAATAATTTAATTAATTAAGAACATTGCCATTCTCACTTTATGTTTAAGAATGAAATTCTTTAGAATTTAATATTAGAAAATATTTTTTTAAATTAGAACATATTTCTTATTATGTCATAGCAAGAAAATTGTAGTATATGCTTTGAAGGATATGAAGATCCTATAAAATTACCTTGTAATCATGTTTTTTGTAGAGAATGCATAGTAGTTGCTTTAGAAGTATTTTTTTAAATAAAAATTTAAGTAAAGGCAGAGTTGCCCAATTTGTAGACGATTGTGTTGTAACTACATAAACTCACCATTTCTCTCAATCGCTGAACCTCAAGAAATAATGCATGAGCATGAAGGAGATCCATGCTTCGTTTATAGAATTACAATACATCACAATGCTTAAATTTAATTTAATTTCTTTGAAGAAAGGTATAAAGTTTGAGTATTTTTTTAGATATGTTGAAATGATTACAGAAGTGTTAAAAAAAAACTTAACTTTTATAATAGATCCTCAATACAATGACTGTTGTATGAGAGTTAAACTAATTGAATGTGTACCAGTTCATCAACATTCAATATACGTGTGTACAGTATAAAATATTCAACGCCTTAAAATAATTGGAGTATCTGAGAGATAAATAAAGGATTCTGATTCTGTATAATTTATAATTTATATTTAGAAACTGAAATATGCAACCACACAGACAATAATTGACAATTTCGATTAAGAATCTTTAATACTATACTAAAAATTACATACATGTATCGAAAAAATATTCTAAATTTTGTCATTAAATGATAATGCAAAGAGCTAACTATTAGCACTGGCTGGAAAAAAAGAAGAAACTTAACCAGAAAAAATATCGAAACATTCATTAGAAATGTTATAAACTATATAGATGTGTGAAAATGGACTCTTAAAATGGTATTACAGTACTGATCTAAATGGAAGACTGGGAGTAATTCTAAAACATTATGAATCTTATCTGAATTATTGTTAGAACTAATGATTATCATATTTTATATATTTTTTATTTTCAAACGTTCATTTTATTTTAATTTATATGTAGGCTCGTATTCAACAGCTATCTAAACATATTCCAGATAAGCGAATTCACAACTATGCTTTTTCCACTCAAGCAATCATAGGAAGAGGGTCATACGGAGTAGTCTATATTGGAAGAAATATAGATTCAGGGTATTTGATATTGTAATTTGTATTCTAGATAAACTGTTGCCATCAAAGCAATTGCATTCTAACAATATTCATCTGAGAATTAAACCTTATTACAAAAAGAAATTGATATAATGAAAGACTTAGACTGTCCAAATATAGTGAGACTCATAGATGTAATTACAACGGCTAATAATTGTTATATAATTTCAGAACTGTGTACAGGAGGAGACTTAAAAGAATACATGAAAAGATAAGTAATAGTTACATATAATATTGTAGGGACCTATTGAAGAAATAGCTGCTACTAAAATATTGATATAAATATTGCGGGGGATTCTTTAATCTTTTAAAAGAGGAATTATACATAGAGATCTTAAACCAGCAAATATTTTAGTTGCCAATAATAATATATTCAAAATTGCTGATTTTGGATTTGCAAAAAGATTTGATAAATTAGATGAAGATTTGATGACATCTCTTGTTGGAACTCCACTTTACATGTCTCCATAAGTATTATTGAGAAGACAATATACTTCTAAATGTGATGTATGGTCAATAGGATTAATCTTTTATGAAATGATAGAAGGTAAAACACCTTGGAATGTTAGAGATATATTAGATTTAGTTAATAAACAAAGAAATTAAAAAATTACTTTTTGTAATTATATTATAAATATTATTAGCTAAAAAAATCTCAAAATTAGCTTAATAATTCATAACTGGTTGTTTAGCATATGAAGAAAATAATAGATTTGGTTGGGAACAGGTCTTTACTCATCCATTATTTGAAAATGCTTTTGAAAGATAACCAAAAAAAGATACATAATAATAAACTCCATCTTAAAATTAATAGTCACAACCTTAAGTTTAAACATAACCTCAATAATTATACTAATAAACGCCATAGCCTGTATAAAACCATCCACAAAATTAACCTTAATAAATTAATTAGAATAAAAATAATACAAAATAATAATAAGCTTCTATGCATCAACAGTAAATTTAATAAGTTTTTTCATAAACTTAACCTTTATAACAGATGTAACAATAAATGCCAAATCAATAATAGAAAACAATCATTCAACCTATCTAATAACAACCTCAATTTTAAAATACTTAAAATTTAACTCCTCAAGAAGCTAAATAAAATAAATCTATGCAAATTATCCCTAATATTAGTCCTTGTGAGGAAAAACTTAAAAGAAATACAATATCACCTTTATAATTACACGTAGACAATAAATAAATCTAATTAATTAAAGGAAAACATTATTTAAAAACTCATGCTTCACCTTAAAATGAGGATGAAAATAAAAATAATGTTTCAAATTAAAAAATTAATAATTGTTAAACTCAACCAAATACTTAAAAGAAAGACAGAACTGTAAGTGTTGTACATCATAAAGTTGAATCCTAATAAACTACTAGTAGATATAGTGATAATAAGTAATGTCGAGAAGAATAATTTAAATCTGAAAGAAATTATTGTCCTCCAAAACATCTTTATCAAAATTCAGAACCAAAGTTTTTATTTCATAGATAATCCTCTGAAAATGATGAATTCACTATCAATAGAATGTTAATCTAAAATTAAATAGAATTTTTATTATTTTTAAAAAAACTTAGAGAATAACTTTTAGAATTTTATGGCAATAATCAAGTTTAAGCCTCAACTGTAGAAAAATTATCATTTATTCTTTTAAAAAATGTTATGATAAAAACAACTGATATAAAATCCAATCTTATTGATAAATAAATCAATATTCTGGACTTAAGAGATTTTGAACATTTTAGAATGACAGAATCATTTCGAAATTTAGAAAAATGCATTTTAGAAATTCATTTTGAAACATTCAACTAATTCTAAGAGACTTTCTTGCATTTAAATGAAAATTTAAATTTGGTTATGTAGGATTCAGATTTCTTAGAAATATTTAATAACAATTTTGAGTATTCCATTCATTTTGTTAAATTTGCTTATAATTTAACTGCCTAATTTATAAAATGTAATTATTTAAATTAATTTTAGCATTCTTATATGATTAAGTTCTTGAATGTTCAAATGTTAAGATAGTTAACTTTACTTTTCTGTTGGGATAATTAGCATAATATTTATAATAAATGTCCTTCTCTCCAAATGATGTTAATAAACTCTTAAGTAATTGTCGTAGTTTTAAGGAGGATTTCAGATTAAAAAGAGTTGAATGCTTAAACTTAATGGAAAAACTCATAGTTAAATACAATTGATCTAATGAATAAATTATTAGAATTTATGTTATCCATATTAAATTTTATTTTTTTCTATTAAATTAGATTATAGATAGTATAAAATTAATCAATTAAAAATATTTAAAATTCTTCAAAATTGATAAATAAAACTATCAATTAATCAGATTAAGGAAAAAAACCTTGTTTATCAAATAACATTTATAAAAATCAAATATCAGTTATATGTTAATATAAAAAATAATTGAATAAATATTAAATCATTTAAAATCTTTATCAATTTGAAATATCACTTATTTAATCTTTCTATAAATTAATTAGTTATTTCATACTTATCTATTTCATTGGCTTTCGCTATGTCTTGATTCTTGTATAACTATTAAACTGTCTTTTACACATTTTATAATAAAACGATAACAGTTAAATATTCCTTATTTTGTTTTAATTTAAAATCGCTTTATTTAATTTAAGAATTTGTTCTTTTATTTTATTTTTGAGCTTGAAGAATTTTATGAGAAGAATCTAATAGGATAATAAATTACTCACTTAAGTTTTGTTTGATAAAATTTTCAAATGCTGAATTAGGTTTACTCAACGGAATCTTTTAGTTATGATCAATTTAGGAAAGGTTTGCCTTGGTAATATCAATTTTTTTTGGAATTTATTTAAAGTTATTTGCAGCTTTTAGAAATTATAAATTTTTAATACTATTAATTTAGTTAATTAAATTATCTTGAAGTGCTTGAGCTGATGAATGAGTTTATTATTTTTGTATTTCTGTAGTTATGATAGGATTAATTGATAATGATTGTCTATGTTCATGCCACATATTGATTAACTAAAGCACATTTTCATTTGATTTTTTAATTTGTTTAGCTATATAATAATTCATATTATACTTCTCCCAGTAGATTTTGAATTCGAGTTTAGAAAATCTCTCTTAGATGCAATCTGATTACTATTATTATTCTCATTTAATTCAGTCTTGAATCTTTCAAATTAATTGGATTTCATTTTTTAAAACAATTGTGAAAATGAACTAAAATTATCAAACTCATAGAACTATTTATAAATTGAATGATAAAGAATTTAATATTTTATAGTTTTAATAAAAAAATAAATTTTATTTTCATATTAAATTTATATGATAGATAAATCTGTTAAATGGAAATAAATGTTTATTCATTATGAGTTATTTAATTATATAATATTTTGTATTGTATTATTAAGAAAATTCACTACTGTTATTTTTTTCTATGTTGAGGACTGGCTACATTTGATTTACTTTATCTAGATGGTGAGATTATTTTTGATCTTAAACTTCTAAACTATAATTTTAACTCATCCTTATTTTTATTTGAGATTTAATTCAAATGAGGATTATTGTTTCCTTTTACAAAGAAATTGTTATTTTAAGAAAAAGGAGTTTTTCTTGTTACTTTTGTACTTTAATTAGAAAAGAGTTTAATTGCAAATTCTACAATTCCATCATTAACAACATCATTTTATTATTATAGTTAATTATTTTGATTACTTCTAGATGTAAGTAAACCTGATTTTGCTAAATCAATATTACCCATAGAAACTTATCTAGATTTTACTCTTGTAGTCATTGATCCTTTATTTATGGGTTGTTATTATTGAATTGCTTTTTGAGCATTTTGTTAATGCTAAGAAATTACTATTTTAACAGTAGGAGGTTTGTTATTTGTAGTAAGTTTAGGATAGCGAGAGGTAAAAGGAGCTTTTAAATTTTAATTTGCTTTGATTTATTTTTCTATATTCAATTTAATTGTATTAGATGGAGTTTAACTCTTTGTTGGAAAGTGATTTATTCTTATCTAAATTTTTGGTTCTAAAAAATCAATAGGGTCTAATATTTCATTACAATTTCCTATCTAAGTTATGAGATCTTTAAGTAATGTTGAATTTGTGATTTTAGAATAATCAGCTTAAGTTGTTACTAATTTTAAGTCTTTTAAAAGATATTTCATATTATCAACAGAACAATCATCTGATGAATCCTTTTATTTCACTGGACTAGGTTGAACATCATTATGCACTCCTAATTCTTTTTTTATTTTACGATATTATATATTTCTAACCTTTTCCATTCTACAATTAATTAAGTTCGAATGAAAATTTCTTGGAATATTTATATGATATTTGTAGTATTCAAGAAGAGATTAAATTCGAGTATCCGATTCTGAAGACTTATAAAATCTTTTATTAACAAAATATCAAATACCTTCTTAAGTATTCATTTTCTAAATCATATAAATTGATATCATAATGTCTCATTCTTGATTTAGTTCTTTTATTTTCTAAAATATCATTAATGTCTCTTTAGAAGTAAAAATTTTATGATTGTGCATATTTACAATATAAAGCTTTTGTGAGAACAAGAGAGAATGAACCATCTTGTTTATATTTCTAACAAAATAAACAAGCTGCACTTTAGTCTTGCTTCATGATAATTATTATGTTAAATTATATAATTTTATAATGAAATATCTAAAAAAATTCATCAAAAATTACATAATTTCTTATTTCATAGGACTTTTTGTTATTTTACTTAACACACTCATAATTTTAAAATAAAATCAAAAATAATTGTTAAAATATTTAAGTTCATTTATGAATTATACTTCCAAATTAGTTTTGAAGTTTTTTTGTCAATAAATACCCCTTAAATTATTATCAAAAATAGATATTTTAGAAAAATGCAATATTAAAACTAATAAAAAGTAAAACTTGTATTAAAATTTATTTTTAAATGACTAAACTTATTTATTTTGATTAATTGATTTTGTAAATAGCTTTTTGTTTTTGTTTATCATTAATCTATAATTATTGACATTATAATTTAAAAGAGATTTTATTGAGATGCTGAACAATTATTTTGTAAGAGAATTTAATTTACATAATTATAATATAAGAATGGTTTTGATAGATTTTAATCTAATTTATTTAATGTTTATGAAAATTAGTTAAGAAGATAGTAAAATTATAATAAATATAAGTCATTAGAAATCATTTAAAAATTTATCTCTTTAAGTTAGATAATCTGTTAAAGATAGTTCATCATAGAATGTTAATCCTTTATTTTGAAATGAAATTTCTGTCATTCCTCTTTATTTTATAATTTTTCTGTTATCTTTTTTTTCTTTGTCTATCCACTTAGGAAAATATATTTAATAATAATTTTTTTCTTCTGCTTCAATTACTCCCAATAATTATGATTTTAATTTATTTTCTAATTCTGGTTTATATATCTATGTATTTTAATAAATTACTCTTTAATAATTTGGAATTCTTTATACTAAACCTTTTAATTTTGAAAGCAATAATTTTTAAGGATGCTATGCTGAATTTGAATTTGTTAGAAGTATAAAATAATTTCCTAGATGTTTTAACTTAAATTATTTACTTGCCTCAACATCATATTCAAATAAGAATTGACCCATTTCAAAATTTAAAAAGAAGTGTTACAAAGGAGCCTTTGATCTTTTTAATAAAAATTGTTATATTTGCATTCGTTAAATTTTCCAAATATTATCATTTGCGAATCCCCTTTTAATTAACATATAAAAGCATTATCTATAAGTATCAAAAATTGTAAATCCTTTAAAAATAATCTACTGAGTTGAGGAGAATTCAGATTATTGTTATTGTGGATCTTCTATTTCTAAGTCTAAATCATTAAAACTTTAAAGCTTCTTAAATTATTAAATTTATGAGAATAGATTAGGAAAAGCATACATTGAATATATGTTTTAGTTTAAATAATTTTCTTTTTCTTGAATTTTCTTTTCAACATCAAAAAAAGCTTAAACTTCTAACTCTTCTTTGAAGAACTGTATAATAAGTATGATTTACCTTAATATAATGTTCTTAGATAATTAAGATGGCAAAAATCTCATTTAATAGTTCAGCTAAATAAATATCCTCAACTTAATTTGAGGCAATAAGAATCAAAAACCTTTCTATTATTTATTTATCTAATTACTTTAAAAATCATCGAATTTTCCCCTTACTTTTCCTAAAGCAGATTGCATCTCAAACACTTTATCCTCCAAAACATCTTCGTCAATAAATTTTTTTCTAATTTCCTTCTGAACAGAGAACCATTTAAGGTCTTATTCAATGTCTCTTCTCATTTCAAAGAAAAATTGTGATCTCTTTAAATCGAATATTATGAATCCTTTAAATTATAGCATTATTTTAATTAATAAAGCACAATAAAAAAACTTTAATTACTTTAATCACTTATCAAGACTTAATATATTAATTATCTATATCAAAAATATGAATAAGATACAAACATCAGTTTATATATTTAATTTATTCATAATAAAAAAAATAAACTAAATTAATAGTAGAGCTACTCATAATTTATTATTATAGAGAGAAGATATATTTTAGTGAAAAATAATTTATTAAATTATGATTCAAATTTTTATTAAAATATTGTGAATTACGGTATTTAAAATCATATGATATATTTATCATAATCTTATTAGGTTTTAAAAATAATAATGAAAAAACTTATCAAATAATTAATAACAATTTTTTTTATGAATCAAAAGATTTGACATGCTGGTTATCCTGGTTTTTATTGATTCTATTATAATACTCTATTTAAAATAATAGCTAATCTTACATATTCGATTGAGTAGTGCTTTCAACTCTAGGCTAATATTATAAATCATTAAATTTAAAATCATATGGTGTATTATTATATGTTGATGGTCGGAATTCTCCAGGTTTATAATCTCCAGTATTATCATACAAATTATTATAATCTATAATAGCAACTAAGTTATTTTTGTAAGGACTTGTTTATAAATAAGGGTTGCCATAGTTATTAGACATAGATTTATACGATTAAATTGGATAAGGATCATTGAGATCATTATATTTATCCCATTAACTAAAGTCATATTTCTTTTTAGGATCGTTTGAAATCTGAGGTTAATGGTATTCTTAACTTTAATTTAAGTATTATTTGGATTCCTATATATAAAATGGCTATTATTAAATCATATCGCTCCTAATTGGACTATTAATTTGTTATTTACTTTGAGGTTAATATGGAATTGTTTGTATATATTATTAAGATGGGTATTGTTGTGAGGCTGGTACTTGAGATAATGCAAATTAATTTAAAGAATTATAAGAAGGTAAATTAATTGCATTTTAGATATTCTAATTATTATTGCTTGACCTGCTAGATTGAGAAGCTTAATATGGTCTATTATTTTTATTAATGTGCTTAAGTTAATAATCTGACTAATCATCTTTTATGAGATCATCAATGTTTGCTTATATTTCTTAATTAATACCCTTTTTTTAAATTTAAGGCTATTATTTTAATTCTAAATATTGTGATCCATTTATAGAGTTTAAATCATTAAAAGGATAGCTTTAAGATTACTTATTTTATTTTTATTCATTTTATTATGATTACTATTTATTATTATTAAATGAATTTGCAAGTTATGGCTGATTATTTTAGGTATCATTTAGTAATAATTGATTATTTAGATTATTTGTATAAGATAAACATGAATCATTTAAAACACTATCATATTTTCTCTCATATGGTACATAAATATCATCCTATTCTTTCAACTTTTTTGCTTCTTCAATTTATAATGGTTATTAATGAGATATTACAGCATTTTAAATTTATAATGGTTGTTATTGAGATACTTAAGTATTTTAATTTTATTATGGTTGTTATTGAGATATTACAACATTTTAAAGTTGTTACGATTCAAATTATTCAGGTTTACGAGGTTATGATTCAATAGCATCAAGGTCTCTTGAACACTTAACACAAATACACTTTTTTTTTTTATCCACTGATGGTACCCAAGAAGGCATTTATTATTAAACAATAGGCTGATAAAATTGATTATTTAGAGGAGGTGGAAGTTAAACTTCTTTTTCTTAGGATGGAGCTTGATTAATATACTACATATTATTATTTTATTATGAGAAATAGACTTAAGGCTCTTCTGAATAGATTTATTATTAAGATTAGGATAACGATTATTATTATTATTATTATGGCATATCATAGAGATAATCATTTGGATCAGGAGGCCAATAAGATTATATTATTTTTTGACCTCCCAAAGATTGTTCTAAATATTAAGGATTAAATTAATTAGAGAGAATTGATATTTCTGTATCCTTCAAATACTAAATCTTATTTAATGTAATTGGGTCAATTTATTCTAAAATTAAGGAATTTAATTACCTTCTAATTATGATATTAATAAATTAATTGAAAGTGTACTATTTAATATATATATAAATTAACATAAATTTGGAAAACATGTTTACAATTTTTTAATAATTTATAACATTTTGTCTAGAGGCATCTTAAAAGTATCTTAATCTTTAGTTTAAATTACAACAATCCATGATTCCACCTTACCTGGATAAAACATTAAATCTTCAGCTATTTTAAATAATATGACAAGTGCTCTTTCGAATAAAACTAAATCAACTATTAATTTTGTTGATATTACAATACAAGGAATTTGATTTTAAGTTCTTCCCTCTATGTATAGGGCACCCTTTTACTAGTTTCGTTATATTTAGCATATTATACATATAAGGATTCAATTTCATAATTTAAATCAAGATATGCAGGTTATGATAATATAGTATCTCTTTATATCAATTGCTAAGTTTCATAAAATTAGATACATCAAAAGAAGATTGAATGTGAAATTAATTTGCATACAGTATTCTAAGTAATAAACTATCTGTATGATAATTTGGATAATAATTTTTATTTCTTTAAAGCTCTTATGTTAATAAATTAATTTGATTCCTTTCAAATTAATCGTAATCTTAGTTTTTAAAGATCTTTCTAATTGCATTTTAACCAGTTCCTCTCTTGATATTACTTGCTAAGGAAAATAGAAAAGTTTTTTACGATTTAATTTGATATTATCGGCTATTAACTAAGGCAATTTTAGATAATCAAATCGTTATTGATACATTAATAAATAAATTAATCAAAAAATTTCTTCAACTTTTGATAATCTGTCTTGAAGCATTCCTATAATATATAACGAACTCTTCCTCAAATATAATAAACAAAGAATTGATTAATACAATATAAACTTTTGAAGTTCTAGAGCTTATTTTAAAATAGCTACAAATCGTTTTATTTTTCAACAATTAAATTAATCATATGCTCAGCAAAAAGAATAGAATATGGGTAATAAAATTTCCAAAATAATATGAACACCTTATAGTTATATTAGCTATAATCATTACTTAAATATTATTTTAATATTTTACCTACTTATTTTGTTCTTTAAAATAACAAAATTAATATTAGCTACTTTTAAATTTCCTTTGATTCAATTTTCCTTCATTTTAAGCTATATAATTGCATCTTAAAAATTTTTCTTTTATACTATCCGAAAAATATTTAATCCCTAGATTTTGTTAAGTTTCTTCGAGTCTTTCATATGTGACATATTATCTAATAAAATCTAGATCAAATTTAATTTTGGTGTTTTTCGTTAATGTTGAATACCAATCCATTTAGTTATTGTTTAGTCTTTAATATTTATATTCTTGAATATATATAATTTTGCCAACTTTGAATAATTCTTCTTTCTCAATTGCAAATAAATTTTCTAGTTTTAATTCAACTTTGAATTATTCCATCTTCTTTCAAAATTCTAATTATCTTTTAAAGATAAGAACTTTATTGATAATTAAGTTCACCAACATATTCTATAATTCCTGAAATATTTGTATATGGTTCTCGAAAATGTTAAATATTCAATTCTCTTTAATCAAGTTTACTAAGTAATCTGTAAGTATTATTCTAAATCTGTACCATCTTTCTTTTCTAAAAGAATTCTAACAAGAACCTTTGACCAATTCTAAATAAACAATTTGGATTTATTTTTGAGCAAACCTAAATTTTAAAATTTTCATAGTTAATCTTTTATTTCCTTTACGGTATTTATATAACCTAAATAAAAAGGGTTTTCTATTTTATTATATATAATATAGATGATGATACTTTTTGTTTGATAGATGCTTTCAAAATTAATATTTGACATTATATGTCTGTTTAATTCTTTTAAGATTATTTATATATATAGATCTATTAGAGTTTTAAATAACAATCAATTAAAACAAGTTATTGCCATATTTCTTTTCATGCCAGCAATTCAAAAATTAAAGAATCTAAATTACATGTATACTCCATTGATATAATCGATTTCAGATAGATTATGTTATAATGAAATGCATGATAATAAAGAAAGAAAAAAGCGTATTAGACAATTGATATTAGATGAGGATATGTTTTCATATAAAGTAAGTAACCCATACTAAAATTTAATACCTCCCACTAAAATATTTTCTAAAAAGAATAGGATAATCCAAAAAGTTATTCAAAATGCTATGTCTTATTTTGAAAATTTATCTTAGAAGAAAAAACAATAAAAATATGATCCAGTTGAAAATGTTAACTAAATAAAATAAGACATTAAAGGAATTTAACTTTGATTTATAATTATTATATTATATTCAATTCCAATCAAAGTAGTAATACTAAATTTTTAGATAAAAATAATATTTTTTGTTATGAAATATAACGAAGAGCATTGATCAAAATCTTATATGAGGATTTTAATTTTTAATTTTTGAGTTTATTATTTATATTCAATTCTATTCTGATAAATTTTTATACTAATATTAATAAAATCTATATATTTTTGGTTAAGTAATAATTATAATCTGGAAGTGGAATAAAATAAAAAGCAGCAATAACAAATAGAAGAAAGAAAGAAGAGATGGAAAAGAATTTCATTTTTAGAGAACCAAATTATGGGAAAAAATATGAGACAAACGCTGCTATGTATACTCATGTAAAAAATAAATATATTGATTTTTTTTCTATGGATATTAAAATTGAGTTTACAAAATATATTAAATCAAGTTGTTTAATATGTCTAGGTTTTCTTAGACTTTATCATTTTGATAAGTATTTAAATTGTTTTTAAATAATTAGAAACTTTTAGGTTTAAACTTTTAAAAGAAATAGTTTTAATTGATAAATTTAGTTATGCTAAAAAATTAGTTATTTCAATAATTATTTGATTCTCAAAAGTCTGATTTTTCAGAAAATAATTGAACAAATCTCATTATTTAGAAGAATAATATATTATAGTAAATTTTTTCTATATAATTTTTCACATTTATTAGAGAAAATAAAATATTTTGGTTATTCTGAATAAAATGTAGTTATGTTACTTTCTGTGAAAATTTCTTAATATTTTCTAAAATAGTTATTTTTAATAAATGGTTTGGATTTAAAATATACTTATATCGATTATCTGGATTAGATCTCATAAATTCAGTCTATTATTATCTTTAGTTATTTTTTTAGTAATAATAATTATCAATTATATAATATTTTAATGGATCACTTATGCACAGTTTGTATAAATTAAAAAAGCCAGTTAATAAGGATATTGAATTTAAATCTTAGAGATTTGATGAAAACGGAAAAAAAGTAATTTACAAGCTTATTTGATTTATAAAAACAATTTATAAGGGTAAAATTAATAATATAGCAAAAATGGAGAAGATTTAATAAAATCTGCTAAGGGAGCATTTCATTTATCAATTAATTAATAGATTTATATAAACAATATATTGAGCTTTAAATAGGAGAATTGATTAATTTGTTTTAAGAAAAGTAGAACTTGTTATACATTAATTAAACAAATATTTTTTAAAAATAGGATTTTTATTAGGATGTGTATTAAGACAAAATATAATGAAAAAAATAGTAAATACAATAAGTTGAAATAATTGCCGTTTCATAATTAGAATAGTATGAGGATGATAAGATAATGGATTTTGGAAATATAAAAATTTTAATATAAGAGATAAAGAATTTTGGAAAGAGAATAGTGAAAAAGCTAATCAGAATATTAATTTATATAGAAATAATATGAGAAAAATACAAAATATTAATGAGAATAAGGAAAACTCAAAAGGAATATTAAGAGAAGATAAACACAAGCAAAATGTTTATTTCTTTTTTGCCACCATTTATTAGATGAAGTAAGTTTAATTTAATCTTAATAGAATTACGTATAATCAAAAATAAAGATTTTGGTAAGATTATTCCACAAACTCATATTTAGTCAGCATATAAAAACATAAATTTTTCATCATTTCTTATTCCTTAATATTCTTGTATATTTCTTATCCACATAAACATATATTTGTATCTAACTAAACAAGTAATTCATCAGTTTCATTCGATAGGATGCTTCTCTATAAATTATAAGGTTTTTAATTTATGAATCAATTTATTAAATATTTTAAACTAATTCTTCTTATTAAATTTCATAGAATCAAATAGGATACTTTATTAAATCACTATTCCTTTATCTATATTGGAATTCGAATATTATTCTTAGCAATTTCTAAATTCATTCATAAATAAACCTGAGATCTGAGAATATTATTCTTACTTTATAAATTTAAATTATACCCTATTTGCTATCTAAAGATTGGACAGTAATTCAAACCTTAAGACTCACCTTAAAAATAAATAGCCTATTGCTTTTAATTTCTAATTAAATTATGTATATTTAATATCAATTTGAAAAACAAAGGAACCTTGACTTAAGTTTTGTCAATAATACAATATCCAAGAGTTTAGAGTAATATATTCATGCAATCTAGATAATTATATGGAATTATAGGGATGGCTAAATTCCAATATTAGATTGTCGAGATTATTGGAAACAAAGCAAAAATAGAAATTGAATAAGACTTATTATAAGAATTTTGGACAGCAATTATACTTTGCTCTGAATACGGAAATGTTAAATATAAGTGTGTTTTAATTTAATGATCATTTCACACCTAATTTAATTAACTTTTATTATTTTCCTTTCATTTTTTTTCAAGCCTCATCAATTCTTTTTTCATTTTTTCATTCTTTTCTTTTTCCTCCTATATCATTTATTTTAATAGCTTTTTTTCTGATGCCTTTAATTAATATAAACATTTTTATACCTTTATACAGTTGATTTATATCCTTAATATTCATCTTATTAATAGTAAACCTCATACATATAAAAATCTCATCCAAAAATTATTAATTAATATCATATTTTGAATTAAATTTCATCATTTTTGTATCATACTTATGTTCTAATTGCAAAATGATACCTTTTTTAAAATATTCCTTTTAACTATGCAATATGAGTAAATCATTTTTTTAGAAAACTACATAAGAAAACACATTATAAAAGTTCTGTTTATTTTGTAGTTGTAGTCTAATACATATCTATGTTAGGTTTGCTTAATTGTTAACTATACCCTTCAATAATTCAATATCAATATATTTAATTGATTACTATTATACTTATTTCTATTAAAATAAATGCTCTTTATTTATTTTTTTTATTTTCTTCTAGTCCATTTCAAAAGTTCTTATCTTATTTTGGTTAAATAAATTAATAGAAAGAAGTATTTTAATCTTCTGTTTTTTAATAACTTTTTCAATTTCTTTAATTATTATTCTAATTTATCATAAATTTATTGACATTCATTTTATTTCTTTATCATTTCTTTCCTATATTTTAACAAATAGAAAAATTTTTTAAAATAAATTTTGATTAACCAGACACTATTTTTTATTACTATTTGCCATATAATATTGAATGCAAGAGTAAAGACTTATATATTATAAATTCCATCTAAAAGAAAATTCATATCAATTAATTAGAAACTTTTTATTATGTTTAAAAAATTAACTTAAGTGTCTTTATGGATGATTGATTATTTTTAGATTGAAATATCTGTTTTAATTAATACAACGAAGACTTGATTATTTTTTTGATATATAATTAAAAAAGAATAAATATTTTAATTCTATTTATCTAGTTTAACTATAGAAAGTAGTTATATCTATTTTACACACCTTAATGAAGGAATATTCCACTCTATTCTCAGATAGAAAATCTTTTTTCTAGTAAAATTGGTATTTTTTATTGAATAATCAGATTATTAATATGTTCCTTTAACTCTCCTTATGATAATCGACTGTAAATTAAAAAAAATTCGATTAAGTTATAAATAAATAATATAAATTAAAAGTAATAACTTGATAAATCTACCAATATGTTCTTTTATCTAAAACTAATTGAACAAATTTAAAAATGAAATAAAACTTTAAAGAATTTGATTTAACCTAATATTTAATAAAATTTATAGATTAATTATTTTATTCAAAATTCAATTAAATGATAATATTTAAGTTTAATTATTGAATTATGCTTGATATTCTTTAGAAAGTGATATAATATAAATAAGTTACATATTGGCTTTTATAAATTATGGAAAATCATTATAATAGATCTACTTGACAGGTTAAGGATTCATTTAACTGAATCTAAAATAATATTTTGAACTTATAATAAATGAAAACTATCAAATTGAATCTCACCTAAAATATTCATTATTTCATCATGAATAAAGAAAAAAAGTTGAAATTACTATAAAATGTTCTAGGCTTAATTTATAAACTTGTTAATTCAATTTCTATCTTACAGTGTTAACCAATTAGACATAAAACAAAAAATTTTTACAAAATAAGAGAGATTGGATGATTGAAATTAATTATTATAAATATAAAAATAAAGTCAACTTCAAAAAATGGAATAAATAATCTTGACCAATAAATAACTAGTTTACTACTTTAATAATCTTATTACCTATTTGAATAAAATTTTGTGGAAAAAGGGATAAATAATTTCAAATAAACTTTCTTATTTAAAATGAAATTTTGATTCTGGACATTAACTATAAACTCTAGATTTAGAAGAAATGAGTGGCTTTATTACTACTATTTTTATTAATCTATTTAAAATTTTTATTATTATATAATTTTATTTTTTAAAATATCTCATAAATAAATTATTTTTAATGATTAGTTTTGCTTGTTAATAATAGAACAGATAAAGCACAGCTAAAAATAGAATTTGTTTGCATTTATTTAGGAAAAAAGCTTTAAATTATGAATCTTCTTATAAAATAACTTTGGATTTTATAAATGGAACTTTTAAAAAGTTTAATTTTTAAAAGATATTATGAATTTGCAATAAATAGTATAAAGATTAAAGGCAGACCACTTAAATACTTTTATATATTATTAAAGGAAGGCTTGATTATAGAATGTTCAAATATCTAAATCCAAAAATTTAATGTCATTTTTTTAATTTCAGCTTATTAATTAAATGATATTTTGAGAATCTTTCTTTTAAAGACAAATCTGAATTTAAAGACTTTAGTATGCATAACTTTTTGCTATCCCTTATTTCAGTTAGTTATGATTATTAACTTCAATTTATTATCATCATTTTTCCATCATCACATTCTTCAAATTTCTCACCTTTATAGTACATTAGTCTATCAATAGCCTTTTAATTCAATTAATATTTGAAAAGCACTACATTTTTTTACAGTATTTAAAAGCCATCATTTGTAAATGGTTTTAGATTGACATCATCATCGCATTTTTATAAGTTTATTACTAAGTTAAATAAAATTGCCATACAAAATATTTGAATATCATTATTAAAATCCCGCATATATTTTTCTTTATTTTAATTAAATTAACAAGCTTTTTGAAATGTAATAGAATAATTTCTTCAATATTATTTTATATTTTAATAAATAATATCATAACTCTTTATTGCTTAGAACTTGATTACATATTGATACAACAATCCTCATCCTAACAATACAAAATCTTAGTATTAATATGAATAAGTGTCGCCATTTTATTAATAACACCCTAAAATATACAGACTTCTCTCTACAATTTATTTTTCATTGATTGTACTTTTATTATTACCCAAATTTATTGAACATTATAGAACCCTTTTTTCATTTTCATTTTTTACCAACTAGATTTATATTATTACCTTTTAATAAAACATTGCTCCTTTTTATATTTTCTGCACACTTCATATAAAATCATGACAGAATGTGTAAAATTTTAATATTTTTATTATGATTTGCTATAATATATAATTATATTTTGACAGATTTCATCATCAGAATTTATAATCTTTGTCCAAAAAATTACTAATCATTTTAATATTGCTACTTTCATTTTTTATACCTTTAAGAAATCAATTTAAGATTATATCCATATTCTTTTTATTCATTTATTTTAATAATTTAGATTAGAATGCTTAAGATTCCTTGATTAACATATTTATTGAGAATTAAAATTAATAGCTAATGGAGATTATATACAGTTATTTTGTTGTCACTTTTAATTCTGATTCAAAAATATAAATAATTTTTAATTGAATTTTGGTATAGAAATGAAATTAAACTTAATAAATAAATTCTTTCCAAATCTTTTGAAAGCTCAATATTTAATTTAATTAAGTAGCCATTTCTGTAAGGTAGTCAAATAATTAAGCCAATATTTAGCATTCATCACATATCCCAGACTTTACATTTATTCATAGATTTTCTATTATAAAGATAAAGATTCACATCTCTTATAGATACTAAACTTCTATGCATAAGTTCTAATTAGGAATATTTTAATTTATATAAATCGATAATTAAAAATTCTATCTCCAAATTGTTTTATCAAAGTTTGAAGTTACATTTTTTCACAATATTTATTTAACGATATCCATAAAATACTCAAAAATATTCTTATTAATATAGAATTATTATTTTTATGAATATTGTTAAAAAATTACATATTCAAATATCTATCTATCTAACTATCTATCTATCTATTTTATGTCAAATTTTATATGAATTGATTGATCAACATTCTATGCCATCAAAATAATTTAATTTGTTATTTATTATCTATTTACAATATTATGTTTACTATTATTCTATTTAACATAATTAATCGAAAACAATCCTTACGATATAAATTTATTTAATTCATATATTATAAGCATTATTACTTAATTTAGAAAGCCACATATAATGAAAAAAGATATTTTTATTAATAAATTTGATTAAAGAAATAGAATATAACTAAAAAGGAACATATTTCTCGTAGTTGAATTTAAAGAAAATTCATTCCAAAATTTAAGATTTGTTAAAAGACTAGATTCGTAAAACATATTGAATGAATATTAGAAATTTCTAAATGTATCAGTATTAATCTCATTTTATAAAATTCTTATATTTTTATTTCTTTATGAAAATTTTATTAAAATTAATATAATAATTTTTTAGGAAAGTTATTTTAATTATTTTAATATAAAAGGTTTTCACTATCAATTAAAATTTCAGATCAATAATAAATTTAAAAGATAGAGATCATTAAAAGACATAGTATGTCTATCTCCTCCAAAGAGAATCATTTGATTATCGAATATTGCTACTGCATGTCCATCTCGAGCACAAGGTTTTTTACCATTAATAGTATTTTATCCATTTGATAAGGGGAGAAGAAATCTATCATATAAATAAAATAATACTTTGAGATAATTTATTATCCAAATTCAGTTAATGTTCCTTTTGTTAATTTTAAATCTTGTTTTGGGTTTCCAATTAAAATTATTGAAGTTTTTAATTTTTCAGTCACATTACAATCATCTTAAAATAAAGCCCTTTTATTAATTTCAACTTCAAATAGTTTAAGCATAGCTGCTTTTTTCTTAAGTTTTTCTAATTGTTTTCTTTCTTAAACATGATTAACAGAAGTATTAATTGAAGAGTTATTATTCTTCTAATTTGAATTCTAAGGTAGATTTTGATTTTTAGAAAAATATGAATACTAAGATTAAGATGAGGGTCTAATTTTTTTTGGTGATGAATTTGGAGACTTTCTTAAACTTAAAGGTTTCTATAAAGAAGGTAATTTGACAGATCTTCTTTATTTTTAAGGACTTTTATTGTATTTTGTAGGAGAAGGAAGTTCTAATTCTTTTCTTCTAGAAGTATCTTAATTAATTGATTTCCATTCTTATTGATTAATACGAAAAATATGTAAATCATCTAATTCCCAAGTAACATCATGTATACCTCCAAAAAGAACTAATTAATTTTAATAAACAATTAGTGAATGTCCAGATCTACTCATCGGAATATCATAAAGATTATTAATAGGAATAAAATTCCATTCTTGAGTTGATAAATCAAATGACCATAAATCATTATATCTTAGATCCCCATTCTTGCCTCCAAACATATAAAGATTTGAATTATGAATAGCTATAGAACTACCATCTCTAGGTGATGGTTATTTTTCTTTAGATTTATTTAATTTAATCCAATGGTTTAGATTGAAACTATAAGAATATAAATCATTAGAATGTTTGCAAATATCTGCACAATAAAAGCCACCAAATAAAATTAATTAATCATTGTAAACAGTAGCACAATAGTTATCCAATGGTTATGGATATGACTCATTTATTTCTATTTTTTTCCAAATTTAATGATTGACGTCATGTACAAATATTTCATTTGTACATATTGAATCAGCTATTTGTCCTCCAAATAAGTAGAGATTGTTTTTGTAAGCACAAAGCGAATGACAACAACGTGGTCCAGGTTCATATTCACATTTTATATTTTACCAATAGAATGATTCTGCAGTCATATTAAGTTTATAAAAGTCTTACAAGATTCCTAAAGAATACTAATATCCACCATATAAATATAAACTAAATAAAGATAGAATAATTACAAGTTTGAATGAATTGCTATTGCACAGTTTGAACGAGGGGTAAGGTTTTTACCTTAAATTTTACATTCTTACCATTTAGGGTCTAATTAATCTTAAATAGCTTTTGTCATCAAAGGAATATATTTATACTATGTTTCTTAAACTTATGATTCTGTTGGGCTCGCTGGACCAAGATTAATTGAATCAATTCGTCTTTATTACTATGACCTGTTTGAATACATCAGTTTGAGTAATCACAATTTCACTAAATTAATATTATTGATTTGTTTTAAGATGTCTAATAAATGCTTAGTGATAATTGTTTAATATTTAATCATAAATCACATATATTTTAGATTTTGAATCATAAATAAAGATTGTAACTAAATAAGAAAGAAATAAATAAATATTTATTGTTTTATATTTAATTTATTTTTAATTCGCATTAGAAAATGATATCTCTCTATTATATTCTAAACTTTGTTTTAATAGGCATATATCCAATTTCTAGAATATTTAGATTACTAAATTTCTTTATTTTGGATATTCCAGATGAATTAGGTACTACTAGAGAAAACTCAATATTTTATACAATCATGGCATTTACAGTAATTAAATACTTAAGAAGTTATTCTACTCTATAATTTCTAAGCTCACTCTTTTTTACAATAAAAGTTGCATTAATAACAAGTTATTTGTTTGTAGATATTAAAATAAGTTTATTATATGCAGGAGCATGTTTAATGATATTTGTTTTATGTAGTGAACCAAAATTCAATGGGAAAACTAAAATTTAAGATGTTGAAGATATTAAAGAATTTGAAGAATTGGTTGGAGTTAAATTTAGAGATAATGATGAAGGTGATATTATTGAAGAATTAAATGAAAGATTTAAAAAGAAATAATAAAGAAAAGAAAAAAGTTAAAAAATTTTAAATTACAAAATCACTGAAATGGTTTTTGCTGAATTTTATGTAGATTGGGCAGATACTTGTAATTATGTAAAAAAATTAATTTATATTAAGACAAAAGAAATTTGGGCTAATTTCTCATGTAAATATACAACAAAAGGATTGAAATTTATTTCTATAAATTTAGCTAAAATACCAAGATTGGCTGAATGTTATAGAATTAATACAAGTGCTATGTCTAGATAACTTCCCACTGTTATTCTTTTTGAAGATGGAGAAGAAGCATAACGATTTCCTCCAATTGATGAAAAAACTAATAAAATACCTAAAGTATTAAAATATGGGAAAAAAGAATTGCAAAGTTACTTTGATCTAGAAAAACGATATTTAGCTACAAGAGATTTATGAGTTTATTTATTTTGATTTATTAACTATATTTTTATTAATATATTTCATTTCTTTCCAAGTTTCTTTAAATTGAATATTAACACTATTTTATAATCTAATTTATTCATTTTCAGAATATAATATGATAATATATTTTCATTTATTATTATATAATCTACTATTTAGACTTAAAAAAGAAACAACTAAAAATTAAAACAACATAATTTAAAGTAGATAATGTTGTAAACTGCAAAGAAATCAATTTAACTGTTCATTTTCAATTAAAAATCATTATAAACAATGATAAATTTATATAAAAATGCTAGAATTCAAAAAGGAATTGATCTTTATTGTCATTCAAAATTTAAATAAGGAAAAAATAAATGTTTGTGGATTAAAATTTCATGAAATTTTGAAATTAAAAATTAAAGTAAATATGTAGATGTATAAATTTATTTCTAATTTAACAATTTTAAGAAGATAAATAAAATTCTGGATTTAGAGAAGAATTTAAAATAATTGGAATAAATAAAAAATAGAAAATAGAGATTACAATTAGAATTGATTATGAATAATTATCGAATCATATAAAAATATGCTGAAAAATATAGAAATTAAATTAAAATTAGATTTTGAAATTGAAAATATATCAAGACTTATTAGATTGAATAAAATAATATTTTCTATATATTTGATCTATAAATTTGATATTTAATCAGAAACTGATTTCGTTATCTCCAATAACAGTGAATAATTTTAATGTTTATACCTTTAACTTTGGCTTTTTGATTAATGGTCTTGTAGCTCTGTCATATATTCTTTTGAGTTACAAAAATTAAGAATAAGTATCTAATCCTAGACAGAATGTTAAGATAACACTAAAGAGAATAATATTTAACCATCCAAGCATATTGAAAATTTAATTATTACTTAAAATTTCAGGGATACAATAAATTATGAATGATAAAGTATTGAAACTCAAACAAAATTCAGTGACAATAATTTTATAGTTTTCAAATTGATGTTAAAATGGTTATAATAATAATACATAAATTGCAAATGATGCAGATATGAAGGAAATCAATAAAGTTTAGAAAAATGGATTACCTTAAAGTAAGATTAAAGAATAAATAAAACATAACTTTTTAAATAAATTTACAGTATTAAATTATTTATTCCATTAATTTCTTCCAATATTTAATCCATCTACTAATACAAATAAGTTTTTCTAAAATACATTTTTTTTTGATAATGATGCATAAAATATCAATATGATAGAAGCATTTAAAATCAAAGTAGCACAAGCTAAAAGTGAACTATATTTTAATAATGCTGTTTCAGTTTTAAAATTTATTACTTAAAGTAATGCAGAAAATGTTAGATCATAATAATTTGATAACACGATCCTAATTAATCCTGAAAAGAAAAAATATTTCATATATGAAAATGAGGTTGAAAAAAGTAATGAATATATTTTCATAGTTATCAAATAAAAATATCTCTTAATTTTATTTGGAGTGTCACCCCATCCTATTTTAGGTTTTTTCAGAATATAAGTAATAATTATAGCAATAAGGTAATTTCCAAAACCTAAAATCAAACATACTAGAAAACTTTAAAAATTAAGTCCAAAATATGCATTTATTCCAAACATATTAAATTTTCCAAAAGCAAATATTTCAGGGGTTTCTATGTTAAAATAATCCTCAAAAAAAGTATTTATTTTAACAGAATCAAGTAAAGGTTAAATTGTTACAAAACTAAAAACATCAAAATATAAATCTAAATGATATGGAAAGTTAATATTAATATATCTAATGTAGGATAGTTATTGTAAAACATCAATTAAATTAAATAAGATTTCTAAATTGCCACTTAGAAAAGAAACAACTGCTAATGACAAAACAGAGTAAATGATAAGTTGGCTTAAAAAAGCAGCACTAGCAGCAACAGATTTAGAACTATCAGATACAACATAAGAGTCATTCAGAATTAGATCTTGACTATCTATAAGTAATTTATTATCATATTCATTAACTAGATAAATAGATTTTATTTAGACTTTTAGATTTGGTTTAATAATTTATTCTTTGATAGTTAGTGTAATTCTATAAGAGACTTCATTTAATTCATAGGAAATTTGATTGATAGGTACAACACTAAATGAAAAATCAACACTTTATTTATTTGTGATAAAAACTTAGATTTAATTTAAAAAATCTTCAGAAGTAACTTAAGGGCTATTTAATTTGACTTTTTCAGAGAAAGTTAACATAACATCTTGAGTTTATTCAGTTTATTTAGTTAATAAAGTAAGTGTAATTTTAGGATAAACTAGATAATAGCATTCACTGAGAGATTGAATAACTTTGCATCTCCAATTGGTTTCAATAATGCAATATTAATTACATCCATCTTCGATTTTAATATTACCATCATCACATTCTTCGAAATAGGGGTTTAAAATTCCATCCCCACATTTACTTTTACAATATGGACCATTCTCATAAAATCCTTCAAGACATTCTATACATTATCCTTAAAAACAATTAAGACAATAGATATCACAAGAATATTCACATTTATAACAACCATCATATTCAATATCGTTACCATCATCACAATATTCTTATCCATTAACAATTTTATCACCACATTTAGTTTCACATTCTTCACTTTTTTAATTATAATAATAACCTTTAATCGCATTACATTTTTCACAAATAAAGCCATTACAACTATTGCAACCAAGAGGACATTAAATTTTGCAGTCGTAACAACCATCATAAGGTAAATAATTACCATCATCACATTCTTCATTAGGTATTTAAATCATTCCATCTCCACAGAATCCCTCACATTCATTTTTAAAGCATTTTTAATAAAATGTATCCCATATACATTCTTCATTATTAATATCTTTTTTACAACCATCTTAAGTTTTAATTTCTGTACAAGTTTTTAAAATAGTACATCCACCTTCATTTTTATTAGTACATCCTTTTAGATAATTTTCACATTCTATATGAGTATTAAATTGAATCGATGCTGTATCACATGATTTTAAAACACATAAATATTAAGGATGATCAAACCATTAACATTCATTCATTTATGAATCAAATGTACAAGCATCTTCTAATAATGCATAATCACAAGAAGCTCTTTCCACACATTCATAACCATTAGTTGTACATTTAAAATTCTCCATAGCATATTTACATGTTTCATCATTTCTGTATGCATAATCATTACATTACATTTACTTACATCCAATTAATTAGCATAATTTATATTCTAAAAATCCTTCACATTCTTCATTACTTTTTAAGTTAGAAGGAGCATTACTACATGTTTTTTCTCTACATCTTCCTTATTCTTTATCCCAAAAACATGGAATTCCTTAACTGTTAACCTATCCTGTTAAACTACAAGCCTCTTTATTATATTTCTTACAAGCATCTAAACCTTCAAAACATCCATCTGAATTATTATTGCTTGTACAAATAGACATAGAAAAATATGTTTAGCATGCAGTAGGAGTATACAATCCTAAAGTTGCTGTTTAACATGTCTTTATTAAACAACTATTATTTTGCCATTCGCAATCAATTCCATTTTTATCTATTATACATTGTTATTGTATTGTATAATTAATACAATCATCTAATTCAATACAACCTGATAATCCAGAATTCACTGTGCATTTTTTTGACATCTAATTACATTTTAAATGACTATTGTTAATTGAATCTAAAATACTACAATCTAGAGTAAAACATTTATTTTTTTCAATACTCCAGTAACATACATTATAAGAGCTATCATAATTACACATTTAATCTATCAAATACAAAGAACATTCAATAAATAAATCTTAACATTATCTTAATCCAGGAACAATTGTGCAAGATTTATCTAAATAATAATTTTCACATTCAGATATTGTATCATAATTTTATGATTTTGGAGCACCTGTGCAATCTTATATACAAACATTATTAGTTTAATCAAATTCACAATGCTTTAACCAAGTTTTACAATCCTATAAACTTGTAGGAGGAACACCAACATAATTATCACAAGTTCTATTTTCGCATCTTGAATCTATTGAGTTCCATAAACATCCATTATTATCACTATTATAACCAGTATTACAATCAGCCTCTAAATTGAATCTATGACAATATAAATAAGTTTCAAATTTTACACATTTGGAATCGATTGGTTCCCACATGCAAAAATTTGTTATAGAATTACATATTGATTCAGTTGTGTAATTATTACAGTCTAAAAAAATGCATTAACTTGATGTAGAGTTAGCTACACATTATTTATGATAAGCTTGACATAAAGTATGTGTTAGCCCAGCTTATGATTTAGTTAGACAATAATCAATGCAACTAGGGTTTTAATTTGTATCCCATTAGCACTTTTGCCCAGTAATTGTAGAAACACATTCCTTATAATAGATATAGTCTGTGCATTAAAGTTATTTGTAGGTACATGTAGAAACTTCATATGTTATAGTTTAATTTGGATTCTAAAAAAAGCAATCATTATGAGACAATGGTGGATTTTTAATGGTTGAGGAACATGAATTTGTATGAGAACAAGTATTGTTACACCAATAACATTTAGAAACAAAGGTTTGATCATTGTCATAATATCCATAAGCATTTTAACAAGTAGATTATGATAAAATTGAAATGCATTTTAAATGAATACATTAACCTATTTAAGAAGAATAGATACAATATACCCAATGATAATTACGACTAATATTACAAACATCTGAATTGGTAATATCTGCACAAGATCTAAATTCACAACCTTAGCCATGTCTATAATTGAGTTTGCAAATAGGGCTTAATAATTCACAATCATAATTAAGAGTTGCAGTAGTGTTGTAAGAACATCTTATATTTTAAATGCAACCATAACCATATTGCCATTTACAACCATTCCTAAGACATTAATAGATATCTGTAAACCCAGTACATGATGGACTAATACAGTATGATGATGAAGCATCTTTTATACAATATCTCACCCATCTATAACATTAATAATTATCAATTGGGGAAGTAAAATCATTACATGTTCTATATCTACATATTGAACCATTATGAAAGCACTTCTCACCATAAATAGTAATAGAGACATTACATTCAGAGGGTAATCTATTCTGAATGTCATAACAATCTCGTAAGTCTACACATGAAACTCCATCATATCTGCATTATTTTGACACATCAAAACACTAATAATCTGAAAATCTTGAAATCATAGAACATTCCATAATTCTACAATAATCATCCCAATAACATTGTATACCAACACCTGATACAGAGCATTTCGAGTAGTTTTAAATAGAATCACAATAAGGCTTATATCTACAATAATTATAATCTGAATCATATACACAATCATTATAATTAGTATGCATAAAATTACATAAGCTATAACCGTAAGAACCGCAATAATATTTATGTTAACATCTACCATATTCATTTTATAAATTTCCTATACAATATTCTGCATGATATTAACATATGTGATGCTACTGAATTCCTTATGTTGATATTGAACTACAATCCTCACTTCCTATGGTTGTACAGATTCCGGTATATAAACATCGAGATCCATTTTATAATACTGTTTTATTACAAGCTAATTCTGATAAATAAGAACAATCAGTCTTTCTAGTCTCACAACCAGGACCATATGTTCCATTCGAATTTAATTTAAATTAACACTTAAAACCTTATTTCCATCCAAAACATTATGATTCATTTTATGCCCATGTATTTGTTTCACATTGTACTTCTGAACATATATTAGTTGATCCATTCCACAAACAATTCTCAAATTTTTAATTTATAACACAAGATTATTGATCAGTATATTAATTGCAATTTAATTTTATTTCTATACAAGTAGGTCTTGAAACTGTGCAATTTATATCATAATTTTCACAATTTTAATTGTTAATTGAATAACTAAATTATAGCGATTCACAATCGATATCTGTACATACTTTCAAGGTGTTATTCCATGTACACTTTTACCCTGATATTGTATAAGAGCATTAATTAAATAAGTAATCAGAACACAAATTTGATTTTTCTACACAACCAACAATTGGTTTAACAGTGCATTTATTATTCCAAGCATAACATTTTTAATGTGAATCAAAAAGAGGAGAGTCAGAAGCATCAGAACAAAGCAAATCAGCAGGTCTATCTCTACAACCCATACTATCTGAATCTAAAATACATGAAGGATTAAATTCATTGCATAAAATATTACTATTTAATGTCGTCGCAGCATTACTACAAATTTTACTTTTACAAGATGATCCATCCCAATAACATTAAGTCCCATCATATAAACCATAATTGCATTATCTCTAATTTCCTAAATAAGTACATTATGTAGGCCAATCTTAACAACCATTGCCAGATACTTTTAAAATGCAAGGAGGTGTTATCAACTTTAGTTTATATTATAAACAATCTTCATTTGTTACATAAGTCAATTCAGCGTCAGAACATTATTTAGCAATACATTAATTAATAGACCATTTACATTTTTAACCAGATTTTGTTGTATAACATTATTATTCATAATATTCTTCACATATACTTTTTTTCATTGTACAACCTTTTAAAAGCTTATTTGAACCAAAAACTAAAACATTTACTGTACAATTAGATATCCATTCCTCACATTTACTATTTGTATTATATTCAATTGGAGCTTTAGAACATTATTTATCGATACAACCAAATCTTCTCATACATTTATTTCCATTATAATCTTATAAACATGGCACCTAATCAGGTATTGCCTCACATAAATAATCTACACAATTTCCGAGTTGAGAGCTGTATGTACATTTTTTACTTACGGCTTGACATTTTTCATGAGTATCATATGCAGGGTAAATAAAATTAGTACAAATGAGTTATACACACTTATTTTAAGACCATTTACACCAATTACCAGCTTTATCAAACTCACAAAATTCTTAATGTTATATCAAATCGCAAGTTTCTGGATAATCTTAACAACCACCTCCATATTTTCCTATACATATTCCGAATTTCTTGCATTCACTTTAACCATAACTTTAAGGTGCATATGAACATTATTTAACAAAACATTTATCATCATACCACATACATCCTAGTTACTATTATAAATCACAATCAAGTTCTTATTCAAAACCTATACATGTTGATGGTCTATTTTTGCAACCTCCACCTTTAACACTTACACAATCCAATTTTTAATCATAACCTTAACATAAATAATAATTTGAATATTCTTGAGAGGCAGTACTACAATTTTTAATTGTACATTATTTTTTATTATAAGCACATTTATTATTATTTTCATCAGTAATACATGCTTCTATATTTTAAGCATCTTAACACCTTTTCCTATCTGTACAAGTAACACCATTAGTAGTACATTTAGACAAGATCTTTTTACAAGCCTCATCTGTTTATCCTATAAGGTTTTCACATTTTAGGTCTTTACATGATTTTTAATAAGGATTCCAATAACATTTTATCTATTGATCTCTATTTGTAATACATTAATTTTCATTCTATTGATCATTGCAACTCTCTCCACTCTCTTAACATCCATATGATTTTTTACTTACTGTACAATAAGAAATAGCTTATCTACATTCTTAATCAGATTTAAAATATTCTGGTAACAAACTACAATCTGTGATTTTTTTGCAATTTGGAATATTTGAAATATCCCAACCACAATATTTTCCATCTTTATTTTTATTTTAACAAGCTGTATTAGTCATATAATCTTCACATTCCTTTACTTCTATACATTTCTCTCCATCACTCACACATCTATAAGAAGAGTCAGAACACTAATCTTTCTGAAATATACTACAATCTTGAAATTCAGTGCACTAATTTAAGTGAAATCCACAATTCTCTAATGTATTACATTTCTCTTATGGATATATTTTACAATTTGATGGATCTAATTGAGTTATTTTTGTTATATATTCTGTAGCTTCTTTTAGTGAACATTATAAGCCATCCCATTTACATATTATTGATTAAGCACATTTTTCTTAATTTCCTAAATGCCCACAAACACATATATTTTATCCCTATTACAGCGATTAAAGTATAAGCAAAAATAATAGAGCTTCTTTTATTTACATTAATTTTAATAGTTCTAATTAAATATTCTGGTAGAATTAACCCTATTTATCATAGAAATACAAGTCTTTATAAGTATCAAGCCTTTTAATATCACTTCAAACATTCTATACTTTGATTCTGTGTATAAATTATACATAACGATAAAAAATATTATAATAATAAACTTTCCGAGCTTTTAGAATTACTAAAAGATTTCAAAATATACAATTCTTATTGTTTTATTAACAAATTTATTTTCTAATTATTTTTATTAAACATTTTTATAATTCTTCAATTCTTTCTACAAAAAAAACCTTGAATTGTTCCTCTTTTTAAAAAATTTTCAAGATATAATCTTAATAAAGTTCATATAAATTCAAAAGCTTATTCAACTTTTTATTAAAAAACATTTTATTTTTTAAGAAATGAAGAACAATTTATCTTAATTTTTAATAAGCTAAAATATTAAAAAATTAAAACAATATTTCGAATCTAAAACTTATTATAATGAATAAATCCCACCATTACTTTTCTTGATTAAATTACTCTGATCATATCGATTTATAAACTTTTATCTTTTTAATTGAAATAGTAATATCATAAATATTTTTATGTAGAAATAAAAATAATTACTTAAGCCATAATAAATTCAAATCGAAGAAAAATTAATATATTCTTTTAAAAATTAAATGTAATTCAAGAGTATTTCTATTAAATTGAGAATATAATTTAAACAATATTCCTTTTTTTGATTAAATTTTTAATTTATAAATGAAATTCTAACCCTATAAGTCTAGTTAAAAAAAGGAAAGTTGAAAAACATCCTTTAAATCTTAAAAATTAAAAAAATCGTAATTTCTTTTATTTAAAAATTGTAATTATGAATTAGAAATTGGCAAAGGTTCAAAACAATAAAATCAAAAAAATAATTATCACATCTATATGCGGTTACATTAAATAAATAAGTCCATTTAAAAGTAAATTCTTTGATTGTTAAATCTCTATGAGTGAAATTTCTTAAAAATAAAAATTTAATTTAAAAAAATAAAATGATATAGTTGACTGATATTTATCTTAATAACTAAGATATTTTTTGAGTAAAATACATTATTTTCATCATAGTAGATGATTTATTTCAAAAATATACAAGTATGTTTAAATAGAATAAAGGCTTAAATGTATTTGCATACTTAATTGCAATCCTAAAAGATTAAATCAATAAGAGTTAAAAGTGTAGTTATTACATAAAGAATATAGCTTAATATAGCTTTTCTTTTAGAATTATGACTATTTCAATTACAATAACAAAACTAATTAGAATCAATACATAAGAATATAGTTTAGGCATTTTTATATCTATGAAAATATTTTTTTTAGGATTTATTTCTTAGAATATAATGATTTTAAATAAACCTTTAAAAGTTCAACTTGTATTCTATTGAAAAAATAAGGAATATCAGAATTTTTAATCAAAATCTTCACAATACTGACATAATATTTTAAAGAATTCAGAATGAATAAATTTAAATAATTTTAAAACCCTAGCTCAAAATTAATGAAGTGGTCAATGTAGATAAATTTTAGTTCAAGGAAATTATAAGTAATAGGAATTATTATTTGAGCAACATTGAATCGTATTGTAAATTTGAGAATATCTTGAATAAATTAATTACTTGCTGACTTAATCCTCAAATGTAAAGTTTAATTTTAAGTCTTTCTCCTTTGATCAAGTTTTTAATGATATTCCTTTATAGTTGATCTTTCATTTAAATCCACATTTCTATAGATTCATTTTAATCTGATAATTACTTTTTTTTTAATTTAAAAAAAAATAAGAATTTGATCTTCAAAATGAAGGCAGGGAAATACATAACACATTATCTGAATATAAAAATCAATTATAAATAATTATTAGTATTCATAGACTTTATTCAATTTTTTTAAACTCTTGACTATAATAATAAATAAATTAAAAATGCAGCCACCTAGCTAAGATGAAGAAATAATAAATTTTATGAGTATTACAGGTTGTTCAGACTTTTAAAAAGCATTATCGTATATGCAAATGGCTGACAACAAACTTGATGTATTATAAAAACTTAATTAGAATGCGATTTAACTCTATATGGATTTTGAAGGAGGCATGAGTTAAAAATCTTAATAGAAAGAATTATAAGAGAAATAATAATAGAGGCCAGTCATTTAAGAAACTCCAAAAAGTAAAATTTTAACTTATTGATATAGGATAAGTTTAAAGTCTTAATTAAGGTATTCAAAGATAAACATAAGATGTTGCTTTGGTTGAAAAATATAGAAAGTACTAAGAAGAAAAAAGAGCAAAAGAGGATGGCTTGGTGAAAAAAACTTTCCAAATAGGTGCAAATATTTTTTCCTATATATGTAATATTTAAGTTTTTATATAGTTAAAAATCAACCTAATCATGGAAATGATTTTTTAAAATATCTCTAATAACACTAGATTCAAACAGAAATAAATTTTCAACCTGGAAATTTCTAAGAAAAAATTAAAAACGTAAATCAAGAGACAAGGCCTTTGTTAGTCTATTTACATAATAACTAAAATATATAGATATTTTAGAAGATGTCTAATTGCAAAAACTTTGTTACAAATCTTAATAAAAATTATCTTATACTAGGATTTTTAAACAATTAGCAAGTTTATGAATAATTACCAAATAAACCAGAGCCTCCAGCAATTTTAATTTATAAATTAGATATTGTAGATGAAGTTGTTTTAATGGATTAATATACTTTAACAACAGATACTAACTTTGAAGAATTAGCTTAAAAAATTAAGACAATAAGAGCATAATTTAATAAAGAATATATTTATATAGAAAATATAAAAAAAGAAGTAAATTCTCCTAATTAATTTAACTTTAATTCTCTTATTTATACCTAATAAAATTTCTATCAAGTTTAGTAATAATAATAATAGCAAGATTAAGTGTAAATTTAAAGATAAAAAGAAATGTAAAGAGAAAGAGATTTATTAATTTAATCTTAAAAAGAAGCTTATCAATATGCAGAATAATAGGCAATGGAAAAGAAAAGAAAAGATGAAGAATTAAAATTATAAGAATAAGCTAAATAATTGGAATAATAAAAAAAAGAAGTATAATAATTTTATTTATTGTTAAAGGAATAAAGATTGTTGAAAAAAGCAACACTTTTATCAAATTTACCTGAAGAACCTTAAAATTAATAAGGTATTTCTATTCTATTCCGATTTATAAATGCAACAAGAACAAGAAGATTTAATTTTAACGATAAAATTCAAGTAATATATTTTAATATTAAGATATTATTTGATTTTGTATAAAGTTAGGAAGATGAATGCTTTCATGACCCATATGCCGAAATAGACTTGATCTAAAATTTCCCTAGATTATCATTAAAAGATAAGATTGAATTAACAATAAGTGAAGTTTTTATAGATTCTGAAATGGAATAATTAATTGTAGATGAACAAGAGTGATAATTAAATAATCATTTAATAATTATACTTAATGAGCGAATCGTTAAATTTTAATCTAAAGTTATACAGAGAAAGATTGGTTGATAAATATTCAAAATCTCCTGTTGAAACAAGATTTGATTCATCCATTAATGGTATAGAAAGTCAAAGAAAAACTTCGATAAAGAAAGATAAGGCAAAGTAATTATAATTATAATTTGTATAATAATAAGTGCTCCTTCATTAAATACCTTAGTAAATAAACTCTAAGAATATAGTAATAAGAAAACTAAATAAAATGATTCGTTTTTATTTAAATCAGGTAAAAGCAATCAAAATTCATCTCCAAGTAAAATAAATGGATTACATTAAAAGTAAATATAAATTAAATTACACTTAGAATATAATCAATATCTTCATTATCACCTCCTCCTTAATAAAATAATTTACAATTTCCATCTAAAGGTCATTAATATTCAATAACATAATTTAGTGGAATACTTTCCCCTTAAAAACAAAGTGTAATAAATCCAACTCATTTTTCTTAAATGACAGATAGATATGATTAATAAGAATCTAATACTGATATTTCAAGTCTTATCCCTTTACATGAAATTGTTAATATGCGAACTAAACTTGAAAATGCAAATATTAATGTGGCCAACATTACACCTACATATTTGACAGAATTTATTAAATTAGCTAATACTATTCATTTACAATTAAAAGTGAATAAAAAGTAAGGGTGACTTATTGAATTTCAATAATTTCAATATATATATCTTAATATTTATTTATTTTTTTTATACTTTAATATTAAGTTCAAGTAGAATTAGAATTATTTTAGTATAATTTAGTTATTTGTTTTAAATATTCTTTTAGAATTCTTTCAAATAGAGTTATACAATCTAATTTTAACTAAAAAGCTAAAATATATTATTCCACCTAAAAATGAACTTATATCATTTATGTTTAATAATCTTTGAATAATACGTATTTTAATGAATAAATAAAATCTCATCGATATTATTCCAATCATCTGGCCTTAAAAAACATCTGCAAGAGAATAAGAAATATAGAGAGTTATCTAAGAACTCATGTAACTCAAAGAAAATTAACCAAATTTGAATGAATCCATTAATTTTACAATCTAATATATAGCGTAGCATGCTCCATATAATGATGTAGTAGTTTCTTTTCAAAGTTTGATTAATATCAAACATCCAATTTAAGATTTACTTAAATATTTAAGCACTTTCTCAGAAAATACCTTAATATAAGTAGTAAGAAAAGTTAATTTAAATGATCTAAATTCTGATTCTGATGAAACAGATTTTACCTACATCGATCCTTATGAAGAGAAGAAAAAACAATTTAATCTTAAAATGATGAAAAAAGTTAGTTTTCCAAAGTTATAAAAACTTATAAGTGATATTTATAGGTTGGAATTGTTAACAAAAGTTTATTCATGGGTAAATCAATTAACATACGTTGATTATCTAAAAGTGAGTGTATCAACTATAAAGAAAGCATTATAAACTGAATACTTAGATGAACTAACTATTAACACTGTTATCTAATGTGCAAAAGGTTCCTGTTAATGTGCTTATTAATATTTATAAGATACACCTAAATTCTAGAAATTAAAAAATACACTTCATTAAATAGCTCTTTTTCAAGATGTCGATTTATAAGTGCTATTAAATTTATAAAAAACTGATTAATACCCAATCAAAGAATGTGTTTGGACTAGATAATAAGTTATCTAATGTATTTTATTATTTTGCTTGATTTAATGTGAACTTTTAATACATGATTTCAAATTTTCAACTTTATAATCCAAATCTTTTTGCTCTTTTGAAATTTCATGGAATGAATCTGGATTTAGCTAAATTAGGGATTATTTTCCTAAATTAGCTAAAAAATTAAATAAAAGATATTAAATTTTGAAGGATATTCCTTATTTTGATTCAAAAACTAATTATTTAATTTTTATTTATGCTTAATCTTTAGTTGGATATTACCATCATCATGTTAATTATGATAATTTTTAATTAAATGAAAATCTAAAACAAACCATCAGAGAAATTTTAGAAAATTAATATAAAGAAAAAAATTTAGCCCTTCAAATAATAATTTCAAATGCATTTATGTTTGCATAATTACTTAAGGCATTAAAATGAAATTAATTTTACATATTTGATTTGAAATTATTATTATACAGTGGTGAAACAAATTACAGTTTATTTTAATATTTTTATATATTGATCTTTCATGAATAACAATTTTATGATCATAAATACTTATTTATTTTATTTATACTGATCTTAAATGATTAATAAACTTTAAATCTTTTTAAAAATAATTCCAATATTTAAACTAAGATATAATTTTAAGTTTATTTGTTTATCTAAATAAATTAAGAGATATTTGTGCCATTGAAATAAATTTGATAACTAATGGAGAAACCTTAATTGTTGGTTAGTAGATATTATAAAGAAATTACTAAGAGATAATATAAATTATAAGTAATTTTGGGAAGTATTTTCAGTTTCGTTCATTAAATGCAAAGATTTAATTATAAGAGGATAATTAAAATATTCTTCATAAAATAATTGCCAAAAATATAAAAATAAATATCATGCAAAATCTTCATATACATAAAAATATCAGTTTTATATAAAGACTTTATTCATGTATTTAAATATTCCAATAATTGATCTTCATCAAAAGTTGTTTATGACCATTTATTTACTTTGTCTATCTAAGCTTCTGTATAATATTTCTCCGATAAATGTTATAATGGTTTTATGTTAATTTTTCTATGCGTTGTATACTTTTTTGATACTTGCATAGCAAGTTTTTTACTGCTCATTAAAGCGTATTATTATTAAAGAGGTTCCTTTTCAATTGGATTAAATGAAAGCCCAATAGCTCCAAGACCTTCAAATTTATTAAAAATTTAAGGTTATGAAGGTCTTTAAGATAAACAATTTTCTAATTTTAAAGGTTTTTTCTATTAAGTTCTTTATGAGGGAGAAACATATATTGGAGGTAAAGATTTAACAATTAAAGGTTTTTTCAAAACCTAGGATAATGAAATGGGTTTGTATTTTCTTTACAATAGAGTGTTAGGTTTATTCCTTTCAGATAAAATCATTAAAAAATAAATAAATTATTATATATAGTGATATACTTCTTATTCTCAATCTAAAAAAAATATATACTTATTTTATTCAATATCAAAATATGATAACTGCGTTTTTGATTAATTCTAAATAAAGTTTTTAAATAATTTTTCTTATTTATATATAAACTTAAATTCTTAATTATGCTCATAAAAGAAGTTTAAAATTTGAGTGACTAAAAAAAAGTTTTATTAGAAGTGAAAAACATGGCTGCAAGCTTGGAATTGAAGTAAGGGTTAATTTAAAAATCAAAGTAAATTAAGATAATAATTATTATTAGTTTAGAATTAAATTTTAGAAACATATTGTAATGAAGTAAGAGCTGAAAGTCAAAATGGAGAGAGAGTGAAAATAACTTTTTTTTAAAATTAATAGAATCAATTTGATATTCATTTGAAAGATAATTAGTTTTAGAACATGGTAAAATGCCAGAATATCTCAAATAGATAAGGATCTTGGAAAATTTTCAAGCTATAACCCTAAAATTAAAGAAAATAAATAAATATAACATCTTAAGGTTCTATTAATATAATTATAATTACAAGAATAATTAAGTTTATGACATCATAAAATTAGAATAAATTTATTAACACCAAGTTTAGGATGTAAAAATAATTGTTAAAATTTAAAATAAAATGTTGTTGTGAGTATGTTAGAATGATATTTATAAAAGTTTTATTAATAATAAAAGTTAATTAAGTAAAATGATGATGGAAATGTATTTGTATTGGACAGCCAAATGTGAGTTTATATTTGAAAGGTAATTTGAATAAGTACATAAAAGCTGGAGAATTTATGATGATTAGCCATTCTTATTATTTTGTGGTTGTTTCTTATCTTGCTTATATGCTATTATTCATATCATTTATATGCTTTAAGGAGATAAAGTTTAAATCTTTTTGAAATAATATATGTATTAAGAATGTTTCATCCTATTAGGTCAAGAAGAGTGGGATTTTCTATTTATTAATTCTTTCTAACTTTATCAAGTATGATTACAATGATGTTATTAATGACAATGAATGGATGGGTTAATTTAGCAGTTGGAATAGGATACACTATCGGTTATGGCATTTCATAAATCACTAAATCAAAATCAAAATACACACAAGTTGATACCATATGATTTGATAAAAAAAAAAGAATTAATTTATTATTTTTAGAAAATCTAATATTGATATGTTTAATTTTATTAATTTAAGATTATAGATATGGCTTACATTTTCATATATAATAATCAAATATTTATTTAATTACATATAAACTTTAATCATTATTATATTAAAATATAAAAATTAGAGTATTAAGTATATGGATGAATCAAATTTATGGGAAAAAACTGTATATTAATTAAAAGAAAATGAAATAGATACAATTTAATTATTCAGGAGTGATTAAAGAAAATCAAGAACTTAAAAATTACCTATTCTTATTTCGATTTTGAAAGAAATAAATAATTCATCAAATTTATTTGATTTGGCAATACGCTATGAAAAATACAAAACAAAAGAATAAACGATATCTTAAAAAGAAGAATAATACAATGAACTTATGATGTCAATATCATTTTAATAAACTAAATGTCATATAAATCCTTATGTAAAAATATTTATTATAAAAGCAAGATGCATAAAAGAAGCAAACTTTATAAATTTCTGATTAAAAAAATGGATAATTTAAAAATATTATTAATTTACTAGAAGCAACCTATTTGAATATATAATCAGATTTGGCTATTATTCAATAAGAAAATAAAACATTAAAATAAAACATAAACACTTATTTTGATAGTCTATGGACATCAAGTTTAATTAAAAATACTGAAGTTAATGAACTTAATTATGGATTTAAAGATAGGTAGGAGCACTATTAGGGTATTTAATTATGCATTCCAACGATGGAAAAAGAAAAATAAGAATTAATAAATTTAAAACAAAAATAAGAAGTCTAAATTTAAAATCAATCTCAAGATTTAGAGATTTTTAATGCATTTTATGAAAAATACTATGATTAATAAAATTATATTTCTCAACTCAAATTGGCTTAATAATAACTTGAAAATTAAGTTTCTAGTTTAAGTGATAGAATTAAAAAACTAAAATAGGCTCAAGAAGTAATGAATTTGGAAACAAAATTTGAATAGTTTTGTGACTAAATCCTAGCTCTATAAAATGAAGGGAGATCATAAATTTTTAAAAATTTTATAGATTTTATTGAAAAGATAAAATTGAAATTAATGAGAAATCATAAAGAAAAAACCGAATAAACTTACTTATGCTAAGATATGATTGAATTTGAAGAATAAATATTAAGATAGGAAATGTAAGAATTCTGTTAGAATAAAAATGAATAAGAATCAAAAATAAAAACTTTAAAATTAAAATAAATATTTTAGGAAAAAATTCAAAAAGTTAGAATTGAATAGTAAAGGCTTCAATAAGAAAATTTTGATTTAGCTAAAAATTTATAAATTCTAAGCAGCAATTAGTTTTAATAAAAACTTAAAGGTTTATAAGATTTAAAAGAACAGCTCTAAAAAGAAAATATATTAAAAGAAAAGGAAATTATGGNAATACGCTATGAAAAATACAAAACAAAAGAATAAACGATATCTTAAAAAGAAGAATAATACAATGAACTTATGATGTCAATATCATTTTAATAAACTAAATGTCATATAAATCCTTATGTAAAAATATTTATTATAAAAGCAAGATGCATAAAAGAAGCAAACTTTATAAATTTCTGATTAAAAAAATGGATAATTTAAAAATATTATTAATTTACTAGAAGCAACCTATTTGAATATATAATCAGATTTGGCTATTATTCAATAAGAAAATAAAACATTAAAATAAAACATAAACACTTATTTTGATAGTCTATGGACATCAAGTTTAATTAAAAATACTGAAGTTAATGAACTTAATTATGGATTTAAAGATAGGTAGGAGCACTATTAGGGTATTTAATTATGCATTCCAACGATGGAAAAAGAAAAATAAGAATTAATAAATTTAAAACAAAAATAAGAAGTCTAAATTTAAAATCAATCTCAAGATTTAGAGATTTTTAATGCATTTTATGAAAAATACTATGATTAATAAAATTATATTTCTCAACTCAAATTGGCTTAATAATAACTTGAAAATTAAGTTTCTAGTTTAAGTGATAGAATTAAAAAACTAAAATAGGCTCAAGAAGTAATGAATTTGGAAACAAAATTTGAATAGTTTTGTGACTAAATCCTAGCTCTATAAAATGAAGGGAGATCATAAATTTTTAAAAATTTTATAGATTTTATTGAAAAGATAAAATTGAAATTAATGAGAAATCATAAAGAAAAAACCGAATAAACTTACTTATGCTAAGATATGATTGAATTTGAAGAATAAATATTAAGATAGGAAATGTAAGAATTCTGTTAGAATAAAAATGAATAAGAATCAAAAATAAAAACTTTAAAATTAAAATAAATATTTTAGGAAAAAATTCAAAAAGTTAGAATTGAATAGTAAAGGCTTCAATAAGAAAATTTTGATTTAGCTAAAAATTTATAAATTCTAAGCAGCAATTAGTTTTAATAAAAACTTAAAGGTTTATAAGATTTAAAAGAACAGCTCTAAAAAGAAAATATATTAAAAGAAAAGGAAATTATGGAACTTTAATAAATAAATTAGGCAGGATAATTAATGGTTGAAGATTTAGAAAAATAAATAATTAAAAATAAAAATAAAAATCAAAAATAATAGAATCATTTTAGAAGAAAAAATAAATTATTAAGTTGATTAATATTATATTTTTTTACTAAATAAATATAATATGAAAATATATAGAATAATAATAAATATATTGTTTTATGTTATATTAACTCATTCGTCAAGCCAAAACTCAAACTTGGTTTAGAGTCCTGTAACCCATCTAATAGCTATTCCTTTGAAATCTTTCAAGAAAAGAACTTTAGTTGATTGAGATTAATCTTATCCCATTGCTAGTTTAACTTAATTTTCTGGTTTTTAATCGATATCATTAAATCCTAGAACAATGTTCCTTTATTCTTACTAATAAAATTAAATTAATAAATACTTCTGAGGCATTTTCTTCTAAAAAAGTAGCTTTGAATGATCCATCTTATGATTCTAATATTACTCTTTTTCCATAATCAGTAATCTAAACCTTATATCCTTTAATTATTTTAGCTGCTCTAATTTTTAATATAAAAGAATTACGTTTCTTTTTAACCACTAGTATCATTAATTACTTTTCTTGTTTAAGTTTGTATATTAACAATAGGCTATTAAGTATTACCAAATGTAAAGGGTTTATTCGCTGGAGCAGCTAGATTTTATTATACAGCTTGAGTTTATTATACAGTTGGTTTAAGGATTTGTGATTCAGAAGGTTTAGGCTAGTTTGTCTATTAATTCATGGGGAAAGGGGGCTATTAATTATTAAATGGGGACACTGGTTATTAAACAAATGAGGGCACTGGTTATTAAACAAATGAGGGCACTGGTTATTAACCTAAAGGATTGTTTGTTTATCCACCCAATGGTTAAAAAGTGTTGCTTTATTGAGCTTAAGTGCCTTTATCCTAAAATATATATATGATTAAATTACCTAACATTATACATTATCATTTTCTGAAATTAAAGCTGAAATCTTAGTTTTTTAATCAATTGTTATTTTTATTAATTATCCATTGACTAACCATTATTTCGAATTAAATTATCCTTATTTCACATAATCTTGAAATAGATTTCTAAATGTTTCACTACTGTTTGCTTTAACTTGTTAGCCATTTAATGTAAAAGTGACACTCATTTATTTTCAGATATTTAATTAAAATTATGTATTTCTATTAAAATGCTTTTCTATTTATATTATATAGTTTAATAATAATAGAAATTGTACTAAAAATCTTAATCAGAAAATATATTCATTCAAGAAATATCATTTAATTTCAATATTCCTATTCGTAAAGATCTATTTTATTTAACATTCTTTTTTAATTTATTTTCATTTATACGAATCTTTAATCTAAAAATAAAAATAAAAATTTATCATTTACTTCTTCTAATCTTCATTCTTTTTAGTAATTTTAATTTTATTTCTGGTTTAAATTTTGTTTTATAAACTCGTACTTATTGGAAAAGAATAATTCTTTATTCTTTAATTATTAAAGCAATTAAAAAATAAATTTAAAGAACCTTTTCTACTATTGCTAAGAATTTATTTCCCCATTTTACTTTTATTAAGTTGATCTCTTTAATGTATAAAAATCATGGGCTGTTCATAAAATTTAGCATCAACCATAAGCTTAACCAAATATTAATTAAGTGTCTTTTGCTGAACTTTTTCTGTTTCTGTTAATATATAATACTTACGTACTGATTATTTGATCAATCAACCTAATAGTTCTCTTAATTGAGTGAAACAGTTAGAGATTTCTGTTTTTTTCTGGTTTTATAAAGAGTTTGTTTAATATTGTAAAATAGGCTTAGATTTTTTATTGTCTGTAAAAAGTTATTCTGAGATGTATATTTAATACAAATTATAGTCCCTTGTTTATTCAATAAAGATTATTCTTTCATTATTTAAAAAAATCAATTTAGATTTCATGATGTAATTATTCGAAGATGATTTCTGAACAAATTTTAACTGGCATGATAGTCATCTTACATAGATTTATGATTACCTTCTTTTTTGTGTATCTCTGTATATTACATATTGTTATTATTATATTCATTTAAACTTTTTCTATGCATTTTAACCATCTATTAAAATTAATATTTCATATTAAATATTTTATTTGGATCTTTCTCTCTATAATCATCTATATCCATTTTTATTATTGTTTGAGTTTTATTATTTTGTAGAAATAAATTTATCTTCCACTGTTGTTTTCTCACAAGATAATTAATTAAGATTTTCCTAATTATCTTGATATAGTAGTTTTATAATTAATATCACTGTCCTATTAAAGTTGATTCTATGTCTAAAACTTTGTTTATTGAAATTTGAAATATAAAATATTCTGTGCCAAATGGGACCTATTTTCTTTTAGACATTAACATAAAAACTCAAAATTAGTCGTACTTTTACGATATCATCATCAAATTTTACCAACAGTGCTTCCTTACTTTTTGCTCTAATAATAATAATGTGAATATATCCTTATTGGTTTTTATATAATTTATTAGTTTTGCCTTTTTACTTAATATTCAAATCTGATTTTCATTTTTCACTTAATTGAATCAAATCCAATTACATATATTTTAGCAATTTTCTTTCTTTTTTTATTTATTATTTTTTAAATAATCACTTCCATTATTGATATCCTTTTGATGTTAAAAAATTTGAATAAAAAATTTCTGGATAAAGATAATTTTATTAACAATTCTGATATAATGAAGAAATTACTTAAAAAATAAAGAAATGATAGAAGTTATTTACTATGAAAAAACACCTTAAATTAATTTTTATAATTCAAGCAAACTTTATTCATATTTTAATAATTTTCTCGTAATAATATTTATTTCCTATAATTTAATAATTATGGAATTCAATATTTTATATTTAAGGGGAGTAAGCCATAAATGAGTAATATGCTAGATTTAAACAAAAAGTAATATCTGATGAAGTACTGTTAGTACATGTATAAAAATTAATTAATTAATCACTTAATAATTAAAGATTAATATGGATTATATTGATATTTAAATAAAGCGTGACAAATTTTAATACTTTGATTAATGTGTTATTTTATTAATTATCTTAGTATTTATTTTGTTAGTTTTGAATAGTAATAAATAAATATATAACTAAATTAATCAAGCCATTGCTGAGGCTCTTCCTGTTTTATATCCTTTATTTATGAAATTTTAATCAAATTTACTTTACAGCAACTATGATTATTTTTATTTTAATTAATTCAAATCAATTTTTGTTGTTTCTTAATTTGTGCTCAATACTCTTCTTTTTCTTTTAGCTTGTTAACTAGATGGATTATTAGGAGATTTCGATTTTTATTTAAGGGATTTTTAATCTAAGTTTAATTTTCTCATTAAACATTCTAGTATAATATTGGTAGCCTTTAGCTTATTATTATTATTATGATTAGGCTTTAATAATTGCATAATTTATGGTTTAATTGATCTTTATGTTGTAGGCCTTGGAGATATGGATTATTTTGTGTTATTTCCATTTCTTTGCGTAAGTGGAATCTATTGCACCTATAATTTGTTATTTTTTTCAGTGCTATAAACTTTTGGCTGTGAAACTTCTCTTTAAGTTTAGATTGCTGAATTTTTTAAAGTTTTTTTTTTTAAGAACAGATCATTGAAATTTTCTTTAAATTCTAATCTAGAATTTGTATCAGATTTATGTTCCAATTTTGATTTGTTGTAATAATCTGAATTTTTTAGTTATAAAGGCAGATTATATTTTCGAGAATCAAACTCCTTTTAAATAATTTTGGAATTGTTTATGGCTTCTTTTAAATTTTTTTATATTTCAATTAATGTGTTAGATTGTTCTTGTTTAGTAAAATTTAACTAACCTAATAGATTCTACAATGACTAAATTAGTGTGAATATTCAATTAATACTGTTTAAATAGAATTTTATGTTGCTGTAGGTTAATCAACATGTCCTCCTAGCATCCTAGATATTCTGATATATTCTATTCTGCGACGTTTATCGTGGTATTTAGTTAATGTAGTAGCTATAGGTAACATGAAAAGACGTGGTATATCTCGGTGAAACTATTCAGTATAGTTTTGAAAGTAATTACTTTATAATATTCAGTTAATACAATAGTTTTTTGTTTTGTATCAGTTAAAGAATAGAATCTTTTTAAATATTCATTAGTATCATAATAAGTCCATTCCTTATATGTAGTGTATTGTTTAGATCGTTATTGCAAAAGTATGATATTAATGTCTTTTTGATAGTAATAATTCTGGCTTGCTGAGTATTTGATGTAAAGAGCTCTTGTAATAAGACAACAAAATTTTTGACATTATTGACAGAAGAGACAATCCTGTGCTTGTAACAGATCCAAAGTGCTTGCAGTTGATCCTGCATATTGGGTCCGTTTGGATTTATACATTTTAAATTAATGAATAAAATATAATTCCATCTTTGCAGGTAATATCCAGAAAATATCAATTCACAGTATTCAAGCCATAATTGAATTATATTGTAAAATAAGTTCATCGTTTAAAATACGTAATGTTGAGCAGAATAGATATTGAACTCATAATAGATTAAATAATATTTATAGTCGAATTATTGATTGCTGGTTAAGTATTTCTTACTTTAAGATAATAGTTTGCCACTCCTTCATTAACGTATTTAAATGAATTGTATAAAACTTTAGTTACACCCTTCAATTTATTTAAACAGGATTAATTAGGATATGTGATAGCCAATATGGAAACATTAAAAAAAAAAACTAATTAAGATTATTTGAAGGGCTTTAAGAAAGGAAGTTCTAGAAATCTTAAAATAGCAAATTAATTATAAAAATCTAGAAAAGACTACTCTCAGTCATTCGAATAGTTTATGCTTAATTATTATTATTTTGTTTGGATGAACATTAACCTGATTAAAGTAGAGTCTTGAAAAGTAAGTGCGACTTCATTGAAACTAAAATGCCAATTAAAATAATCATTAATTAATTAAAATAGATTATTGCAAAGTAAATTAAAAGAATTAGATTTAGAAAAGCATAGTAAAATTGTATGTAGAATTTGTGAGTAATTTATAGAAGTAGAAATAATGGCAGCCCATTTCATAAGAAAGCTGAATAAAGCAAAAAACTATTATAATTGAATCTCTAATTAGCAGATGCTTCACAATTAGCGAATAAATTAAAACATGATGTTTAAATAAAATTAGGTAAATATGTTTATAAGAATAAAAATAAAATCGTTTAAAATAGAAAAAGTAAGAGGAAGAGAAAAAGCCTTAAGGTCTTTAAGAAGAACACATAAAATCTATTTAGAAGATAATAAAATCTAATAAGAGGAATAAGAAAAGAATAAGGCTAAAAAACAATTAGTATTAATAAATTCAGCAATGACAATTATAGTGAATTATACTGAGAAAGTACTTAATAGTAATGCAAATAATAAAGATAATAAATGTAATATATAATTTAAGAAATAAGTAAATCGTATCACATTGATGAATTGACTGATGCAAAATGCCATATAGAAACTGATGAAATTAATGATGAAGTTCTAGAAATCAAAGATAAAGCTAGAATTTGTATTTATGATAGGATGGAATATTTTAAAATTTCTTAAAATTTAGAGACATAACAAATTTAAGAGAGTTAAAAAATTAAACCAAATATTGAAATAGATTTGAAATAAAAATATAAAAATTCTAATTCTAGTTCATTTAGATTTTCAATATTTAATAATCAAACAACAACAATTTAATAAAAATTAAAGCGAAATGAAATATTTTTGAAGGAGATGATGATAATACTGCTTATCAGACTCCAAAAATAGTTAATTATCAAACCTTTAGGATAAGGAGCCTTTTGGATGGGTATTTCTAGTAAAAAAGAAAACATCTAAAGATTTGTATGCTATGAAAATTATATATTGCTCACAAAAAGTATGATTTTTTAAATATTATTATTAGTAATTAGAAACATGAAAGAAATATTTTTGAAATACAATCTGGAGATTTTGTTGTGAAAGCTTACTATTCTTTTAGTCATGAATAATATTTATGTTTTGTCTAAGAATATATGGTAGGAGGAGATTTCTCACATATCTTAAAGATGTATACAGTAATAATAATATTTATTTAAAGGCCTTAGACGAAGAGTATGTTAAGCATTATATAGCTAAAGTAGTCTTAACACTTGAATATCTTAGATCCAAAAAAATTTTACATAGAGACTTAAAACCAGATAACATTTTATTAGATAAGTATGGTAATGCTAAATTGGCTGATTTTGGACTTTCAGAAGTGGGATTTAATAATAGTATAAATTAAAATTAAGATGATAAGATATTGAATCGTATTATACTATTATTATAATATCTTAAAAATACAATACCTGAATTTGCTGATAGCAATGATCCTAAATTTAATACAGTATTTGATTTAAAGCTACCTCAAGCATAATAGGTGATTAAAACAAGTATTCTAAATCATGGCAATTATTATAAATCTATCAAAATTAAAATATATAGAAAGCATTTTAATAGAAATACATAATTTTAATTAAATATCTGAAAATAAATGAGTGTCAATTTTACATTAAATGGCTTAAAAGTTAATAAAAAGACTAATGCAACATTTGGAAGTCTCTTTGATGATTATGTGAAATTAGGATAATTTAATCAGAAATAATGGTTAGTCAATGGATAATTAATATCAATTGCCAAAGCTGCTAAGATTGAAAATTATATTTAAGAAAATGCTAATGTATAATGTTAGGTAATTTAATCATATATATATTTTAGGATAAAGGCACTTAAGCTCAATAAAGCAACACTTTTTAACCATTGGCTGGATAAACAAACAATCCTTTAGGTTAATAACCAGTGTCCCCATTTATTAATTAATAGCCCACTTTCCCCATTAATTAATAGCCCCCTTTCCCCATGAATTAATAGACAAACTAGCCTAAAACTTCTGAATCACAAATCCTTAAACCAACTGTATAATAGACTCCAGCTGTATAATAAAATCCACCTGCTCCAGCGAATAAACCCTTTACATTTGGTAATACTTAATAGCCTATTGTTAATATACAAACTTAAACAAGAAAAGTAATTAATGATATTAGTGGTTAAAAAGAAACGTAATTCTTTTATATTAAAAATTAGAGCAGCTAAAATAATTAAAGGATATAAGGTTTAGATTACTGATTATGGAAAAAGAGTAATATTAGAATCATAAGATGGATCATTCAAAGCTACTTTTTTAGAAGAAAATGCCTCAGAAGTATTTATTAATTTAATTTTATTAGTAAGAATAAAGGAACATTGTTCTAGGATTTAATGATATCGATTAAAAACCAGAAAATTAAGTTAAACTAGCAATGGGATGAGATTAATCTCAATCAACTAAAGTTCTTTTCTTGAAAGATTTCAAAAGAATAGCTATTAGATGGGTTACAGGACTCTAAACCAAGTTTGAGTTTTGGCTTGACGAATGAGTTAATATAACATAAAACAATATATTTATTATTATTCTATATATTTTCATATTATATTTATTTAGTAAAAAAATATAATATTAATCAACTTAATTTATAGTTACTATTTCAATTTATGGAATAAGTCTTATCTAAGAAATATTCTTGAAGATTGGTATCCACTTCTAACACATTAAAAATGCTAAAATTTTGATAATAGGAAAAATAAAAATAAACTTACCCAAAAAACTCTGGTTTAAATATTTTTAAAAGCCAAACTTTATTTGCATTCGGTATTATTTATATCAAATTGTAAATTCTGATTCGTATATTTATAAATTTCGCCCTTTGCAAACTAAACAGACAAAATAACATAAATAAAAATAGTATCTTAACACATTTGATGTTAAATTGATTAAAGTAAGAAAATTATATTATATCAGATAAAAAATTAAACAAATTCGATTCAATTTAAAATTTATTGTAAAATAAATTAATGAAGAAGTAGCAATAATTTTTTTGGTCATTGTTATAAATTTTTTTGAATAAGACTTAAATATATTAAATTAAATTAATGTTATTATTAATTGTGAGCGTGGTTGGAATTATTTTTAATAATGTCCTTGCATTACATCAATAACAAGCAGGAGTACATGATTGGAATAAGAGACTCTTTGGTGAACTAAAATACATTCAAATTTAAGATTAAACAATATTTTATTAAAACAAGAACAATCAGAATGGAATTATTGAAAAATCAACAGGTTTTGTGAATTGTTAAATATTTAGGGCAAGTTTAATAAAGAAACTCTTATACTATGTGTGATTCTTATAATTAAGTCACGTATGAACCTAATTAATAGATTATTTAATTATTTAATGAAGGATATTCAGTTTTAGCAGAATAAGAAATAACTGGCAATATTGATCATTGCTTAATAGGATTGAATGGAGGTTATATACTAATTTATGGATAAACTATTTTCTCTACTGCAAATAACAAATTCACAGAAAAGTATATATAATTCATAGATTTTAGAGTTGAGCATAAAATTTTACATGCAGGGTATATATTTGATGTTCCAACAGTTGTATTACAGTAACAAAATGAAATTTGTGTTTGTTAGATTAGAGAATCCGTAACATAAAACTATTGTGTAGAAAGTTCGAATGATGGGTCAATTCATGAATTTGGTAATACTCTTATTTATCATGATGATAAATTTGCTTATCATCTAAAAGAAAAATCAGCAAATTCATTAGACATTGAATTAATTAAGAAAGTGCATAAATTTATTGGATTTTCATAAACCTTAGTAATTCATGAGAAATCAATGAAAAAAATAGTTAATTTGGAAGGTTAAGTTGAATATGAATTAAGTTCTGATGATTTTGTTATTTAAAATTTAGAGACTCAAAAATATTATTATATTGTAAAATAAAAGAATAATGAATTAAAAATCGTGATATTTGATAGAGATACAAAACAAACTTATTCTGATATAATTGAATTATAATCAAAGTCATCAATATTAAATGCTTTTTTAATCGATTAAAATAAAAGACAATTCTTGATTTAGTATTCTGATTTATAAACAGTTTTAATTGATAATAAAGGTATCAAATGGACAACTGAATAATCTTTAATTAGTATTGATACAATTTTTTATGAAAAATATGAGAACTAAGAATAGACACATAAAAATTCATATTATGAATCACTAGAGAAACATGGAGCAAATAATCCTTTATTTTTAATTTAACATATTATTTCCAGAGTTTTGAACGAAATCAGAGATTTACAAGAATTAGCAATTCATTTTATTGATAATCTGGGTAAAGAGAAGGTTTAAACAAGAGAAATGGAATAAACTTATGGATTGAAATAAAAAGTATATTTTTTAACAACTTATGGAACCTTATTATGCTATGATTCTTAAGAATTATCTTTGTTAATAAAATTACAAATAAGTAATTAAGATCAAACTTTTAGATTGGTAGCCCATCATTAGATAGAGTAAAATATTATATATAAATTAGTTCTAATTTAATCAGAAATTTTGATAACAATGATGCTTAAGCAACTCATGTATTGTTTTACTATTCAAAAGAGAAATAACGATTAAATACTTTTATATTAGACCTTTAACATGGAATGATTTAATAAGTTGCATCATAATCCTCTAAGAATATATTATGGACAATACCCTACAGAGTAGAAGGAGGACCTGGATAGCACAATAATATTATTATTTTAATTGATGAAGAAAACAATGTAATTACATATCCTAAACATGATTCTTTAAATACAAAAGAAATTATCTTATATCGAAACGATAACGGTGTATTAAGAGGATATAAATTATTTAATAATTAATTAGTCAATATATGGACAATCAATGTGAAAGATCAAATTTTGATTATCAGATCATCTTATCATGTAGGAGAGGAGACTCCAAGAGTTGCCATATGGGATGACAGAAAAGTTATATATAAACTGATTGATCAATCTAATTTTGCAGTATTAACATCAGATGGAGATAAACTTAAATTATTTATTATTAATGCTAAAACAGGCAAAATTATATATTAAAGTGTCTAAAGTGAAGCTGATTTTAGCTAGCCAATCAATTTAGTATTTGACGAACACTAAGTTTTTGTTACTTATTATAATAAAGCATAAATGATGTTTGAAATTTGGACTGTTGAAATCTATCATGCTAAAATTGAAGTTTCTTTTATTAAAATGTTAGAAAACTATTACTTTACAAAAACACCAATAATCACTAATTATTATAAAGCTGATTTTGAAGCTTTCTTTTTATAATAGGTTTATGGATATCCTTTAGGAATTAAATATCTTGGAATGTCTAAAACTCTAAAATCATTGACAAAAAAAAATTTATTAATAATAACTACATCAGGATAATTACATTCCTTAGACAGAAATTTAGTATCCACCAGAAGAAGAGAAAAGGCTGATTAGCCCATTTTAGAATATTCTCTATAATCAGCTGAACTTCCTCCCTATCAATATTAATTACCAGTTAATTTCCTAAATATGCTTACATATCATTAAACTGTATTTTTATTTCTAATTTTAGTTTGATATTGAGAAATTTTCAATAGAATCCACAAATCTAGAGTCATCAGCATTATTAATAGTATATGGCTCTGATATTTTCTTTACAAGAATAGCTCCTGATAAAGTATTTCTAAAATATTATATTTAGACATACGATATGTTGTTGGATAATTTCAACTATAATGCCCTTATAGCTACAACTATCTTGATAGCTATTGCAACAAAAGTTTTATCAAGATTGGTCAAATCAAGTAAATAGGTTAAATAATTTTATCTAAATTGAAATATTGTATAATATATAATCATAAGTATATATAAATTAAAGTTATTAAATATCTATTCATTTTTTTTAAAGAGATCCTTCCATAAATAAGTATAAAATTTTATAAAGATTGGAATAAAAATTAAAAAAACTTATAAATATTAAAAAGAACCATTAAGGTTTAACAAAGTAGATAAAACATTAATTATTTTATTTTTAATTATAATGGGCCGAAAAAAGATTTCAATTACTAAAATTGAAGACAAGCAATAAAGGAATGTATGATCATGAAAATATGTTAGATTACTTTTCATAAAAGGAAGATAGGATTACTTAAAAAAGCATATGAATTAGCTTCTTTATGTGGTATCTAAATTTATATGGTCTTTAATGATGTATGTAAGAAATTGTTTATTCGTTATTATATTAGAGGGAAATGCCATCCATTTTAGAACAGAAGAACTAAGTTAAATTGAAAATAATGACAAGAAGAAGTATTTATTGACTCCTAAAGATGTAAAATAATTATTCTTACACCAGTATCCAAAATTTGTCACTCGATCCAAGAATAAAGTGAACACTCAGCTCAAAGATTTGCCAATAACACCATTAAAATTAGTCACAGATCTTATGATTAGTGATGAGCCATTAATTTCTCGTTATTCAGTTCTTAGTAGGCAATTTTTCCCTATACCTCAGCCCAAAACCAGTAAAGCTATAATTGAGAATAATACATGAATAATAACTATTTAATTTGAATTATAATCATGAAAAGAACATAATGCACTTGTGATGAAAATCTCAAAAAGGACTTCGAAAACTGTTCTTAATCCATAGAATGGCTGAAAATACATTATGACATAAAAAAATTGGACAATATGAGAAATGATTACTAATAATTATGTAAAATAGAAATTGCAGACTAATAGTAATGGATAACAAAATAACGTAAATAAATTGAAAGAGATTTGATGAGGACATTTCCAAATGAACCATTTTTTTAATAAAAGCATGGAAAAGAGGCTTTGTAAAGATTACTCTATACTATTGCAATTTATGATATGGGTGTTGGATATGTATAGGGAATGAATTTTTTGGCAGGTGCTCTTCTTTTCCATAGTGAAGAATGTGTAGCCTTCTGGAATTATGTGACTTTATATGAACGATTATAGTTGAGAGATATTTATTTGGAGAGTAGTCTATAATCTTAAGATAGACCTTCCTGGATTATCAAAGCATATATAAATTGTACAATTGTTATGTATGAGCCAACAAAGAAAGCTCTATGATATGTTTCTCAAAAACAATGTTTAATTTGAAAATTTTTGCATTCCTTGGTTTTTGTCTATGTTAGCAATGGTCATACCAATTAGGTCTTATGTAAGAATTTTAAATAATTAGAATTCAGTTATGAAACCTATAATTTAAAGTAGATGGATTTTTGTTTATAAGTTAATTCTATCTTATTTACAAAATTGTGAATTAATTTGTGAAGGACCTGAGTTATTGATGGAATTAACTAGTCAAACACATAAATGGACTTAGTGTATACCTTTAGCTCAAAATTTGAATTTAGACAAAAATTTTATCAATTTAATGTTAGAGTCATTTGATTAAGATAAATAAACATTTTTAATTAAGTGATATAATGGAAATTGAGTATTCTGAACCTTCCTTCAGTCATTTATTCTTGATTGCAATACTAGTAGGTCTTTTGGGTTTTTGCGGTTTGGGTTGTTGGATGGAAATGAAAAAGTGCCATACAATTAATAAAATAGATTGAAAATTATATTACATACATTATAGTAATTAATGATCATTATTTAACTTATTCAAAATTTGATACTCAAACCTTTTGAAATCAAATCCGGCTTTAATATAATAAAATATTTCTATTCCTAAAATTAAAAAAATGAAAGTACTTATTTTGTTTATCTATAATTAATTATAATATTAATAGTTCCATTGTTATCTAAAAATTTCACAAAGTTTCAAAAAGATTGATTGTAAATAAAATTCCTTCTTAAACTTATTTCATATTTGCAATTTTTTTTAATTTAGATAAAATTAATTGAAAATAAATTTTTCTTTAAAATAATTTTATAAGCCTCAAATCATTAAAAAGATTGACTCTTTGTGACAAATGTATAACTTCATAAAAAAAATTGTTTAGATATTGATTTAAAATTATTTAATATAAAAATTAGATTAAATTTGATGTAAAATGAATAATTTAGTGTGCAAAAACTTTACGCTTGGGGTAGTTCAGAATGTGATTAATTTTTGGCAAAAGATGAGAATGATGAAGAAATATATGAAGTCAAAAGACCTTATTAAATTAAAGAATTAAGCGGTTTATGTATTGTATAGGTAGCATGTGGAGGAATGCATGCTTTAATTTTAACTTAGTAAGGAAAAGTATTTATAACGAAAAGATATTCAAGGTTTATTCTTTTGGATGTGACGATAAAGGTGTATTAGGAAGGTCATAAAAAGAAGGAATAGATTCAAGATTACCTGACTTAATTACAGATTTACCTCCTGTAAACATGATAGCTTGTGGAAGTTCTCATTCAATAGCAGCAAATTCTAATGGTTTAGTATATTTTTGGGGATTTTATGCAAATACTCATGGTCCTATAGGTGAAGCAGTATCAAAACCAAAAAAATTGAATGATATAAAGAATGGAATCAAAAAAATATTATGCGGTTAAAACCATTCTATGGTGTTATTAGATAATTTTAAAGTAAGCAGCTTAAATGAAAAAACTAGTTACTTACTTGGGGAGATGCAGAAACATTAGTAATAGGAAGAAAAAGTGAAACAAGAAGATCAATAATATAAAATTTAAATCCATAACCTATAAAAATGAAAAAACCAATTTTAGATATATTTACAGGGGCTTCACATGCCTTTGTAAAAGTTTTATTAAAAGATAACAAATAAAGAATATATGGATGGGGTCTAAATAATTATGGTTAATTGGGAATAGGAAATCAAGAAAATTAATAACTTCCAATTTAAGTTGAGTTTTTTGAGAATATGGATATTATAGATATAGTTGGGGGAGAACATCATACAATTGCTTTAGACTGTGAAGGAAATGTTTATTCTTTTGGAAGAAATGATGATGGCTAATTAGGTTTAGGAGAAGAGTTAAATGAAAATTTGAGAATAGAGGCAGAAAAGTAAAGATTATTAGATGAAGAAATATATTAATAATAAGCTAATAAAAAAAAACCAAGTAAAAAAAACAAATAGGGAGATTTATTTGAAGTTTAAAAATCATAAAAAGCAATAGGATATGAATTTATTACGACTCCTTAAATAATTAATAATATACCAAAAATGTAATCAATCTATGCTTCTATGCATTTTAATTTTAGTATCTCTGAAAAGAAATAAGTATTTTCTTGGGGAAATGGATAGAGTTTTGTATTAGGAACAAGAAATGAAAATTCTTAATTTTAACCTAAAGAAGTAAAAAATAATTTTATATATTATTTAGGTTACACAAATATTTAAAAATGAAAAATTATTATAAATTTCTCTTGGTGCAAGTCATGTAATTGCTTTGACTACTTCTGATCACTCTTTCTAACTTCCTTTAATCAATGAAGAACTTTTGAAAATAGAAGATCTAAAGTCAAAATTAAAAAAAGGTCGAAAAAGTAAAAGTAGAGAAATGAGTAGAGAAAAAAGTCTCTCAATGAAAAGAAGTGTTTAAAAATTTGATGATACATTAATACCTGCTAAAGATTTAAGAATTGATTGACATATATATTAGTATCATTTATTCATTACTGCAATTCTTGTTTTCTTCTACTAAGATGACTTTAAGATATTAAATCATTTCTAATATCTAGATGATGATGATCAATAAATTTATTAGCTATATCACCTATTTTTTTTGTTTTAGCTCTTTGTAAAAAATGTTGTTTTTATTATTCTTATTATATGATTCTTTAGATGAATTCTTTTTATTACTCTTCTCTTTCTAATCTTTATTAATGTTAACGGATTTCATAATTTCCAAGTTCTACTTATAATCCTTCATGCATTTATTTATTATTTGCAAATTATTATGATCTATGAATCATTTCTTAAACTTCATGTTCAAACCTTAAAAATGTTTGTAAATCATCACTTTAAATATGAATATTTAAATATCCATCTTCGTAATATTCTTAGATATTTTTGCAATCCATATTATGTTCTAAAGATTTTACAAAATTAATATTTATCCTTTCCTAATCTTGATGATTTTCTATTCCTTACTGAGACTCATTTTTTTACGATTCATTCTTCCCTTATTAATACAATGGTGAATTAGTTTAAGAAGAAGTGTTTTTATTTTGATTTTATTACTTACATAACTTTTTTAAATTTTCTTTGGCAAGAAAGAACTCACTTTTTATATCTTTATCTAAAGATTCATCTGTATTTGACGAACTTGTATCTGAAACTTCTAATTAATAAAGAGCTTTTTATTGTTTATGTTTTTTTCCTTTTTTATCTCTTCTTTTGGGTTATTATTATTGATTTGATTCTTTTGGAGATGGAATAGGTGATCCTGCTTGATGGATTACCTTAAGTTTCTATCTTAAATGTTTAAAATGTTCTTTGGCTTTACCTGTATTATCTTATTCTAATGGTTGTGGCTATTATAATATAAGACTTTTTGAAATTGATTTTCTTGGTCTAAGTATTCTTTCAACTTATAACATTAAAATTAATGAGTAGAAAAAACTCTTAAGAAAGAGTTCTATAATCAGCTAATTCCTGTAAAAACTAAGGAAGATCGTTAAATATTATTGATTTTATAATGAAACAAAACTTTTAGGAAAAAGGTCCTTAAACAAAAGCATTTTCAGAAGAAATGAATGTATAAAAATCTTGTGACATGTGTTTATAATTGTAAGAGGAATTAAGTAAATTTGTTAATGCAGAGCGATTTTAATAAATCATAGAGAAGGTTTGGTAGAAAATGAAAAAAATTGATGATGACAATTAAAAGCTATTTTTTAAGATTGAAAATCTCGAAAAAGCTCTTATAGATTAATAAGGGTTTTTAGATGAATTGAATGATCAATAATACAACAAATAATAATAATAATAAGATTAATCTTAGATTATATAATAAGTAACTTTAGATAAAGGTTAACTTGAGAAATTAGAAAAAAAAATTTAAAAAGACAATTTAGGAGGATTAAAGAGCATAGAAGATAATTTATATAAGACTTTAAATAAGGATATTCAATAAAAGTTTATGGTTATGCAAGAAAAATTAGAAGCAATAGGTTAATAGTTTAATGGAGTTAATGAATAGATTGAATTATTTAATCATAAACTTGGAATAACTAGAGAAGAATGTGAAGAAAGAATAAATTAAATGGCATTAATAGTAAATGAGAATAATTAATTATAAAGAGCTAATAATCATGGAGTAGCTGAAATGTAATAGCATGTAATTATTATATATTTTTACAAAGTATAGTGATTTGGATGCAGATATGATGAGAATATTTTAACATATTAAAGCATTACTATAAAATGATTATAAAATAGTAGAAATTGAATAGAACATAAATAATATGAAGTCTTAATTGGTTTAATTAAGAAATGCTGTTAATGAAATTGGTGATTTTGTTTCAAAAATATGAAAAATATATAATCACTTTAATTTCAATAAATCATCGATGAAGGTGTCATCATTCATTCAAAATAAGCCCAATTACTTAGATTAACCTTGAAAAAAAGTGTTAATGAGAGATAATCTTAATAAATATAACCATTGCCAGCTGTCTAAACAAAACCAAAGCAATTTAAATTATAAACAAGATAATAATCTGAAACTTCTATTGGACCAAAAAAATAAGAAAAGAGAATATAAAGATAATTGAGTAATATTGAGAAAGGCAATTTCTTATATTTCTTATATGCTTAAAAAAATGGTTAGGTAAAAAACTATTATTAATTTAGAAAAATGAAAAATAATTTGCTGAGTTTTTAAGAAAAACTTATAACTTTGAGCCTCCTTAAAAGAATGAAGGACCAAGTAAGAAAGGTCTTCTTTATCTATCTAAAAGAGAAGAAAATGAAGATCATATTAAAAAATTAACAAATTCAGTATTATCACCTGGAAGTAAAACAATTATGGGAGGAAAAGATATACCTTTAGATTAAGTGATAAGTCAAATGTTTGAGAAATAATTGGAACGATTCCCAAAAGTTAAAGAGAAGATAGAAAGAACTCAATGACTTTATTAAAATAAATGTTAAAATACAAGAATTCATTCTATTTATTTACTATTTTCTATCTATTGTATAATTTTTTGATTCTTCTCTGTTACTTCCTAAACTTTAAAGAAAATGATACTCTAATTTAAGATCTGAGAGATTTAAGTCGTTTGTCAAATTCAAATTATTCATCTTCTAAGTCTGCTCTTTCTTACATGTATTAAAATAATTCTTGATTGAGATTTTCTAACATATTTTTGTAAGAAATTTGTAAATGGCTTGAAATCTCAGTTTATGTAAAGAATAATTTTATTTAATTCTTAGCCTATTGTAATTATCTCAACTATTCAATTTTGCCTTGCTTCTCTCCCTTTAATTCTTATCTTTGCGACTCTAAATCAAATAATTGTTATTCTCCTAGCTCCTACATATATTCTCTTAAATACGGATCAACCATAGGACTTTCTTCTTTGTATTCTATTTATTAATGAATTGATGATACACTTTAATTAGATTTGTTATATTTAATTCATGATGTCTTTCAATTCTTATCTTAATTCTTTGTGTTTCCCTTCCTTCTACTTTAACACTTCCAACAATTCCTATTGATATTGTTTTTCCTTATTGACTATAACTTCCACATCCTCTAGTCCATCATCTAAAGGTGTTTATTCAATATATTCTCCATCACCTTCATCATACATTAATTGTTAATTATATTTTTTAATGTCTTGGATTAACCAAAACTAAGTTACCCTTAACAAACCTAATAATCTACTTGGATTATTTACTCAATCAAGAGACTCTCTACATCATGATCCTAGTGATTAATTTACTAAATTACCACCTCACCTTTATAATAAACATAAAGGAAAGAAACCTTCTCAAATTCTATATGATGAGGTTTATTCACATTATTATTAGTCTTTAGATATATAAGGACATTATTGAAACTCCAAATATTAATAGATTTGTATAACCTCCTCCATAATATGAATTGAAAGATTAGAATTTTAAATGTTGGCAATGTTAAAAACCTATATCTAATGGATTCCTAACTATTGGAGCTAATTGTGATTAATGTTTTTTTCATGGACGCTATTTTTGCAATGATTGTATGTCGGTAGTTCGTATGTCGATTCCATGGAAAGCTTTAGATAGTTTTGATTTAAGACATTATAAAGTTTCTAAACTTGCTTAATCTGAAATAGATAAATTATATGACTTACCTATTCTAGAAATTACACCAACATCTAAATTATTGTAGCTTAATAAAACACTTTTTGAATTTATGGTTCTCAAAAGATAAATCCATTTATTATATGATATGATTTGTGATCCTAAATTAGTACAAACCTTATTAGAAAAAAGAATGAATCTTTGTTTAAAAAGAAATTGTTTTAGTTTAAAGGATTTATATGAAATATATAATGGAAGTCTTTCCAAAGTTATTTAAGGATATTATGTTATACTTTTTAAACATATTGATCTTTGTAAGAGTTGTCAAAAAAGAGGTCATATATGCATTATATGTTAACATGTCGTACCTATTCATGCATTTGATATCAAAAATGTAACATATTGTGACACTTGTTTAAAAGTTTTCCATAGAGATTGTGCTGAATCGAAATCCTGTCCTAATTGTTTACAATAGAGATGATTATATATATGAAAAAGTAAAATTACTAATTATTTTATTTGTAATTCTATATTGAAATTCATATTAATAAATAACTTTTTCACAATCATATATTTCAATTCTCCTCTCCTTTTTCAACCATTTCAACACTCTCAGCATTTTCATTATTCTCAATCAGAGAATTACTTCGATTTATCATTAATTGAGATTTAGAATTTTGTTGGATTGGATTTTATAAAATCTTACTTCCTAACCAGCCTCCATCAATTACTTATTAATAAGAAATTAAATATCTACAGGAAGGACAATTTAGAGTTCTCATTAACCATTTTTTTAAACATAGATGATGAAATAGATGTCCACAAGGGGTAATACTTATTTCTTTTTGATTTAAATCTTCCATACAAACAACACATTGAGTGTTTTAGGAAAATTGAGGATTCATTTATATGAAATCTTCATAATCATAGATTTCAAAATATTTGTTAAAAAATGTTCCTGAAAAATTTTTAGGGTTTTCTTCTATTTTAGGAGGTCTAACCTTAATTTTTCTTTTTTTTTTCACTATGACCTCTTTTTATTTACATAAATTAGTTATTCCAAAACAAATTATAATTACAATAATATTAAAAGATGCAAATGCTAAAAACATAGAATTTCCATTCCAAATAGTAGCAGTTTGTTCTTATTTTAGAGTTATATTGATAGTTTAATCTGTTCGACATTATAATCCTATAATTAAAATTTATGCATCTTTAAATTGTAATTTTAAATTCTATATCAATTTAGTTAAGCTCAATTGACTATGGAGTATAGCAGTGTAAGATGTTTGATCAGGTATTTCGAAACCCTTATATCCTAGAAGTCCAAAGCTAGCAGCTATTATAAATTCAATGATTTTTACTAATTGGATCAATGACATCATCTGCATATAAAATTGCTTCTTATTCAAACTTGAATGATAAATACACAGCTTTATGAGGAATTAAATGAATCTTATAATTTATCTCTTTCTCTATATTTATTAATTCAAATTGACAATATGATCCAAAGTATCCACTCTCACATTCACATTTTGTATTGCACTTAGAATTTTGCTTTATCTTACTGATCTAAAATCCTTAACAGTTGTTAGTGCATGTAGAATGAGGTTTTGAATAAACTTCTATTTTTAATTTAAATGGCCCAAATCTATCTCTAACATAATAATATATGCTTTCCATATACTATAATTCAATCATATGGGTATGATAATGTGTTTAAATCGATTCATAATCAAATAAAACAATCTTTTTACTTTCAATAAATATTGGCTTTATTGTTGTATTAAAGTCTGTGTCTAAAATTTCCTCTTCAGACACTAATGCTATAGGGAAATTTGCATTATCAAAATAAAAGACTACTAATAAGTTTTCATCATTCTTTTCTACATTGATTATTCCTGAAATTTTATTATTTCCATTAAGTTCAAAAGATCTAAGTAAGTTTTGTGCTTTAACTACGATTATGTAGAATAGTAAAATTTATATCATAATAATAATAAATATCTGAAATAATAAATTAAAATTTTTCTTATTATAGCTCATAATTACAAATAGTTTGACTCAAATGATTAATTATTATTTACTATGCTTCAATACAATATATATATTCTTATTTGCATTTCTTTTTCAAATTTACTAAAAAAAATAAATTAACTTTCAAATGAATTATTTTTTCATTTCAAAAACATTTTATAAAAGTTCATTAAATAATATACTTTAATTTTAAATAATATTACTTTTAAATTAACCTATAAATAAATTCATTATACTCTAGACCTCTCAAATTTTGAAGCATTTTGCATTAACTCTTATACATATAAAAATAATACCATTCTTACTAAAGAATTACGTAATTATCTCTAAAGGAAAAAGAATAATGAATAATAAGGATAAATTTCATTAAAAATCAGAATTTTTATTAAGCTAATTTTCCAGATAAATTAGAGGAATAAATATAATTCATTTTATTTAAATTTTTTTAGTAATTTTTTTATTTTATTGATCAAATTACAATGATGTTTTCTGAATCTCTACTATAGGTAAAATGTAGTATTAAAGAATTATTTTATCAAATATTGTATAAAATCTATCTAATAGTGTGGATATATACAACATAATCAAAAGATAAAAATAAATAAACAAAAAAATATGACTTGATTTTTATTTCCCATATTTAATCTAAACTCTAATATATTATTGGAAACGAGACATGCTTTAACTCACAAAGACATTTCAGATAATTAATTGATTACCTCCACAATCAATTACATAATAAATTATTTAAAAAAAAATTTAGGAATATTAATATCAATTGAAATATTAATATGATGAATATTCTTATCAAATATTAATAGTTCATGTTATGTTTGCTTAGATTAATTGATATTTTTATTAGATTTTCATATTTTTCATCATTATTATTAAACTAAAAAAATTGACAAAATAGACGAACTATTTGAACATAAAAGGGAACAAAGAATGAAAAAACTAAAATTAATTTGATAGATCAATAATATAAATAACTTAGATGAAATAAGAGACCTAAATTTTTTCTATAAAGAATTTATATATTTATTTACATAAAGGATTAATTATTTAATTACATAATAATATTAATATAAAATTTCTATGAAAATTAAAATTTATCATATAACTAATCTTAAATAAGGATATTTTGCATTCTGTTTTACAAATGATGTAAAAATACTTAATTACTCTTTAAATATTATTTTCTAATCTTATCTGATTTATCTGATACACTTTACTAAATTTGTTGATATTAAGATAAATCATACTAAATATTCAAATCCAAAATAATTCATTCATATAAAATCAGATCATTTTTGTTCTTCTTAATTATAAAAAAAGGAATATTCTAACAAATATTTAAATTGTCATTAGAATTTATTTCCAATTCTTTTTATTATTAATAAACCAATTTATTGAAGATTAATTCATAACTAAAATAGAAAAATATTTTAAATAATCTTTTGAGCATGAAATTGATTGGCTTGTAGAATGAAAATAGGTAAAAGTTATAAAATTAAAATTTAGATTAAGGAAGAATTCTAAAGTTTTAGCTGAAAACATTTAATTTAATTTTTAATTAAATCTAATAAATGCTAATATATGAATTATCTATAAGCTAATTTGAAAGTTTAAACACCTGATTGTTTCAGCTTATAAATAGTTCTAGGGTTTATTAGAAAACCCTTAACTAGTAGTTGTTATAAAACTATAAATTTTAAACTATAGTTTCAAAACTTATAAAAAATGAAATAAATTTCTAAAATGATTTTTAATTACAATATTTATAAATTAAAGTTAAGTGGTTGGAATAAATTTTTATCTATGATTGTATAATTTTTTTAGAATTTTTGAGTTACTTATTTACAAACATAAAATTTTTTATAAATTATTTTATAATCAGATAAAAACTTAAATGATAGAAAATAATATTATTCTAATAATTAAAGATAATTTAACTTATTAGTTTAAGGAAAAATTCTACAAAAATAGAATCAACCGATTGTAAAAAATATACATTTAAACAGCTTCATTTATTATATTTGATAAAAAGTTGTTGAAGGAAAAATATTATAATGAACACAAAGAATATGATAATTAATTTATGCTTAATATATAATTATCTTTATTTGATATTCACTTTTTACAAAGGCATTATTATCTTTTTTTCCTTATAAACATCAATTTATTATGCCTAAAGTACAAATCGATATCAGTCTTATTCTGTTCTAAGAACTGGGAACACCAAATAAAATTTCCAAAGAATTTTTTTGCCATTTTTCTGCCAATCTTAGAACTAAAAAGTCTTTAAAAATGGATTCTGTTGTAATGCTGGTCTTAAATTTTTAAAAACTGCATAATAACCGGGTCTTATTTAAGTATTGTATGGTCAAAACTATTAATTATGAATGATGACAATTTCTTTGCAATATTTTTATAGTAGTTTTTAGTTTCACCTGGGTAGATATATGGGCTGAACTTCACTATCTTTTTCTTACAAGCTTCTTGTTATGATTCTGACTCATATTCTTCTTTAACTTCTTGTTTTATTTTTAATTCATTGTTGTTAACTAACTTATATTAAGAAGTGAGTATGTTAGGCAGTTGAAATGGAATCTCATACACTCCAAAAGGATAGTAATAAAACCCCTAAAATGGAATCAATGTGTTTAATTATTTAGAATTTACTTGCATATTTTATTTCAGTACATAAAAAGTCATGTTTGATACAATATCTAATCAATATTTTACCAAAGAAAAAATACTCCAGGCTATTTATGTATAATTATATAAATTACTACCTTTTTCCCTTTTCAAAAAATACTTAATGAATGTAATAAGTCAACTGAAGCTTAAAATTAATTCTATTATTGTATATCTTATAGATTTATTCTCAATCTTTTTATTATTCACTCTTTTTGAATCGATGGAATATAAATATATCAATCAAATAAGATTTTCAATTTAACAAAACTTCATGTCTTGGAATTCTACACTCCAAATTCTTGAGTAAAATTGATACAATTGACTAACTAGAAAATATTTCTTGCTAATCATTTTCCGACTTCATCTATTTTAATATGATAAATACATGATTTAAATAGAAATAACAATTAATTAAGTCTAACAAATTTTTTTTTTTATATCTAAAAGTACTAAAATTGTTAATTAAAATACTTAGAAAGACATTATTTGAAGTTTTATAACACTTGGAATCAATACAATAGAATAAATGTCCTAAAAAGATTAGAAAATAAAATAGAATTAATATTTAATCTATTTAATTGATTTTTATTATTTATGAAACATCTTTTAATTTTTATACAAGAAATTGAAAAATTGAAGCAAAATATTGAAAGCTTTTCAAACTTAGAATTGAATCACTAATTATAAAAAAATTTAGTAAAAATGAAATATATTATATATTATTTTTATATTAATTATAGAAATAAGATTATATAGAGAGTTGGGGTTAATGGGTGTGAATGAAATATTTTTTGTAAGATTAAAAAATTTTAGCTAAAAATATATTGAAAAATTTAATGATTATTTTTAATACTTGAATGGATTTTTAAATTTGCTAAAATACATAAAGTCCAGAAAAATTTTTATGCTTAAATGAAGAATGCTATTTGGCTGATAAAAAACATATTTAATGTTATTAATGCCTGACAAAACAACATTTAAGCAAGAATAGGGTAGTCAGACATGTAGATGATTTTATTGAGCTAGAATAATTTATTAATGAAATAAAAAAGAAATAAAATAGAAGACATACTTTTATTTAAATGATTTTTTAATAGGCATTAGACTTTTAGAAAAGCAAGGTTTAGGAAATATAGTTAAGTAAAAATGCTGATTTAATTAAAAATGCAACTGAGAAAATAGAAGGAGAAACTACAAAATTTTTAAGATCTCTAAGCACTTTATATTTAGAGCAAAAATTTACATTTCCATATTAGAATTCATTCCATGTTTAATATGTGAAATTTTATTTTGAAAATGAAAATAAATATTAGGAAGACTCAAAGTAAAAATTAGGAATACTGTTCTCATAAATTGAAAAGTATATGCATACACTTGATTTAGACATAAGAACAACAATGAAAAGGTTAAAATTAGATATTTTATATTTTTAGGTCTTATTAGAAATTAGAAGTATTGGAAAAATAAGTCATTTAATTTGGTAAATAATCTATGTACAATAAGTTATAGTTATTAATTTTGTTGTTAATATTGCCATATTTAGTATATTTGTAGTTCAATCAATTTGAGATTTTGAAATATTAAAAGCAATAAGAATAGAGTGTATAAATACAAGATTATTTAATATAAGAAATTTTAAATTAAAAAGATAAATTTAGTATTATAGAGAAAAGGCTGGAAGAATTATAATTTAATGGAACATAGGATATTTAAAAATTAAATAACACATTAGTTGAAGTAACTGACGGTTTTTAAAAATTAAAGATTCGATTTGATACTTTTAAATAAAGTTCTACAATAAATTAAGAGAAGACAATGATAAATATTTAAAATAATTTAGAAGTATTATAAAAAAACATAAGTGATCTAAATAACAAGGAAGGGATTTTACAAAGTTAAATACAATAAATTTAATAAAAAGTAGATAAAATAAGTGTTAAGGAATCAGAGTAGTAAAAATATTTGGAAGAATATAAGAGAATAAAATAGGGAGAAGTAAGAAAAGTAAAGGAGTTGATAGAAATAATAAAGTAGAAAAATTTGATGAGAAAGATAATTTAATTAAAGAATTATGTTTATACACTTAAGAATTTCAAAGATTTAATAAAAATTCATTTAAATTTACCAAAAAGAAAACTTAAAGATTTTGAATTAATATATGATGAATTATTTGATAAGCCTATATTAATTTATACAATGATGAATATATAGCAAAAAGTATACAAATATGAGGGTGATAATCCTTTATTATGTTTGGGAGGATTAAATATAGAAAATTTGGAGAAGATAGATTTAATAGCATGTGATTTTGCAAATGATATGTTGAATCCAACATTTGATTCTGATAAAGCTACAAAAAGTAGACATGGAGATATTTATTGGTATTAAGTTTAAGAATCATCATTTGGATTTGCACCGAATGAAAAAATAAAATTATTATATTGTGATGATTATGATGAAGAAAGTGAATATAGATTAAGTTATTGGTATAATTTAAGATCTTCATCTGGAGGAAGAAGATTGGGTAAATAATTATTATTAGAGAATTCGACTAAACATAGATTATAGTTATATTTATTGAAACCTATATTTGAATGATATGTTTAATATATTATATTACATTTAATAATTGTTTCATTGATTAGGTCTAATCAATATTTTCCTTTAGGTCTAAGTTTGTGAATAAAATTGTATTCCCTAATTGATTTAGTCTAAAGGATATTGATTAGAATATTCTGTTTTTAAAGATGTTTTGAGTAATTCATTAAGTTTCTTGGTTGCATTAACATCTGTAAAAGGATTATATTTATGCACTGAAGTTGATAACCAAAATCCTTTAACAGTTTTGCTTTTGAAAAGTAGATCATTAGCAGTAACATCACTAATATTTTATCCTGATAATAATCCATAAACTAAAGCAGTGGATTTATTTGGTAATTAACTCAGTATTTAACCAGTTAAACTTCCACCTATTGCATCAAAGAAAACTGTGGCACTAAAATAAATAGAAATAAAAGTTACTTTAATTAAGTGGCTAAGACATTTAAATCTTTAAAGAATGTTTCTGAAGTTGAATTTAATACATATTTAGCACCTTCTTTTTAAAGTAAATCAACTTATTCTTATCTTCTGACAATATTTATAACATCAATTCCAGATTCTTAAAAATATTTAACTAACATTCTTCCTAATGCTGAACCAGCAGCAGTATGAACTATAGCCTTAGATCCCAATTCTTATGTTTCTACTAACATAAGCATAACTGTAACAGGGTTCACAATAGATGATGCACCAACTTCAAAAGAAATATCATCATCTAATGGAATTACTGATTAACTAGAAGTAACAGAATACTATCCATAACTACCATAATTTGAATGAGCTGTGAAAGCAACTTTTGTACCTACTTTAACATTTTCAACATTAGGTCTATATATATCTTTAAATAATACCCTAATTGAACTATAATTCCTGATCCTTCTATTCCTGGGACTGCTGGTAATACCTTTCCTGCTGGATATAATCCTGCTTATAATTATAAGTCTGATGGATTAACAGGAGCTGCTTCTACCTTTATTAAAACTTATCCTTCATTTAATACTGGTGTTTCTATCTCTGCAATCTATAAATCTTTTCCGTATTCAACTAATTAAGCTGCCTTAAAAGTTTTTGGAATTACGAATTGTTCCATTTTATTTATTATTAATTATTTTCTTAAAAAAAAATCTTTGAATTTATAGAGTTCGATAAAATTCTGAATTCCAAAAATTACAATAGCTATTTCATCAGAATAAAATTACAATTGTATAATTTAAACATCTAAGTTTTAATTCATTAAAATAGAAATAAATATACTATTTAAGAAATACAAAAATCAATTTTAGAATATCATTATTAATTATATAAGCAGCTGGTACAAAGTAAAATAGAAATTTAAATAAAATTATACTACTTGAACAATTAGTCAAGGGATTTTTTAATTGTGTAAATTAATATTGATAATAACTAAAATAGGTTTATAAATGGTAAAGCATTATTGATAAATCTATTCATGCTATTAAATTATATAATTTTGATCTATAAATAATAAATAGCATCAGAATTATAAAAAAATGAAGTAATTGTTCAAGCAGAGTTTGATTGACAAATTTTTTTTTAAATTAGAACACTATTTTAATCAAAATCAAATTGTTATATTTCAATGGAATATTGAATTGATAAATCGATATGACTTTAAATTGAATAGTAGATGATTTGGAAAGATATTAGAAGTAACAAGGAAAAAAAAATAGAAGAATAAGAAGTTATTGATATAATTATGTTCAGTCAGGAATGGATTTGGTGAAATTAATAAATAAAAAATAGAGAGATTTTAGATTGGCAAATAATTTAATGTATGATGATTTACAGATCTTGCAAATAATTTTAAACTTGAGTTTCATTTTATAATTTACACTTAATCTAAGATAGTCACTTTATGTATGAGTACATTAAACAATGCCATCTGAAGTTGTAGATTTATAGTTATTGCCTTAAAACTATATATGTTTTACGAATCTTTAAATATTAAATTCTTTTTATAAGCTAAAATGTAACTTTGTTTTATCACTATTTCATAGAGAATATAGATTTTCGTAAAAATGATTTTGTAATCAAAGATATCATCAATATAAAATTCTAATAAAATACTAAAAAAAACTAAAGAGAAATAGGCCTTTCTATAAGTAAATCAATATCCTCTTTTTAAAAGGATATAAAACAATATCTCATTGGGTCAAATAGCTTTGAAAATTGTAAATAAATAGAAAACCATACTATTTTATAAAGAAATCTATAAAAAAAATAGCAATAATTAAATATAATAGACAGGAAGGAATAGTACAAATAACATGAAGATGTTTCCAAGACTTAGAAACAAAAATCAGGGAAATACCAATACTTTTAATCATTATAAATATGAATAGAAATATATTTTAAAATTGATTTACGAAATGAAATCATCATAATACTCATTTCTAAATAAATAAACCCATAATAATACATTATAATTATTTTTGGAAGATGGATAAATCTTCAAATTAAATATAAATTAAAATCATTCTAACTAAATTAATAATTTAAAGAAAACATACTTATAATTTTTTGTAATATTGTAATAGGAAATTTATGTAAATTGATCAAATCTAAAGCAAATTAAAATTAATTCTATAATATAGTTATGGATTAGTCAATTTAAATAAATTAGAGTTGAAAGCTAAAACTTACTTTTAGATGTTAAAATAAAAACTCTAAATGAATAAATTAAGTTAAATTTAAGAAATTTTGGAAGAGTAATTTAATAGAAAAGGTTGACCATATTTTCAAATTGTTATGAGAGAAGAATATATTTAGGAAATATAAGAAGAGCTAATTATTATTGATCATTAATAGAATTACCTTTATAAATTAAAACTGAAATCAATAGAGAGGGTGATAATTACTAATTTGTTTATTTCATTTATAAAGATGTAAAAGATTTATATACTTATAAAATTGATTTTTAAGAAGTGTTCTTGAATTTGAAAAAGAAAAATTTAATCAAGATTATCAAGAAAGTTGAATATTGATGGAAGAGTGATATTTTTGATTTAAAATTTTACATTTATTATATTATGTTATTTATACTATTATTACTATATCAAGTATTTTGTGGGAGAGTTAGACCATATGGACCAAGATCATTAACAATGTCTAATGTTAACCCTAATGGGTATATTGATTTGATCTAATATATTTAGTTGGTCAGAATATAATTTTACAATGATATTTGATACAACCTTACCATCAACAGGAATTTTAGTGATTGAGTTCCCAGAAGCTAATTATCCTGATAGATTAGGATTACGTCCAGATGCAGTTTTATATGCACCTTATCCAATTCCAAGAACTTTTGATTAGAATGATAGATCACTGGAAATTCATTTAGGAGAATGGCCTATTGAAACACCATTGACTGTAACAATATCAGGAATTATTAACTCTTAAAAATAAGGAGGTACTGGGAATTTCAAGGTCTATACAAAACTTAATTCTCATATTGTTGATATTAATAGGAATTTTGCCGTAATTGGTTTAGCAGGAGAAACAATTTAATTATTATCAGCTTAAATGTCTATAGATAATAATTATGCTGGAGAAGTAACAAACTATTTGGCTACTCTCTAACCTAGTCAAGATTTAAATAGTAGAGTTGACTTCATTATAACATTTCCAGATTTATATGATCTTTCACAATTGAAAAAATGTTCTTGTAATGTTTTTAATCCTTCTTGTATTGTTCATAAGGATTTTAAAAATTAAATACTTGTATCTGGCAATTAAAATTCTATTTTCAAAGGTACGAATATTTAAATTACATTTAATGATATTGTAAATCCGTCAAGAAAGATGAAAACCCCCTTATTTAATTTTAGAGTAATTGAAAGAAATACAAATAATACACTACAAGAATCATCAGCAGTAAATGGATTGGAAATCTTAGCAGGATAAATGAAATTAGTTCAATTAGAAATATTATATTACTAACCTTATATATTTTACATAAGAGAATTTAGATTATAATTTAGACCTAAGAATGGATTTTAATATGCTAAAATAGCAACAGATTTCTATTAAGTATTGAATTGCCAAATCACTAGAGGATTATTAGATCCTAGTAGATTCTAAGATAGTGTATGTAGTCCCTTAGGAAGAGATATGTTTTTATCTAATTTTTAATCATATGTAGAATCTGATTATAGCTACGAATTTGTAGAAATTCGTTTTAGAGCAAGAATTGGAGATAGAGTTATCTTTACTAATCCAGTTGAAATCTACACATATAAAGATTCAGAATATTTGTATTTAACAGATTAAGATACATTATCTATCAATAGTTAATTGCAAATAGTATTATGGCCTATATTAACACCAACACTTACTTATACTCTTGTTTTTGATGATAATTTAGTCTAAACAAATGTTCTTCCTTAAACTAATGCATAAATTACTATTACATATACAGCTAAAGTTGGTTTAAGTTTGACTACAAAAACAGTATTTGGAATGGAAATACCTTCAGATTTTTAAGGAGTTCCAGAATGTACATTTAAAGATCCAAATGATGTTATGGTTGATGTAACATGTGATTTTAGACTTGGCTTTTTAAATATCACAAATGTCTTTGATTATTATGATTCAACTGTCAAAGGTGCAATTATTACAATTAAAGGATTACTTACGCCAGAAAGTGCTGGTAATTTTCCTATTGGAATGTTTGTCTAAGATCAAAATAATGTTTATTATAATAATAATACTTTAACTATTGCACCTCCAACATTTAAAAAAGTTACAGGTCCTGGAACAGTTGAAAAAACTACTGCTGTTAGTTAATTGTCAATTCATTAAAATTAATAAACTGCTATCTAAATTTAACTTTTTATTGATTGTGATGTTGCAGCAGGAGTAAAAAATATGAATGATCCTTATGTTCCTTTTACAACAATCGAAGTTTATTTTTATTAGTATTATATTACAAATAATGTATTTGACTATGATTTAGGTTCAGGATTACCTGATCTATCTACATATGGTTGTTAATTTTAAGATGGAATGGTTGCTAGTTCTGGAAATTAATTATAATGTGTATTATTTCATGGTTTAAATACTGCTACACCAACATTTTCAAATTATGCTATGGTTAAAATATAAGGTTATGCTGCAATTACAGCTAGTAATACATCTCCAGTTACTATTTCTTTAAAAATACCAGTCAAATATCCAACAACAGTTGGTGCTATTCCTCGTATAAGAGTTGATTTAGTAAAATACAATTAGAAAGTGAAAAGTACTTTGAGATCTTAATCATTTAATATTGGAGCTGTTAAAAATGCTGTTGGAAATTCTTTAACTATTTTTAGTGGTCCTGTATTAGAAAATCCAAAATTATAAGTTGAAACTACATTAACATATAAATTTAAAACTGTCATAGGGATAGCTAAATCAAAATTAAATGGAATATATTTTGAAATTCCAAATGGATTTACTTTTAATTCTGCTAAATTATTAATTAGTATTGATGGAGTCTATTAAGAACCAGAAGTCATTTAATATTTTCCAACTTTCATTTATATAATGACTAAATTATCTTAATTATCAAATGGAGTTGTTCATACTTTAATTTTTGAAAGAGTAGATTTACCAGTAAGTCTTCCATCTTCAAGTGTAACTCATGCAATTAAAACTGCATAAGGTGGATAATTTGCTGATACAGCAACATTTACAATTCCTCCTTTAACAAAAGGATCTCTATTGGATATTAGTTTATCAATATCATCAGATTATTATTAACATCCTTATGTTAATTACTCTATTTCATTTACGACATCAATGAAATCTTATGATGGATCAATGATTATAATAGATTTTCCATTGGGTTATGATATTTAAACATCTAATGCTTACTTAGATAATATTCCTTATACAAATTTAAAAAATTCGACAAGTAAAATCACTTATGATGTACCAACAATAAGAAAATTTAGAGTTCTAAACTTTGCTCCTCTAATAAAAGGATAGAGAGTTTCAATTAGTATTTTTAGTGTAAAAAACCCAATGAGCGGTACATTTACAATAGGAATATCAATAGTAGACAAAAATGGAAATACTATAGAAGATGGAACAAAGTAAGTTACAATTGGATCAACTCCATTTTCAACTTAAATCTTATCAGTTACATCAGTTGAATCAAAACCAAATAATAAGAAAACCTTAGGATTATATACATGGAATATAAATGCTGAGTTTTCAATCCCTAAATTAAGTGAAATTAAATTATTACTTCCAGGAATGCTATCTATTTATTCAATATCAGCAGATATAGTATCTTGTAGAATTGTATAAGATTCTGTCATTCCTCTAAGAGAATGTTTGGCTATTGAAAGTAGTACACCTTCTTATATCTAAATGATCACTGATTATCCATTAAAAGGTAAAGCATTTAAAATTGAATATTATGGATATTTACAATTAGACAATTCATTAAGTGGATTTACTATATCAATAACTTATAATTCTTAAGTCATAGCAACAGGATTATGTCCAACAGTAGCAGTGACTGATGAAATTACACCATCTAAAGTAACTTTAGATTTCTATCCTAAAAATGAAGGAGAAATAGCATACTACAATTTTTAATTAGAAATTACTAGTCCTTTTACATTAACTACTAATCACTATATCTTAATTAGATTTCCCTTTGAATATGATTATATAATTGGATTAGAGAAGATGTAAGTCAAAAGTAATACTCTTTAAGGGGCTTTGAAAATGGCTATCATTCCCTATCATATTTAAATTACAGGATTTTATCAATTAACTAATTTTGTAGGAACTTTAGATATAAGTTTATTAGGAGTAATTAATCCTAATAGACTTAATAATTAGGCCACAGGTACATTTTTAATTGCAATTATGGAGGGAAATAAAATGATTTTAGGGAATAGTGCAATCAATGGTGTTATTCCTTAATTAGCTCCATTGTTAATTTAATTAAATAAAATTACGAGTAGTGTTTCTTTAAGTAGATATGCAAGTACATTTACATTTGAAGTTTACCCACTTTAGTAAGTATTGGCAACAGTATATGGAGGATAATTGTATGTAGATTTTCCAAATAATTTTATAATTGATGCTTTTAATGGAGGTTGTGAGACAACACCAGAATTTTCATTTTTTGCATCTTGTAAATGGGATTATTTTAGATTTGCATTTGTGACAAATAATTAAGATTGGTATTCTGATAGATCAGGTTAATTATAATTAACAATAATGAATGTATTGACACCAGATGATGATGGAGAAACGAATAACTTTATTGTTTATAATTATGATTCACTCAATAAAATAGTATTAGGTAGAACATATGCAAATTTACATTCAGCCTCTTTAATTTATTAGTATGACGGATTATAAATTGATGTAAATTTAAAATAGCCATTTATATTGGAAGTTGGTTCTTATTCAGATGAAATAATAATGAATATAACAGAAAAAGCAGATTTTACATTGACATTATCGCCAAATGTATTAGATTCTTAGATTATAATCACTCCAAATCCTGTATAGATAGTTGCAGGTAGTAAGCAAGCTAAATTTAGAGTGGCTGCTCCACGAACAATTCTATTATAGACCTATTATATATAATGGAGTAAAACAGGAGATACATTGCCTGTAACTTATGCTCCTTTAAGATTAACACCTTTGTAAATGGTTAAAGGAACTTTAAAAAGGAAATTAGTTATTGAAAAAATGGAATACATGCCTAGAAATGGTACATCTTATCCACTTTATATTACAACCAATAATCCTCCATATTAATAATTATTAATTAGAATCGGTTTTAAAATGAATGTAACTGCAGATGTCCCTCTTAGATAAAAGTGGTTCATTACTGACAAAAGATTAGAATAGTTAGGTCTTACTTATGCTGAATTGGTTGATAGTGGAATTGATATAACTGATCATTCTATTGCTAATCTATCTACTACACAATTAGAAATGGTTAAATTATAATATGCTGTTAATTATGATCTAAATATATCAATCAATTATCCTAGTAGTGAGGATATTATCACACTCTATTATAGATTACGTGGATATGATTCAGATTCATTCGATCTTGATGTATAATAAATGATTATTCCAATCAGAGATCAAGAATTTAGAAAACCTAAAATCCTTGAAACTAAAGTCTTAGAAGTTACTAGATCTACTGCTACTTTTTAAGTTATTACTGATATTAAAGGATTCATATTTTATGTTTATGCTGATTAACATATGCCTAATCCTATCTTTGAAGAAACTAAAGTACCAAATAAAGATAATGTCACTCTTTCTAACTCAAATCCTTAATATGGAATCGATTATGTTAGAACCATGACTTTAGATGTTAATTTTACTGTTTCTAAACTTTAACCTAATCATAATTATGAAATCTTCATTTTTGTCATGAATCTTAATAAAGTTGATAATCCTACTTTTATGAAGGTATTCTTCTAAACTCTTAAATCTTAAAGAATTGCACTTTTAACACTCAAAATTAATTAAGCATCCATTGACAATGAAGTTAAAATGGATTATATTTAAAAAATGGGTGAAATGATTGGATTAACTAAAGCAAGATTATTAGAAAGAACAACATTATGTAAATAAACTACATTAGATAATTCTACATCCAATTCTTATTTGTATTGGAATTTAATTATTTTACCTGATCCTTCAAATATGAATGAGTTTACTAAACCCCTTGTTTTGGCTTAAACTTTAAACTCTAGAAGATCAGAAATATAAAAATTTATCACTAGACTTGATGATGAACCGTTTTATACTTTAGAAGAAATCTCAGATAATATTCCTAATTTTGTTATCAATCCTGAAATGATTGATCGTACTACATCATCTATATCTTTAAGATTTAAAATATCTTATTGTGGTCTAGCTTATCTTACAATCAGAAAAAGAGACAACTCTTAAAATTTATCCATTGTAAATGAAACCATTTTTGCTTAAGAACTTAAAAGTGTACAATTTCCATCAGCTTATTAAATTAAAAAGGCTCTCAACGAATCTAATCAACCTATCAATTAAACATCAATTGTTGTTTAAGACACAGAAACTTACTACTAATACAATTATACAGATTTGGATGTAATTACATTATATTTTCATTTTAGTAAAAAACTGTGTATGATGTATACATTTCACTTGAAAATGATTTCATTGCCAATCCTGAATTATTTAGTAACGATTCCGTTGCCAGATTTACTGCAAAAACTCAAAAGATTATTAGTATTTAATTAATATTGAATTTTAGTTCCCTTAAATATCTACAGTATCAATTACTAAGATTTGCTTCAACTATTCATTATAATCAATTTATTATTAGTAACATGATTAATTTTAATAATATTACAATTTTATAGTGTTATAATCTATAATATTAAAATTACTCTTTTCATCTAAAGAATTTTTAAATAGAATTAGAATATATTTCTACTTAATCTTAAGTAAAAAGTATATTTGAAATTAAATTTTTTATGATTAATTAAATTAAGTTAAGAGAGATTGTCACATGAATTATTTATCAATTGGTTAATCAATTTAAGGATATTAAATTTTAAAATTGCTAGGAAGAGGTGCATTTGGATAAGTAAAATGATATATAATTAATAGGTATATCAAGGCCTTTAACTAGAAACAAATGATAATGTTGCAATAAAAGTTATAGAAATAGAAAGATTTAAAGAAAATGATGGAATTTTGGGATAGCTGGTGCAATCTGAAATCTAGGCTTTGAAGACTGTACAAAGTGATCATGTTGTAAGGTTTTTTGAGTCATTTACCGACAGTAGATATTGCTATATAGTAATTGAATTTTGTGATTGTATGTTCAATATTAAATATTTATTTTAGCTGGAGATTTAGAATAATAACTAAAGAAACCTAACCTAAAATTAACTGAGCAAGATGCTTTAGGAATTATTAAATAAATCTTGTAGGGTTTAAGAGATCTCCATGCTAATTATATAATTCATAGAGATCTCAAAATACAAAACATTTTAGTTCATAATAACTCAATTTATAAAATAGCGGATTTAGGATTTTGCAAAGTCTTATAACATGAAGTATTAAATTAAGAATATTAGAGGATCAACAATCTAGATTGTAATTAGGAACTTTATTTACTATGGCTCCAGAAATTTTTAACTAATAACAATATGGATTGTCATCTGACATGTATTCTGTGGGAGTTATCCTTTACTAGATTCTATACAAGAGATTTCCTTTTTCATAAAGAGATTACCTATCAGTTGAATAACGTAGAATATTTTTTTAATTTAAGCAATAATTAATTTTTAGAAAAATTAAATTGAAGTTTCAGATAACACCAAGGATCTCCTGAAACAAATGCTATAATTTGATCCTTAAAAAAGAATAAAATTTGATTAATTAATCAATCATCCAGCTTTTGAAAAACCAATATTTAGTATTTTATTCAATTATTTTTTTAGGTATGATAAGTAAAATATAATTACAATCTAATATACTTTAATTTGATGACTATGAAAAATTTTATCAAACAAAAACTAGAGCTATTGAAGCTAATTCAAATGCTTTTAAAAACAAAGAAATGTTAGCAAAACATAAAGTTCAATAATAATAATAATTTTAATACTAGTAGGTAAATGAATCATAATAAATGCTTTTATAATTATAACACAAATAATATTAATAATAGTTAGAATATTAAGAATATTAATAGCAATAATAATAATAAAAAATACAATAACAACAATAATATTAATAGAATTAACAATAGTTATAAAAAGAATAATAATAATATTAATATTTATAATTACAATAATAATAATAATATTAATAATAATAATAATAATAATAATAAAAGTAATAATAATAATAATAATAATAATAATAATAATAATAATAATAATAATAATAATAATAAAAGTAATAATAATAATCTAATAAAAAAATAAATATTACAGAGATAATAGAAGTAGAATAAGTTGCAGATAACAGATTGAGCTTAGAGATAGATAAAATTAATAATAAAATTAATGAGATGTATTTCTTTTCAAACACTATTCAAGAAATAATACATACCTTTTCTAAACCTAATATTGTTGCTCTATTATGTTACAAATTATAAAAATTATGCGAAAATATACTCAATATAATTATTTAAAATAAGGAAAAATATTAAAATCAAAAACAATATTAGTTTGACTTTTAAATTCTTGAGTAATAATATAGGTAAATGGCTACCTTATCGGAAGGAATTATTTATTAATTTTATGATTTACAAGAAGAATTAAATAATTGCAAAGAATAAGAAATGGCTCAATTGATTTCATAAGAAATTTCAGACTAGTAATTTAATGAGGAGTTTTGCAGATAATTATAGAAATATATATAAAGTGATCATAATAAAATTACTGTAGCGTTTTCTCATGTAATTTTATGTTATATATTTTGTTAAACTAAAAATTCAGAAATTATACAATTTGATTAAAATACTTTTAACCTAAGGATAGCTAAGGAGGAATATTAATATTCTTAAGAACTGTTATAAAAGTTTGATGCGGTTTCCCAAAATTTTGATTTATATCAATATTGAATTATTTATTAAGACTTAATTATATTACTTTTAAATATACTTTATTTATACAATAATTATTAAATATATATATCCATAAAGGAATATTTATTTTAAAGACCTGAGTTTTTAATAAAAAGTTGAGATTACTTTAAAATATATATAAAAAATATGTAACCACTATCTTTATTGAAAAAAAGCAGATTTCCCAGAATTTTTTAAGAAATAAATGTTTAATGTTTCTATAATTCCTATTTTTAACAGAGATGATTTTAAGTCAATGTTAATAAGTATATTCTAATTTTTAGAAATCTAATAATATTTTGAAAATTGAATATTCTCAAACTTTTAGGAAGAGAAAACAATTTATATTATAATATGAATTAACATAAGAAAAGACTTGATGTTTAATGTATATAAAATGTATGTATCTCTTAAATATTAAGAAAATATTAAATATAAAGGATTGGTAAATATGTATTGTAAAATTGTAAAAGATTATGAGATCAAATTGAATTGAATTAATTTTGTTCTTTGATTGTATTGATGAGTCTAGTAATTTTTAGGAGGTATGAGTATGGTTTATATCTTATTTAATGATAAATTTATGTGAGTTTTAATTTGATAATGCCTATTCTAATCATTCATAAAAATATAGATATAAAGAGATAATGAGTTTCATGGATGATGCGATGGAAGTTGAACAAAATGATGGAAAGCTTCAAGAAGTTCATCAATAGAATAGATTCTTGCATTCTAAGAGAATGATTATAGTGGATGAGAAATGCTAAGCAATCGTTCCTGATAAACCAGAAAAGACTTTGGATAAATTTATTAAGCATGTAAATATGAATTATTATTATAAGAGGTAAAGTTTGACATTTTAAACAGAAAAAATTGAGAAGCTTTAAAACATAGATGATTATTTACTTTTTGCATAATCCTTAATTTTAAACTAAGTTGATGAATAAACTATAGAGGATCCAAAAAAGAAAAGTAAGGGATTTAGTGGTGATGGATTGATTTTAAGTGGTTTATCTATCACTTAAGAATAAGTAAATGAAAGAGCATTAATGTTTTTAAAGACAATGGATTATAATGTAATAAAAGCAAAGTTTTATTTACTATTTCCAAGTTTATTAGTTTACAATCAGTATAAACATAGACATGCATTATAATTCACAGATGAATATATGAATGAAAAAATTGAATTGTATATTAGCAAATTGAATGAAGATAAAATGATGCAACAAAATAAATGGAAGTAGGATCTTATGGATATGATAAATAGCAAATAAAAAGTGCATTTAGCTTAACTATAAACCTTACTAGAATAAGGATAGTAATTAAAATATGAAGTTCCTGAATCAATAAAAACCATTCACTCAACTTCAATATAAATATAAAGATAAATAAATAAATTATTAAAAGAAAAATAAACCTTAGAAAAATTAAGGTAAAGCTTAGAAAAATTTGAAGAATAGATACCTATTATTACCCCAGAAATATAATAGTTAAGAGATTTAGTTTAAAAATCAGAAACATTTTATTTAAAATTGTTGAAACTTCCTATTCCTGTAGAGGATAGTGATAATTTTGATGAAATATTTGAAAGTCTTATATGTAATTCCTAATCTCACAAAATTCAACTAAAAACTCTTGCAAACTATAATTAAGAATATAAATAACTTCCAATTGAAATAAAAGCATTTGAATCATTACATAAGAGATTATATGAATTTGTATTGGATCTAGTTGAAAAAATATGTAAATTTACTAAGATTTAATAAACAAAAACTAGGTTAGGATAATATATATCAAATTAAGGAGAAAAAACAGAAAAAATGACATTATCTTAAGCAGGCATTTTCAATTAATAGATATTAAAATTAATTGTGACTTGTGACGATTTTGATTATTTTAATGAATTGTATTAATAAGCGTTGGAATTAAATGAGAAAGCAAAATAATAAATAGATGACCCTGAAATGTAATAAAAATTATTAGGTGAGGTATTGGATTGTCCTTTCTATTTAGATGTATAAGAAAGATTATAAAGTATGATAGATTATTCATAAATATTGGATTCTATTAAATAAAAAATGTCTGAACGATAACATTAAATAGCAAATCAATAAATTCTAATGCTTTTAAATAGAGGAATTATTAATGATGAACTAAAAATTCTTCAAACTTAAACATTAAGAGTATTAGAATGGAATTAATTAGCAGAGGAAATTATATGTTATCATTAAAACATTTCACTTATTGATGTTTATGATGAAAATTTTGAATTATTATAATATCCAAATACTCTTTTTAATCCTTCACAAGATATTATTAATTAATTGGATCCAGAAAAGGTTTAGGAAATCGAATAGATATCAGAGAGAATGCAAAATTGGAAAGATTAATTATTAGCTTTAATTGATTCTAAACAAGTCTAATCAACAAGAAAAAACAATTAGAATAAACCATTTTATAAATTATGGGAACTCTTTAAAGAAGGATTAAGGTATAGATAAGAATTAACTCTAATGACAAAAGTTAGAGATATAATAATTTAGATTTTAGATTGGCATGCATAAGTTTATATGATAAAATAGACTTTAAGAGTAAATGATGATTAATTTTAATAAATTGATGGAATAGAGACGATTTGTAAAATATATATATAAAGAAATGGAACTTAACATACTTAAGATTAAATTGAAAAATTACAAAAATTTTAATCTCCATTTTTAGGTGGATCTAAAGATCTATAAATAATTTAAGCATTAATTTTACATACTGAAAAATGGAATAAAGATGCAAAAGAAGCTATTTAATCCTAAAATTAAGAGTAAATCAAAATTTTATTGGATGAATCTTTGAAATTACCAGTTGATGAAATATTAGTAAAGGAATTATAGAATATACATGCATCTAATTAAAAAGTAAATTGGATATTGTCAACAATTGCTACATCTGATCCATTATTTGATTAAATTTTATAAGCTTTATAAAATGATGAGTCAATAAAGTAATTGAAAGAAGAGATGATAGCAATTTATGCTGAAAATCCTTAGAATAAGAAAAAGAAAGAAGGTATGAAATTATCTAAAATGGCTTAAAATTTCTTTTTGAATTTTTAAAACACTATTAATAGTTATTTAGGATAATTGACTTAATTAGATGAAAATAAATTAAAGAAATTATAACCAATAAGAATTCAAAGATTGAAAGAGTATCAAAAAGAAGTTTAGAATGAGGATATAAATAAATAGATTGAAGATTGGATTTTGTAGTATCAATATTGGTAGACTTAAATAACTAATTTAAATGATTAATAATAATAATCAAAAAAAAAAAAAAAAGGAAAAGATTTTGAATCTTAATAAGAAACTTATTCTTTAACTGGTGATTTGTTATATTATTTCAAAGTACCTGAATTGCTTTGTCTTGTACTTTAAGGAATTGAAAAGAATTATATAAGTTAAGAATTAATAAGTTCAATTGAAAAATTAGTTACAATAAATAAATAAGCATTAATAGCTTTATCAGTTTTAAGTGTTAAAGAATTATCTTATTATTCTGAAGTTTTTATGCCATAATTTTATGTAATGGCTAAGAAATTTAGAGTAATAAATAATTGGATTTAAATGGCATCTGAAATGATTAATGATATTCCAAGACTAAAAAATATTATTATGATATAAAAATTGAAACCTTTCCTTGAATATCTTGAATAGTTATAACCTTAAGAATTTAAGATGTCAAAATCTGCTTAATAGTAATAATAACAATTATAACAATAACAATAACTATAACAATAATAGCCTTCCTCTTAATAATTAAATTTATAATCAAGTTTAAATATATCACTTTAATCTAACATAAAAAAGAAAGTATAAAAGCCTATAACTAAACTAAAAAATAAATCACAAGAAGAATCATAACCAACCTATGATTAGGAAAGTCAATCGAAGCATTCTAAAAGAGTGAAATAAGTTTCAAGATTAATGAGAGATGATAATATAGCATTTTATGATGCAAATGTTCCTTTAGGAAAAGCTTTTAGACCTTCACCTAATGATTGTATTTCTTCTGATCCTGTAATGTAAGCATTAAAAAAACCTATTACATAAAAACGAAGTTATAAAAAAGGATTTAATAGAAAAGCATCTCCAAATATAATTGTAGAATGTAGTAGCTCTAATTTTTTGGATTAAGTTAAAAATTCATCTTAAGAATTATTAAATCTGTATAGTTAAGATGAAATCTATTGTACATGTAGACAAGGAGGTGAATCTGCTATCACAGAATTTTAGATTTTGAAAAGTCTACATGAAAAAAATGTTGAATAATTTTACAATTATCATACTAAATTATAGTAATAAGTTAAATTTATGATATTTTGCGATAATTGTGAAGAATGGTATCATTATGAATGTATGGGAATTAAAAAGTAGAGAGAATAACAATAAGATAAATATAATTGCAGAAGTATTTATTATATTTCTAATTAGTTTGTCTAAAAAAAAATAATGTTCCATTCTTAATTCTTGATGAAAACATATGGGATCAATATATTGATTAAACTAGTGATTTATACGAAGAGTATTAAAAACATAAAATGTAATTCGAAAAAAATATTCTACCTAATTCAGGTGAATATATTTATGGTCAATTTTTATTACCAACTATTGAAGAATTCAAAGAATTTATTAAAATTGGTTAAAAATTACCTGCTTAATTGGTTGAATTAGAATTACTTGAACTTTTAGAATAACGTGTTGATGGATGGAGATTAAGATATGAAGATCATAAAAATCTTAATCTCCCATAATTAATTGCTCTCTATTCAGAAAGTGAATGGTTACCTATATAATTACCATAATCAAAACATTTATTATCTCTTATAAGTTAAAGGGAATTTTTAAATACTGCTAATGAATTATTATAAAGTAAAGCTACATTTAAAACAAAATAATTAAAAAAATAATAATAGGAAAAAACAGAATAATTATATTAGATAATGAAAGAAAAACATCCAGAATAACTCTCAGAATTAGATCATTAAACTGTAAAGACCATTTAAATGTTAAGAATTCAAACTGAACTCAATAATTAATTATAATAACAATTAAGATAATAATTAACTTTTGAATAATATGAATAATTAGCTAATTAATTTGAAAAAGAAGTTAAACATCATATACTTTAAACTGATATTAAATTTTCCCTTCCAAAATTAACTGAACTCAGGTAATAAATAATTAAACTTTAATAATGGAATGCTGAAATTTTAGCTATTTTTAAAGATATAGATGATATCTATACTACAAATGTATATATTTTTATTAATTTTTAAGTTAAGTTAGTAGCATTATGATAGTAAACCTAATTTATCAGAAATTTAAGTCAAATTAAAAGAGTATGAAATGATTTCAATTAAAGTTCCTAATTAATGTCATGAATTTGTCAAAGCCCTTCAATCTAAAGCAGAAGAATTAATTTATAACGTAGATTCAAACTTATCATAATTATCATAAGATGAATAATTTGAATTAGTTAAAACTGTTTATTAATTAAAATGTAAAATCCCTTAATTTAAAGATTTGCTTTTAAGCAAGTAAATAATTTATTATTTTTCGTAGGCTTCATAAGGATGTATAAATCAGAATAGTTTAATGGTTGCCTCCCTAAAAACCTGGACTTTATTGATTATTAGTTATTATTTATCATCTAATTTTTAAAATTATCAGTTGAGAAATATCTTAAAAAATATTCATCAATCAAGAATTTTATTTCGAATTCTTTGATATCATTTAAATTATTATATTTTGTCAAAAATAAATAATATGATTTGTTAATTATAAAATAAGTCTAAAATCAGAATAAGGAAAAAAAGAAGTTTAAAATACTTGAATCATCTAATAAAAAGTCTATTAATAAAAGACATTAGAAAGTTAAATCCAATGGTAGGTGAATTTTATTGTTGTAAATTTAAAAAAAAAATTATTAGAAAAAGACTATAAATATATGCAAAGCTTTCTATTATATTCCAATTAAAAGAAATTAATTACTAGTAACTTCATACAAATATGAAAAATTATAATTATTCAAAATTCATTTAAAAGGAATATATTATGCTTTTAGATCCTTTTAAAAGAAATCTTAAGATTTGGTATCTCAAATAGTAGATTAGTAATGGAGAGCTGATTTTAAATTAAAATCCTCAATAAATTAGGATAATATTTTTTCATTTTTTTTTAAAATGATTCAAGAAATAAATCTAAGTTAAGAAATCTCGAATGATTAAAAGGTCATGTTAATCATTGACAAAAAAATTTTAGATTTGACACTCAAATTTATTAAGAATTTGAATAAAAGTACTATGTAAATAAGTGATATTGGGACTTTCAAAAGAAGAGTAGTACCATTTTTTATGAATCAGTTTTATCATTGGGCTATTAATAGAAAACTTAAATAAGTGGTAAATTACTTGAAATAGCTCAAGAAAAATAAAGAATCTTAGTAAAAGAAATTTGAGTTAGGAGATCTTAAAGAACTTTTCACAAATAAAGAAACAGCAATTTCTTCGGATAATATAATAAAAGATTAAACAAGAGAGTCCTGGAAAGAATTTCTAAAAAACTATGCTGTATAATCAGTATTAAGAAATCAAAAGATAAAATGCATGGATACTAAATAAAACTATATTAAATACATTCCGATATTAATTGAAGAATTGGATTAAATGTTTCCATATGATAAATTGCTATCAAAGTACAAATTGCCCTCTGTGTTACCTGGATTTATTAATTTTGAAGAGATGATTCAATATGAGAGTAATCCCTAGTACTCTACGAATGAAAATTTCCTATGATTAATATATTTATGAATAAAAATGCTCATGAATATTAAAATTTTCTTGGAGAATTTTTGGAGAAAAAAAATCTTAAAAAAAAATATTTTAATTATGTTTTAAATTAATCAATATAAATATAATCAATGACTCTTATTTTTTAAGAATTATAATTAAAGTGATGATATGAACAATTTTTCAATGATAGTTTAATAAACAAATCGGTTATATGATACTATTAGCAAAGTTATTGATGTTAATCAAATAAAATTAAATTTCATTAATTTAAATTTCATTAGAAAAAAGAAATAAAATTTAACTTTGTCTAAGAAAATGGCTTAAAATCTAACTAATCATCTTGAATTATAATTACGATAAAATTTTTGTAATCAAAAATATAATAAATATGTTTAATATTAAGATATTATTGGTTATAAATTGATAAAATTTACAATAACTTAATTGTGTAATAATGAAGGTAAAAATAGGAAATTAAAAATAAAGAAGGTATTTATATAAAAAATTTTCTAGTATATAAGTATTCTAATTTTAATGATAAATTCTAATTAATTTATAGAATAATATATTTTATTTAATATAGTTCCTAATAATGATTAAATAACCTAAATAGAGCGATGAAAAATAAATAATTTTATCCAGATCATCAAATTCAAATTTCAGTATAAAAAAATAAGCATAAACTCCCAATATAGATCTTAATTAATAAGTTCAAAATGCTTATAAAATGATAGAATAAGGTATGAAATACTATTAGAATCAATAATATTCAATGGCTAAAGTTGTTTTGGTGAATAGTTCTCAAATATTATTACCTGTAATAAAATAAAAAAGTAATTTATAATAAATAATCAGAGTAAAATTAAGAAGAACATGCCACTGAACATTAAGAATTAATAAAAGCAATTAATACAGCAGAAATTTGTACCTAAAAAGTTGATCAACTTTTCTAAAATATAGTAATGAAATATTTAATATAAGGCTTCATAAGATCCTTATAGCAAATAAATAATAGAAACAGCTATGAATAGGAAATTTGAAGTTTCATTTGATGAGATTATAGGATTAGAAAGCATAAAAAAATAATTAGATGAAGTTCTTATATTGCCAAATTTAAGACCTGATATTTTTACAGGTATTCGTGCACCTCCAAAAGGTAATAAATTCAAAAAATTTAGGTATTTTATTTTATGGACCCCCTGGAAATGGTAAAACTCTTTTAGCAAAAGCTGTAGCTAATTAAATAAAATGCTGTTTTTTTAATGTTAGTGCTTCAACATTAGTGTAGAAACATCTTGGTGAAGGAGAAAAATTGATGAAAACTCTATTTAAAATAGCATTTCAATTTTAACCATCTGTATATTATATATATTTTATTTATTTAGGTGATATTTATTGATGAAATCGATTCTATTTTATCTAGTAGATCAAGCGAAGAACATGAGGCTAGTCGAAGATTGAAAACAGAATTCTTAGTTTCATTTGATGGAATGTAAACTTCTGATTAAGATCGAATATTTTTAATAGGAGCTACAAATAGACCTTAAGACATTGATGGAGCTGTTCTAAGAAGATTTGTAAAAATATAAATAAATTAGACTGTAAAAATATTAATTGACTAACCAGATCAAAAAGCAAGATTGGCTTTAGTTAAATCACTCATGTCTAATGTTAATCATTCTATTTTAGGTCCAGCTTTTGATAAAATATGTGAAAAATTAGCAGGTATAATTATTCATTTATAACAATTAGGTTATTCTGCAAGTGATATTAAAGCTGTAGTCAAAGAAGCTTGTATGTAACCTTTAAGATAAGATAAAATTGCTATAGTTACTATTTCTGCTTAAAATATAAGGCCTGTTAGAAAAGAAGATTTTGAATTTGCCATCAATAAAGTTAAACCATCATTAACCGAAAAGCAATATTAAGAATACATTAGTTTTAACAAATCTGGATCATGAATTATTTTATTAATCGGACTAATCATGATTATAATACTAAATCTAAATAAAATTTTGGTTAGTAAAATTATTTCTCTTTTTTAGTTTAATATTGTGTTAAATTTATTTCAAAACCTAAATTTTTAAGTTTAAATTGATATATGATAGATTCCTTTATTGAATAAATTTCAATAAATAAATGATTGATTTCTTTATAAAACAAATAAATTATGGTATTTTTTTCTAACTCTTTGAAAACTAACTTATATAAAAAATACAATTCTACAATGAATTAATTAATTAATGGGAAATCTTTCGGCTTAATGTTTTGCTGAAGAAACATAAGAAAGTTAAGTTATATAGAATAGAATAAACTAGTAAAAAAGTGATTATGCTCAAAATATTTCTGTGTAGAATATCAAAAAAGATTAATTTTCAAGCCTGTTTTAATAGGATTAATAAGAGGGTGAAGAAATTAAGTAAACAATATAAGAATGTTCTTTTTGCTTGAATCATTATAAATAGTTGAGGCATTCATAGAATTTAGGATTATTACTTTATCCTTAAAATAGAAAGTTGTATATAAGTCATTCTTGCCAAATTAATCAATTGAAAGAAGCAAATTTATTTACTGAACCTTTGACCATACTTTAAAATGATCCAATATCTTAATATACATCAGAATGGTTTTAATTGGCATTATCATTACCAAAATATATAAGAACTAAGGAATATTTTGAAGGTCTTCCAGAATAAGAATAATTTAATTTCCTTAATTCTACCTTAGATGAACATGACCTTTATTCTCTAATATGTTTAAAATGGTGTGTTGTTGATTTTTTTAAATAGAAACATTCTCTATTTCCAAAAAATATTTTTTTAGAAAATTGTTGCACAGTATTTTATAATATTGCTCATTTGTGTTAATTTTATAATGAATTATTTTTAGAAAATTATAAGAAAGATGAATTTTCCCATAATATCAAACTCTATATTAAGTTATATCAATAATATTAATAGTTGATGAACACATTTTAAAATTAGTATGATTTATAATGTGATTTATTATAAATAAAATATGAGAGATAATTTAATTGTCAAAAAGATGAATCTAATTTCTATCCTCATTTTAAATTAATAGGATTTATGATAAGATTTTGGTGTTAAATAACTTTAACAACAGAAGTTCAGAATATTTTAAAAGAAAGTTATAGAAATTTGAGCACTATGAATGATAAGGATTTAATTTAAAGATTTGTAATTGCTGCTTTAGATGTAAATATAGATGAATATAATGTTCATTGGATAGGTCATCGTAAGAATTTTAGAATAGAAAAAACTTTATTAGATTTTAACATTATAGAATAAATAGTATAATAAGTAGAATAATAATAAATTAATAATGCATAATTCTACTAATAAATTGATGAAAAATTGGAAGAACTAAGATTGTTGTATCCATTATGGTTTTTTGAAGTAGAATTTGAGTGTTTAGGAATTTAACATAAAATAATAAGATTGGTTTAAGATGCTAGGTCTTAGAATTCAACTGAATTAGCTAAACTTAAAAAAATTGATGATATAGAAATATCTGAGAATTTAGGAAATAATTAATTTGAAATGATATTAAATTCTGACAATACATTAAAATAAGAGAATTCTGAAGATAAAGAAGTTGAATTAATGGCATTTTATTTATAGGAGTCTAATTTAATGCCTAGATCAAAATTCAGACAATCTTATTCAAATCAATCAACTGTAACATCATTTGGTTTTAAATAGAAAGGATATAATTATTCAACTTAGAGTATTTTAAAAGTTAGTTAAGAAGCTCTATAAATAAGTAAAGAGATAGGAATTGAATATAAATAGAAATTAACTGAATTTAATGATAGATTATAGAGAGTTGAAGATAATATAAGTGCACGAGAGCACATTTTAAAAGAAAGAGCCAAAAAATTAAAAATACCTACTGATATTAATATTGATTGGCTTAATTTTTTTAAAAAAACAGATTTAAGTAAGATTCCTGACAGCGAGGAAACTTTTATGCAAAAAATGCTGTAAAAATTGTAATCTTTTGATTGATATAAAAATGCTAACTTATTTAATTATAATGATTAATCACTATAAATTAATAAGAATAAAATGTTTTGTTAATTAATTCTATATGATTAGAAAGAAACAAACCATTAGAATGAAAATGAGAAATTAAATACATTTTATGATATTAAATTAATTGTATATTAAATAAATAGTTTATGTTTGGTTGGTTCAAAAAGAAGAAGCCTGAATCTAATTCAGCTTAACAAGAAGAGAAAGATGAAAGTGATAATGTTGATGTATTTTAATATGATAAAAAATAAAAGGATGAGACATAAGTTGTTACAAATGAAGATAAAGAATTAGAGGCGAAAGGGTTTGATCCAATAGCTTAAGTATAAGAATAAGATAAAGAAAATGAAGGTATTGCTGATCCAGATAAATTGGAATATGTTGGATATCATGATATTCCAGGAGATGACATTCTATAATTGGTGCTTAATTTTAAATATTTTCCAAATGATGAAGAAATACGTCATATAGAAGGATATGAAAAGGGAGGCAGAATTTGTGCAGATAAGAAAGTAGTAACTAAAGCAAGAAGTGTAGGAAAAGAGATGGTTAAATAAATAGGAAAGAAAATATTATCAGGATCATTAAATCTTACTAAAGTTAGTTTCCCTATTAGAGTAATGATCCCTAAGACTGCTTTAGAAACATCTGTTCATGGAAGTAATATTAATTATAATTAAATTAGCTTCTGTTTTTCCATTGTATATTACAAAAGCAACAATGACTCCAGATTTCTTAGAAAGATTCAAACTTGTTATTACTGCTACCTTATCTTCATTCTTTTGGACTAATACATTTTTAAAACCTGTATTTATATATTTTAATAAGCTTAATCCAATACTTGGAGAAACACTTTAAGCTAATTATAATGATGGAACTTAAGTCTATTGTGAATAAATTATGCATCATCCTCCTGTTAGTTATTTTTTAGTTTATGGTCCTAATAAAAAATATAAATATTATGGATATTATTTAGTTGAAGGAAGAGCAGGATTAAATTCTGTTACTGTAAATTTATTTCACTTATATAAAAGATTATTAACAAAGGTAAAAGAACTATTGAATTTAATGATGGATAAAAAATTGATTTTGACTTTCCTAATGAATTATACAGTGGCACATTCTTTGGTTAATTAAGATAAGAATCCATTAATAAAATTACATTCTCTGACAAAGCCAATGGTCTTTCATGTATCGTTGATATTGGCAAAGTTAAAAAAAAGTAAACCCTTTTTCCTATTAAAGAACTTCTGATTTCTTTTAGGCTGATGTCAACTTTAAAGGTTAAAAAGTATCAACATTATATGGAACTTATATTGGTTTCATTAATTTTGATAATGTGAGATATTGGGATTACAGATATGTTGTTCCTTTTAAAATTAAAATGGATAAATAACCATTAGAAAGTGATCATAAAAATCGTTCAGATTTATAGGCTTTGAAATCTGGAGATATTCCATTAGCATAAAAAAATAAAGAAATTTTAGAAAATATTCAAAGAAATGATAGAAAATTAAGAGAAACATATGAGAAACAAAAAAAGTCTAAGAAATGATCTTGAATTTATATTTAAAATATTATATTATTATTATATTTTATTCTATTCAATAACTTTGTAATTACTAAAGTATATCTAATTAAACATGATTATTTTATATTTTTATTCTCACATATTATTCTCACATATTTTTTTAAATATTATAGAATTAACATGGATTGCACTTAAAAATATGGCGAAAAATTTTATATATTTATTTTTATAAAAATAAAATTTACTTTGTATAAATACAAAAGGATATTATGCAAGATTCTCGTTAATTAAAAAATAAAGTAAAGGGTATATGTTAATAAAAATAATAAATAATAATATTTAAATAAATGTATCAATCAAATTATTAATCTTCTAATTATAATAATTATTTTTATTTTTTTCATGTAATTATAAACCTCTATTGTTAAAATTGGGATTTTAACTATTAACATTTAAAAGGGGAATATTACTGACCAAGAGGATCTTGATGCATTAGTACTTCCAACAAATCCATTGTTATTAAGAGAGCCAGGAATTTCTGCAGAAATTTTTAAGAAATGTGGTTCAGATAATTTAGAGAAGGCTTTAAAAAAGATAAAGGAAAATGAGAAATAGAAAAGAAATTAAAAAAACGATCAGATTGGAGATAAAGGGATATAAAATAAATAGAAAGAGAAATAACCATTGATTTTAGATTTTACTGAATTTTTAGCTATGTAATAATAAGAGGAATAAGAATAAAATTAGGAGGAAATTAGATTTCCTTTTGGTTATGTAGATTGTCTTAAAAGTTATAATTTAAAAGATGGATAAAAAATATAAAATCTTTTATTTGTAGTAGAGCCAGAAAGTTTTAATGAGTAATTAATAATATAATCTATTAAAAATATGTATTTTGAATGGGTTATATAATAGAATATTAAAGTCAAACGAATTAGGGTTTAAGAAAGTAGCTATTCCTATATTATGTATAATTGATAAAAATTTTGAACCGAAAGTTTGGGCATTTCAATATAAGAAATCATTTTATGATGTTTAATAATAATTGAAACCCAACACTGAATTAGAAATTGTTATAGTTTGTTTTAATGATGATGTCCTTTATGGATTTTAAAAAACATTTTAATCCTCAGAGTTTGTCAAGACTACAAATCAATACATAACTGATGTTTAAAATGTAGAAGTGATCATAAATCCTGTAAATTAAAATAACCCACATTTTGGAGCAAGTGGTGATATAATTTAAAAGGCTGGATCTGCTCTTGAATAAGATATTAAAACATAAGTAAAAAAAGGAAAGAGATGGGTTTTATCAAAGAGTTTTAGATTAGAAGAGAATAATATTAAATATGTTTTAACTTACATAGGTCCTATTGATAAGAGAATGTCAAGGGCAGAAAAATTATAATACTTTTTTTAAAAAATGTAATTATATGATTAGAATGTATAGATTATAAATATGTAATGATTAATTATAAGTTGAATCTATTTGTATTCCATTATTAGCAATACCATAAGCAATATTTTATTAGAACGAAACTCAAAATTTTGTTTTAAATAGAATTGCAATTTCATTGAAGGATGCAATATTAGAATTTGAAAAGTAGAATAAAAAACATAAATATATAATGATATCTATTTAGAATGATTAAATGAGAGAATTTTGTATTTAATTGTTTTCATGATTTTTGAATATTATATAAATTATTTGAAAGATATGAAATTAGTATATAATGTTTTGAATAATAGATAATAATTTTTAGGAATTATAAATCAAAAGAAATAGTTATATTTGTTAAATTAATTTGAAAGTATGTAAAGGTATTTATACACAGTAAAAATTGATTATAATTTATATTTTGAAGGAAAAATAGAAAATAATGAATTAAGCCTCAGATGATTAATCATTTAAAACAATAAAATCAGGGAAATCAATGGCTTAAATAGTTTAAACAGTTTCAGGAGAGTATTCATAAGAGAAGAAGAAGTAGATATAATAAAAAATTTACTTAATATTAAATGATTACGAATGCAATAAGTTAGTAAGATGAATGAATATGAAAGGCATTTATTCTATCAATTTTATCAATTTTCATAATATCACTGGATATAATATTATTAATATTGGAGACAGAGAAGGAATTAGGAATAATGGACATTTGGGTAACTGCAAATTCAGGAGTGAGTGGTTACTTTTTAATAGAATATATATTAAGAATGGCATCTTATAATGCATTTGAAGAAACTTTGATTGAGTTTATAAAAAGTAAGAATGTAAATTATAAAGAACCTTATAATCTAGTTGATATTTTTGCATTATTATATTCAATAATAGAATAAATATTATATCTGTTAGATATATAGGTTGATCCTAGAATAAAAGTATTAAGAATGTTAATAGTTTTACGATTGATAAGAATATTTAAATTTTAAACATTTGCTTTAGGAGTGAAAGTAATTAATTGTTTTATTTGACAGATTTTGATAAGAGGATTATCAGAAAGTATGCAAGCGCTATCTTTATTGTTATTTTTTACAATGATATGTATAAATATTGATTCTAAATATTGAGGTGTGATATTGATATCAAGTTTTATGTACTTTGCAGAAAAAGAGTTTGTAGATGATAGTTAAATATAAAATATACCATAAGCAATATGGTGGGCAATTATTACAATAACAACTGTTGGATATGGAGATTATGTTCCAAAATCTTTATTAGGAAAGTTTATTGGAGTTTTGAGTCTGATTTTTGGAGTATTATTACTTTCACTTCCTGTAGCAATTATTGGAAATAAATTTCAGGAGATTTATTTATAGAATAAGAAAGAGGAAACAAAGAGAGCTAGGAAGAATGCAAAAGTAAATTATAATTTACTATTTAAATTAGACTCATTATAATTAAATTTAAAATCAAAATGAAAAAGAAATCTATAGAATAATATTAAAATTAAATGAATTAGAATAAGTAAATGAAAGAATTGAATAATGTTTGAAAGATAATCAATTTTTATATAGAAGTCATATCAATTAATAATATAATTAGGTATTTCAAGAGATGCATAAAGCATGATTGATAAGATTGAAATAAATAGAGAAAATGGTAAGAGTAAGAATAAGTAAAAAGAGAGATTGAGTACTTAAGAAAGAATAATAAAAATAAGAGAAGAGATTTTAAATAGTAGAAAAAATAAATGAATATTTTTTGATTATATAATTTTTTGAATTTGTTTATTGATAAATTCATGATTGATAATATTATTTAATATCATGCATATTCTTAATTTTATTTCTTTTTATTTGGTACTGAAATAAATGCTTCATTATAGAGTATCTATAATTTTTCTTATCTAGAATTAGCTTATAATTATGCCTCTTATTCATTTTGATCAGCATCATATTCTGAATCATCATCACATGTGAAAATCTTAGTATATCTAGTATCTGTTCTCGTATCTCCAGGTTTAATAAAATGACCTCTAAATTTTCTATATTCTTTTTGATTTTTATTATTAGCTTTTGCAGAATTGATTTTAGCATAAACTTTATTACAATGTTTTGGAATGAAATCAAATTATAGATTATTAATTTCTATTTTCTTATTAGATCTTAAATCATCAATTTCAGATGGATCAATACTACATTATGAACTTTTAGGTTTTGATTTCTTTGTATTAGATTTTAATAATAAAGAATAATCTTCTTCTTAAATTTATGTAAGTGTACATTCATTAAACCATTAATATTTTTAACTCCAATCATTTTCTAATATGAGATTCTTATATATTAAAGTTTCTTTGTTTTATTTAATATTTCTAAGTACTAAAGGATGAGATACCATTGTATCATTAGTACATTATTCAACACTTATTTTTCTAAGAATATCTAAGTATTCTATATAAAACATTAACTTTCTGTATTAGTTTCTATTAATTACTTTCATATATGATTAATATCTATCAACTCTATCTGCTTAAAATACTCTAGCATGCATTAAAAATAATCTTTCACATAATTCTGACATTTCTATTAATTATTAACATAGATATTATTCAAATTGATCTAATCCTTTATTTTTTTATTTGAATCCATCAGATGTCAATGTATCTTTAGCTCTTAATAAAATATAAATGCTTAAATGTGATAATTTTAATCTAAATTCTGCATCTTTTTTTCCACATCTTCTATGTTTTCTTTCTTTTGCAAATACTTCATCAATTGATTATATTGCTTATTTTATATGTTATGAAGATATTCTACAAAATCTTCCTTTATATAATCTAAAATCTATTTTATTTTAATTACTTAATTCCTGTTAATTAATAGAAATCATTTAGTCCTTATCTTTTAACCCCTCTAGATTTTATATCACTTTCTATAAGTTATATTTATTATTCTTTTGTAAAATTCTCTGAATATCCTGTTAATTATTCCCAACGATATCGAAGTGTATTAGCTTTCTATACTTTCTCTCCTGTTTATAATTCAAATTTTCTAGCTACTTAAGTCCAGCTAGTACAATTCTTCCCTCCAAATGCATCTACTATTGCTAAGAACTCCTTGTCAAATTTCTAATCTTATTTGTGATACCTTGAACTCATTTACTATTTTAATTCTAATTATACTATGCCATTTTTCACCAATTTAAAAAATCATATAAACTTGTTCTTTTACTAATCATGTAATCTATCTATTAGTTGTTAGAATAAAAATTAAAAGGCTTTTCTATAATATATAATAATAATAAAACTATCTATATTTTATTATCATTTTATAATTGATATATTTATATAATTATAATTTATCATTTCTAAACAATCAAAATTGCTTTCTTTTATTTAAATAGTTCCTCTAAACCAACTTTTGATTTTGATGAAAATTCACTCTTCTAAATGATTGCTCCTTAACATTCAAATCTTTAACCTAATGAACATACATATTTACAGGAATATTCCTTATCACATTTTACATAATATCTAATTGCTTAATCATTACCAAATGTTAAATATGTTTAAGTAACTATATTTACCTAAACTCCTAAATTAGATCCAACATGTTCATTTATAATAGTAGGTAACTAAATTTATTATTTATTAATATTATATATTAATGTTTAAAAATTTTCTGATTCTGTTACTACTATAATTTCTGTATTGCTAAGAAAACTTGCAGTTATTAAAGTTGTTTCATGAATATCTTTAGTAAGTATTATATCATTTTTATTTAAATCCAAAATTGTAAATAAATTCCTGAATGCTAAAATGACTTGGCTATTATCATGTGATAAATTGATTGATCTCAATTGAATTTTATCTTAAACAAAAGGTTATTTAATTTTTTCCCCATTAAAATTCCAAAAGAATATATCTCCTTTATAATTAGCTGTCAATATCATTTTATCAGTTGCAACTATAGCCTCAGGAAAATGTGATCTTTTAATTTATAAGTAAGAATATTTAATCTTTTTATTCATAATTGGTAAAACCCACATTTAAACATCATCTGTCCAAAATATTTATTAAAAAGGGAATACAACTAAAACCTTACTTTTTTATTAGATTCTAATAATATTTTCAATTTATTATAAATCATCTAAATCCCATAAACATAAATCAGTGATTTATTAAGTTATAGCATATGTTTCATCCTAAGAAATAAAAAAAGATTAGATTCCATTTTGAACCATTACTTCTTTTATGATTATATATTAATCACTCCATAATATGAATTTCCAATCTGTTCCTGTAGTTAATAACATATTTTTAGAATGTAACCATTATATTTTTTAAATTTCTCCTTCATGAGCTTGAAAGGCCTTTTGTTAAAAAGAAGTAGTAACATCANTAAACTTGTTCTTTTACTAATCATGTAATCTATCTATTAGTTGTTAGAATAAAAATTAAAAGGCTTTTCTATAATATATAATAATAATAAAACTATCTATATTTTATTATCATTTTATAATTGATATATTTATATAATTATAATTTATCATTTCTAAACAATCAAAATTGCTTTCTTTTATTTAAATAGTTCCTCTAAACCAACTTTTGATTTTGATGAAAATTCACTCTTCTAAATGATTGCTCCTTAACATTCAAATCTTTAACCTAATGAACATACATATTTACAGGAATATTCCTTATCACATTTTACATAATATCTAATTGCTTAATCATTACCAAATGTTAAATATGTTTAAGTAACTATATTTACCTAAACTCCTAAATTAGATCCAACATGTTCATTTATAATAGTAGGTAACTAAATTTATTATTTATTAATATTATATATTAATGTTTAAAAATTTTCTGATTCTGTTACTACTATAATTTCTGTATTGCTAAGAAAACTTGCAGTTATTAAAGTTGTTTCATGAATATCTTTAGTAAGTATTATATCATTTTTATTTAAATCCAAAATTGTAAATAAATTCCTGAATGCTAAAATGACTTGGCTATTATCATGTGATAAATTGATTGATCTCAATTGAATTTTATCTTAAACAAAAGGTTATTTAATTTTTTCCCCATTAAAATTCCAAAAGAATATATCTCCTTTATAATTAGCTGTCAATATCATTTTATCAGTTGCAACTATAGCCTCAGGAAAATGTGATCTTTTAATTTATAAGTAAGAATATTTAATCTTTTTATTCATAATTGGTAAAACCCACATTTAAACATCATCTGTCCAAAATATTTATTAAAAAGGGAATACAACTAAAACCTTACTTTTTTATTAGATTCTAATAATATTTTCAATTTATTATAAATCATCTAAATCCCATAAACATAAATCAGTGATTTATTAAGTTATAGCATATGTTTCATCCTAAGAAATAAAAAAAGATTAGATTCCATTTTGAACCATTACTTCTTTTATGATTATATATTAATCACTCCATAATATGAATTTCCAATCTGTTCCTGTAGTTAATAACATATTTTTAGAATGTAACCATTATATTTTTTAAATTTCTCCTTCATGAGCTTGAAAGGCCTTTTGTTAAAAAGAAGTAGTAACATCATAAACAATTATAAAACCATTTCTTAATCCTGCAAATAATAGATGTAAATTTTAGTTATATCCTATAGATTCTAAAGAATCAGATAATTCAAATTTCTTTTTTAAAATAGCTTAACGATGAATATTCCAAATTTCTAAATATTGTTCTCCTCCACAATAAATAAAATCTTAAAAAACTTAAACATCCAGAGTTTTATTATTATTGCTAGAAAATGTATATTTTACTAAATAATCTTAAAATGTCCAAATTTAGAATTTCCATTCATTAACAGTTAAAAAATATTTTGAATTAATTGTTTTAATGATATCTATTGATTTATTTGATGAATTAGTCGTTCTTTATTAAGATAATCCATTCCATGAAATTATTAATAAAATTCCTTTATTAGTTCCTATTAATTTAGTTAAATGATCATAACTAGATTCGATTGCAGTTATTTTCTAATCTCTTAAGAAATAATAAATAATATTATGACTTCTTCCTATATCAACTTATAGATCTTTAGATAAATTTAAAATTTCTTTACACTCATATCCAAGAATCATTCTTTTTTCTTTTTGTTCTTCTTCATAATCAAATAATAAATAAGATTCTTAATAATTATTAATCCAAATTTATGCAATCTATTCACTTGTTTAACTTAATATTCTATATTCATTATTATATTAAATGACTTGAATACTTTCAATAACAGATCCATAATGTTTAATTTCATTTAAATATTTCAAATTCTAAAAATCCCATACATATATTAAACCATCTAGACTACCAGAACATAATAGAGTAGAATCTTTTGATATAGCTAAAGCAGTTATGGGTTAAGAATGTTTAATTAAATTTGTACCTTCTTATTAGCCAGTCTTTGTATTCCATATTATTATTGTTTTATCAAATGATCCTGATATTATAAATTTACCATCTTATGAAAATATTGCACATGTAATCTTTTAGTTATGTCCCTTTCTAACATCTAATTTAAATTCAGAACTCTCTAAATCCCATAATTATATTAATCCATCAGAAAATCCTGTTAAAGCTAAAGATGTATCTTATATCAAACACAAAGAATATACTTTTGGTTTTAAATAAAATGTTGTTTAACTAATCTATGATTTTTATTATATATTCCATAATCTAATTGTTTTATCCCAAGAACAAGATACTAATTATTTCCCATCCTATGAAAATTATAATTAAGATATATAATCTCTATGACCATCTAAATTAAATGATGAATCCATTTAATTAACTTTGAAAATATTTATTTCTCCTCCATTACCTCCTACTCCAATCAATGTACTATCTTTATTTATATCTATACAACTCAATCTTTACAATCTTGATTCATATGTTTCTAATTTTTTATCTATTTAATTATAAATTGAAAAAGTATCAGAATAATGCTAAAATACTATTACCTTTGCACATTTTACTGATAATATATGTTCATCACTCAATGATGTAAAATGTTTAGATTATACTATTATTTCAGTTACTTTCTAAGTCTCTTTTTTTTATTTTTTTTAACTTTTATCATTTTCTTTTCCATTCCCTTTACTAATTATATTTTAATCTTATTAATTTTATTAGAAATCTTCATTATCATCTCCTATTTATATTTATAATTCATCAGCTCCATCTGAACCTCCTAAAATTAATGATTAATCATTCGGACTAAATGTTATACATTATTTATAAATTGAAAAACATTCTCCATATATCAATTTTTATAATTATTTATTCTTCTATATATCAAATAATAATATTTCATTATTATTCATTAATGCCAATAATTATTCATTGTTTGATATCACTATATGTAATGGTTTGAACTCTAATTTTAATTGATTTTCCTCTTATAATTTATATAAATTATATTATTTAACTTATGATCCATCACTTACAATAAATAATTCTTTACTTTTTATACACTTTATTTAATCTATTTAATTCATCTTTGATTCTATTCTTGGTAATTCATCCACTTATATCCCTTTCCAAATTACATTTTATATTTTAGATTAATTTAAATTAACTCTTGATAATTTCACATTCAAAAATTTAGATTTACTGAAATCACAATTAAAGAAATTAGCATTATTTAAACTAATTCCTTATATTTCAATTTCTTAAAAATCTTCTCCTATAAATGACTATCCCAAAAGATTCAATATATAAAAACTATTAGAACTACCTACTACAAGATTCTTATTTGTTTTTGAACAATATATCAAATTCATTAATTTTTATTTTATATCATCATTGAATTTTATTTTATCAATTATAAATCTTATTGGACCCTACATATAATCAATATTCCATGATTATTAAAAGAAATTTTATTATAATAATTCCTCTTACTCTTCCTTTTTGACATTTACAATTTTACCTTCAACCTCCAAATTTATTTTTGTTAATAATTCTATAAACCATTTAGCTACTAAAAATTCTTACAAAGATTTATGATTAAATGAGTAAATTCCACTTTTTTATTTTATTGGAATACATTTTCTAAATAATCTCTTATAAACACCCCCTATTTCATCATCATTAAAAAACTAATCTTTCCAATCAATATTATTTTTTTTAAATAATAATCCACTTGGTTAAAATTAAACTTAACTTAAATCTCTAAATGTCATTTCATTTGCTAATCTATGAGAAAATTCCCATAATTCATTTTCCATAGAATCATAATCAATTTATTCTCCACTCTCCCTCAATTTATTAATTTACCTTTTAAAATAATGTTCAAAAAATTAAACATAAAAATCATATGTAGATAAAGGTTCTTAAAGTAAAGCCTATATATAAATGGATAATTTTTTATGATTCATAAAATATTGTTTTATTTTCTTCTCCTATTAACTTATCTAAAATTCTTATACAAACTCATTTATAAATTATTAATTACTAATAATACTTTACCATTCATCCAAAGCCTATTTCTAAATTAAATCATCTTTCTTACTCAAATAAATGTATTTCTTTATAAAATTCTCCTTGATAAAATTAATTTCCTATCTTTATTTTACAATATAAGGTAAAACTTCCATAACTATTTCCAACATAAAAGGAGTTTCTATTACAGATTCTAATTTCATCATTTTTATAAAATTTTGATACTACCAACTTGACCAAATTTCTATCAACATCTATTACATAGTTTTTAGATTCTCATTTGGTATAAATTACTTACATTTTTACAAAAGAACATTTATATTGTCACTATTCAACATTTAAGATTTTTCTTATTACATATTTATCAATCCAACTTACTTTATTAGATCATTATAAAAATTTTCAAATTCTTAATAATTTTATTCTTAATATACAGCAAAATAGAAATCTTTGATTACTCTTTTAACACATAATTATGTATATTCATTAATATATTATTAAATCTAACTTTCAGTAAATTTTAAAAGTCTAACTTCTTTATAAAATTTGATTTAATTTGATTCTGAAAAAAACCAAGTACAATAACCATTTAATGTAAATAATTCAGATCTAGATGTAGTTATGATTTTAGGATATTTATTTTTATCAGAAAAACATCTCCATTTAGAGAGTCTATTTGAATTATTTAGATTTAATCCAATATATTATTATTTTAATTCATCATAACTATCCATTATTATAATCAATCTATAATGTTTAAGTTCTACAGCTTCTATCAATTCTTGAACTTATCGCTCACCAAATCTATAATTATCTGATCTTAAAGTCTCTTCAATAGCACAATATATAGGATCTTTTAATTAAGGTAATGAAACAAATATTGGTATTAAAGGAATATAATCCTATTAATTTTTATTCTTTTAATAAACAATCCAAAGAAATTCTTCAATCTTTCTAGCTGCTGTACTTTTACCTGATCCTGCTTATCCATGTATTAATAATGAATCCTTTTATTATTTCCATATAAATTCATTTATTTCTCCATTTCCAAAAAGATCCTCTGTAAATAATACTGTCTCAGAATCTTCAATATTCTCTTCTAAATACTTTTCTTTTGTCTATATTTAAATATAAACATTATCAGAATTATGTATCAATCTTTACTATAATACTCTTTACATTCTAATTTCTAATAGATCTTTCACAGATCTTCCCTTTAAATATTTAATATCTTTATTTAAATTCTCCATCATCTCCTATAATTATAATATCTAATTCTCTATTCTTAATAAATCTTATTTCAAATCTTAAAAAAATAATACTGTTATTCCTAATTAATTTCCGATATTCTAAACATTCTCCAATATACCTTATATCTCCTTTTCTAATCTTCCATATTCTTTTTTAATCTAATTTTTCTTTATAGGATCATTTTCATTCGATAATAATTAAGCTACATCATTTAATTCTGTTAATTTCTCCTTTATCTTATTCTATATCTATTATTCTTAACTTGGCCAAAATTTACTAATCAAAACAGATTAATCTCCCTTTTAATTTTCAAATAATACTTTTATTCTTTTATCTGTCTCATAAACCTAAAATTTTACTAACAATCCTCCACTTAATATTAATGACTATTATGATAAACTAAAACATCTCATTTACTATAATTCATAAATTATAACTTCCCTTATCCTCCATTTATTCGAACTAAGTAAATCCATCAATTATTCTTTTATATTATCTATCTATTCTCCTACAAAACTACTCTCCTCTTCTTTAGTATTAATTTAACTTAAAATAAATATTATTTAGGATTGTATTTCCTTTTAATATTAGTAATTCTACCTTTTTTATAATAAACTTTAAATTGTCTCATATTAAACTTTTACTGACAAATTATTTTTGCTTAATTATTTCATAAGTTCTATGATATAATTTTCAGTTTCTTTTAGTGAAATACTATATTCTGGTAATTATTCACTTAGTTTCTTTATTGTTTTTAAATTCTCAAATTATAATAAAATTTCATTGCAAATTGATTTATTTTATTTTATTTTTTTCAGTGAAATATCTTACTTTTATCTAAGTTCATCTAATTGATTCATTAAATCTAAATAAATTCCTATCTCATCTTTAATTTTATTATTTATCTCAAAATTAAGTTTTCCTGGTTTAGTTATATCCATATCAATTAATTATTATAATTTCTTTTCAATATCAATCTTTAATTTGCTTGCCACTTCTTGATCATTCTTATTTAAAATATTTAAAGACACTAATGCCTCAAAAAACAATACTAATTATTCTAAACATTGTTTTTTTTCATGTAATAATGTATAAAAATTATTATCTTCTACTTTTAATGTATTTCCAAAGTTAAAAAATACCATACAAAATGATTCATTATAAGAATTCAATTTTTAAAGGCATAATTATAATTGAAAATGATTCATTTAATTTAATAAGAAAATTTATTATATTTCTATTAAAGTTGTTTAATCTATTAATGATTAAATATCATCTTTTTTATCAATATTAGACTCTTTTTCATATTATAAAAAATCTGAAATCATTTTGATTGAACTTTAAATTTAATTAATATATTAAATTGAGTCTTACAAATTTATTTCTAACATATTTAAAATTTCTAAATCAAATTTAACATTTTCAGTCTAATTGATATTTTAAAATACATTTTTTATTAAAATTTAATTAACTTGATTCATTTATTCAAAACTATCAATTAATAAATTCTTCAATAGTTTTTCTAATTTATTACTAAATTAAAGTTCTGTTTTTTTAAATTTTTAATTACTTTCACATTATGCATAATGTGTATATAAGAATTTAAAAGATTAATGAAGAGGTCCATATGGAATCAAAGAATTTCCAAAATTAACTAATTATTAATACATATATGAATCTTTTTTAAAGTTTTTTTCAGTACTTGCTAATCTTAATTATGCTTATAAAATAAGCGATAATTCTAGGTTCCAATATAAAGAAACTTTTTATTATATCACTATATGAATTGCATTATTTAATCCAAGTAAAGAATCCATACTCAGTATTCTTGACTTACTTTCATCAAACTACAATTTTTTAAGAGAATCTATCAATCTTTTCACAACATTTTAATCATTTTAATTTTATTTGAATCCTTCAAGTGATTTTGAAAATTCTTTTGAATTAGAAGAATTTGAAAATAATTTATCTATAAGATCAACAAATTGATTTTCTTAAAATGTATCTTAAAATGCTTATTAATATTGGTTATTTTAATATTTTAATTTGTCATTTAAATATTATTAGCAATTTAATTGTTATATTTAATAATACTCTTCTTGAATTTCATCTTTACATTCTAAATTCTAAATAAGAACTTCAATAATTTTTAATAAACTTTATATATTATCTATTTCATACAATAGTTTAATTAAAACATTTTATTAATTTTTCAAAATCTTTTCAGCTTATTTTAATTTGGATGAGTCTGTTAAATCATCTTAATTTATGACTTGATAAAATTCTAACAAATCATCTTAAACTTTTTAAGTTATATTTATAAGTTATGAAATTTTAGCTGAGGTTACAGGCATAAGACTTTCTTCATCTTTTTAAGAGTCTTTCTATATTTATAATTTTGCAAAGTATTATTTTTCAAAATTTTCCAGTAAACCTTGTCCTTAAAAAATCATAATCTATAAAAGAGCTTATCCTTACAAAATATGAGAACTATCAAATAATTTTTTAGAAATTTAATCTGATTATATATTTTGATTTTTAAGGGAAATAACATGTTTATTATTAATGATGGGAATTGAATATTCTTTGATTGAAATTAATTCATAAAGTTATTTATCAATAGTTAAATTTTCTAATATAGGTTTAAAACAATATAATTAGGATAAGAGTTAAATCCAAGTAAACCATATTTCCCAATCATTTGATTCTTTAATTATTTCACTAAAAACCTTACCAAGTTATTCTAAAATTTATTAAGTTTCTCCATATCTTTCTAATAAATCCATAGAATCAAATTTCAATGTCAATAAAGAAAAAATTAATTCAAGTTTTTTGAGTCTGCAATATTTAATTCCTTATTGATAAAGATAGGCAACACCGTTTTTTAAGCTATCAATCAAATCATCATTTAAAGAAAATGTTGCTACAGCTTTAAATGCTCCTCCTAAAAATTATGTTAATATATCTTGACCTTCAGTTGTATTTGTAGGAGTAATAAATATTATAGCTTATAATACAAATATTTCATATTCAATATGATTCTAATAACGTGATGAATCACTTTCTATTTCCAATCTTTCACTAAATTAATCAATCTCATTTAAGTATTCTTTTTATTTTGATAACTCTAAAAATCTGTCTTTATTTGTTGAAAAAAATGTAAATATTACCCAAGCTAATTAAGTTAATATTTATGAAGTATAAAGAGCAAATTATAAATTTGATTAGATAAAACTCTTAAAAGCAGGAAAAAGCTATTCTAAACTATCTAAGACCAAGTCAATAACTTGTTTTGTATATTTTTAATTTTTGACTAATAACCAAATTGCTCTAGCGTTCAATTAAAAAAACTAAAAACTATTCATTAAATTTGATTGTTAATCTAAAAGTGTTAGAGCATTCTGAGCAATTTTTAAGGAATGAAATTTTATTTGATTAACCAATTCTGGTGGAATCTTTTATTCAATTAGTTTTGGTGCACTCACAATTAATTAATTATTTGTTGTTGAACTTCCACAACCTCCTCCTCTTAAAATCATTTAAAGAAGTTAATTTAAATAATACATAAATATAACAGTATGCTTATCAATTTAAATTTTTTGATCATTATTTATTCAATTAAAAATATAAATAATGTGAATCATATGAATTTTTAGTTTTAAGTAAATAATGAATAAAATAAAGAAAATTGTTGAGAAATTCAATTAAGTCAGATGTTATTTCTAAACATATTTGTTATGAACCTCTTAAATCTTTCAGCATATTAATGTGGAGGAATAGCAGAAATATCAGGACCTTAAAAACATCTTTTACAACAATATTCAATCTTCTTTTTAGTGCTAATATTGATAATTATATGGACAATACTTAAAATTGGTCAAAATATCAATAATCCCAAAGAAATATATTTTATCACCAGTTTTTGATTGAATAATGGAAATATTATCTGATTCAATCTCTTATATCGTATCTGTTCGTTAAGATGTTTGAAGAACATTAATTTCATGAATTCCAAAAAGTAAACTATAATCTATAATGTTATTTTGAGCAAAGAAATCGGCATCTCTATATAATTATGTTAGTAATTCACTTTATTTATCTATTCTTATATTTATTTTTTCATGAGATTCTAAAAAATTTAAATCTTTTCTGGCAACAGTATAATCAGCATTATTTGGGGTTTTTCTTTAATGAAGACTACCTTTTATATCATACCTTATATTTATTTCGTGAGATGTTTTAAACACATTACTCATTATAACAAAATGTATTTTTTTATCATCTAATACGATTTTATGCATTCCAAATAATTTTATTATTAATGATTATCTATATTCTTTAAGATGTTTATAATAATTATATAAGATATGTCTCATGAAAGTGAACTCTGATTTTGAAATAGTTTTCAATGTATATATGCCATCTTAAGAATAATAGAAAAAACTTCCACTTTTACCTGTTGATGTTAATTCTGATAATGTGCTTAAATCACCTTTTAAGATACTTGATAATAAAGTTTCAGGTCCAATGCTACTTAAATAATTATCATTATCTATAAAAAACATTTTTCTTATGTGATTAAACACTTAAGGAGCATAATCAAAGAATTTACAGACTTTAAAAGTTGCTTTTTCATTGCCAGTTCTTTTAGGCATAAGTTCAAAATAATATTTTAATTTAAAATCTTTAAGATTAACTTCATAATCACTTAAAGCATTAACAGATTTTACAGCCATTTAAATTCCAATCATCATATTTAAAACGAGATTCCAATTTTAATGACCAAATTAAACAGATAATGCAGTCTTTCTCTTTTTATTTATATTAGCTATTGTAGCTCTTCTTTTTTCAGCCAATTCTAAATCTTTATTTCTTTTATTATTGAATTCTTCCAATTTCTTTTAATACATTTTCTCTAATCTTTCTAATGATTATTAAGTTTGTTATTTTAATTCATGAATTTTAACCAAAGCCTCTTTATAATTATCTCTTATTTAATCATCTGACATATAATTAATCTTTTCTAAACCATCAGTTAATTCAGGATCTAAAGTCTCCATATTTTCTTGAGATTTTAAGTTATAATCGATCTTAATTGGAATTTCTTAATCACCTCTATGTATGAATGGACCAGTTTAACTATAAGAGCATATTATTTGACTAGTTGCTTATTATTAACGAGGCTTATTCACATTTATTGTGCTTGACATTCTTAATGATAAAGCATCAACTTCTTCTCCCATCAAATATTGTATCCCAAATTAACTATTCGTATTTGGTCTTCTATAACATAAATTCATTAAATAAATACAGTTTCTTTTAGCAAAACATTAAACTTTAAATTAAACTTGGCTTAACTTATACTGATGTTGAATATCTATTTTATTTAAATCCTATCATCATTTCAAATAAGTCTGCTGCTTAATCTTTTATCAGATATAACTCACTTAAAACTATTTAGTCTTATTTTAAAGTGGCCTCTTTTATAGAAATAGTTATCCCTTTCCTTAAAAATTCGAATATATCTAATAAAGTTGGATCACTAGCTAAAATTCCCTTATATTCAATAAATGAGACTTTTTCATCATTATTTTTATCCATTTATGTAAATATATAACCAACTCTTTTTTCTAAATGATCTCTTATTTCATTCGTTATCGCAGTTCCAGTCATAACAACCCAAGAATCTATTAATGCTTACATTGTCTATTAGAAATCTCTTAATGTGAAAAAACCCTTTCTGTTTTAATCAATTAATTTGTATGATATCTCAGCTTTTTCATCTTGAGAACCATATGTGATTTTATCAAAATAAGCAAGAAATTCATTAAATTATATTTTACCATCCTGATCTTCATCAATTATTTAAAATAAACAATCACTCAATACTTAAACTGTTTCAAGACCTAAAAGTCCCATATTGTCTCTAAATTAATTTTTTGTTAAATAATTAGATCCATTTGTCATTCTCTAAAATCTAATTTAAAATACTACTTAAATACCTTCTCTGCAATTCCTAAACTTCTTCTGCTGAAAATCGGAATCTTGTCATTTTATTTTTGAGACTGTGTTAATTACCATTTTTACCACAGCACAACATTTTTATAATAAATAATAATAAAGTAAATATTCATCGTTTTTAAATCTACGATAGAAATCTATACTCTTTTCATTCTGAATTCATTATCAAAATTAGCTAATAATTTAGTTATTAATTTAAAATTCATCCTAATTCTAATATAAATAGTTATGAACAAACCCTAAAATTATTAGATTACTCTAGGGCAGTTAGCCATAATGAATTATTATTAAAATTCATTGATCACTCAAAATTTAGACTTAATTCATAGTTTTAAGATTACATAAATTTTAAATAGAAAAAAATAAAAATTATATTTAACATCTAAACGAATATCAAAATATCCACTATTTTCTTTTGTTAAATGCTCATAAAATTCTGAAACTGTTTTAAATATTTACATACATGGAACTTCCTTTTTATCATTCTCCGAGCAAATACTCTTTTTACAAACAGTACATGTTACTCTATATCATCCATCATTTATTTTTATTCTTTCATTAATTTTAATCATTAGACTGAATTATCAATTTCTTTTACTTCATAAGTAAAAACCTTCATGTCTAAAAGTATGATATTAACTAAACAAATTTACTTATATTTAAAATTTTGAACAATAAATAGCTTTTTATAACTATTGTATTTATTCTAAATTATTTCATAGTTTAAAAACAATCTTAAATTCTCATAATTATTTTCAATAAATCTATTAAGTGCTAAGTTTATTAATAGTAAACCAATTCATTACGATATATCATTCAAGTTTATTTTTTCAAAGCTTACTAAGCATCAAACTGGAAATAGTTTTGCGTTTTATATAAAACATAAGAACAATATAAAGAAATTCATTCGAAACTACATTATGGTACAATTCTTATAATAAATAACTGTGTTTAATAAAATCCAAAAAAATAAGACATTCTGCTGCTTATTTTGTTTCATTTAAGACTGATTCTCCATCCATATAGAAATGCAGATTTTATATATGAAACATTTTCAGAATATTTTAGCCTCATATTTCTAAATATAGTTCTTACTTTATTATTTGTATTTAATTTAATTTAAATCAATTAAAATAAAATTACTTTTTAATACTATCAAAACTTTAGTTTTTTTAAACAAGTTAATTCTTTTATCATTCAAGAATAACTTATTTAAAACAACAGCTTCTGTAAGTTTATTTGCATTATGTATTATATATAATTTTTTTTCTTAATAACATACAGGAATTACTTTTTTATCTAAATCTATTACAGAAATTTCATTAAAATTTGAACTAATTATTGATGCACTTATTAATTTTGAGTTATAATAACTAAATTGACTAATCCTTATTTTAATTAATTTCTATATTCATTAAAATTAAACATTTCTCTTTTTTCTTTAAAATTTTTAAAATATGTCGTTTTATATTAGGCATTTTATGATATTAATAATATTTTCTTTGGCTATGTTTTTTTAATTTATTTATACCAAATTATATTTTTTATCCATTTATTATTAGAATTCTTAATTAATCTATAAAATTTCTAATGATATTTATCTAGTATGTAAACTTGATATTTAAATTTTAGGTTTTTTTTTTGCCTCCTTTTATCTAATCAAAAAAGTTTGATTAAAATTAACATTTTATTTTTCATTTTTTCAAGATCTCGATTGATTAGACTTATTATTCATAAGAATAATCATCTTTACTTTTCTTAGATTTTTTCTCTCTTAAAATAAGGCTTATTTTCAATGTAGAAAATTAGGATCTTTTAGAATATTTAGTTTTAATGATATTCTCCTTTAAACTTTATGGATATTTATTTAAAAAATTGAAGAAAAGTTCTAAAAAACATTATTTTATTCAGTATTGATAATTAAGATCATATAGGATTTGAGGCAATGTGGAATTTATAGTTTACAAATTAAAATTCAAATATTTGACTTTTTATAAAGTACCTAAAATGCTTTATAATATTTTTTTATCTCATTTTGTTTTAACAGCTGATTTTTATCTTATATTACAAATTTTTAAATAAATACAACTAATATTATGATGATTTAGATCATATTTTTAATAAATTAATTAAAAATTACTTCATCAAATTGCTATTTAGAAAATATTAGACTTGATACTATTTTATGAAGGTTTTTGGATCAAAATTATTGTCACCGAGAAAATTCTATATAATTTTAACCAAACTTAGATAGATAAGATCATGGAGAACCTAAGTTTATAGAACGGGTAAAAATTGATTGAGTTTAATTTCTGGAATTGTACAAATAATAATATATATATAATAATATAAAAATAAATTATTGAATATTTATGGATTTAATCACCACCAATAAATCTATTATCTGCATTTTAGGAGAGTATAAAGACAAATTAAAAAGTCAATTATAAAATTATGAAGGTGGTATGCATTAGTAAAAAATAAAATTTATTTAGATTCAATATTATGCTTGAATTGGATTATAAAAAGAAGTCTCATCAAGGTGGGGGAATCTTTAAATTATCTTGGCTTCATAAATTAAAGACAGTATTTTACATTTTTAATATATTAGTTTCCCTCTGTTGTGGTTTGGATATATGATATCTCTGAACGTATATATTTGAATTATTATAGCTGAGAAATAGGATAAATTATTAGAAAATTATAACCTCTTAAAGTAAACCATTTCATTAACGAAAACATTCTAACCAAAAATCATTATAATATTTACAGGTAAAAATATAGGAGGATTCGATTCCACTTACTTAAAGAAGGATATTGATTTAAGAAAAGTCTTTGCATTTGAACTTGAAACTATTTCAAACCAATTGAGAAGGTAATCTTAAATCATATGATTAAAATTTAGAATCAAAAAAATGATTGTTGATGATTCAAGTGCTTTCTATTAAGAATTATTTAATAAATATAAATCGGAAACCAGCAAATTATAAAAGACTGATTTGAGCGATTAAAAGCTTATTTTTGAAATTAAAAAAACATTAATTAGTGAAATTGAAAACAACTCAAAAAAAGCATTGAAACATATGTAAACATCTTATGAAATTGTGACTCAATTAGCAGCTAAAAGAAAGGATAATTTAAATTTTACTGATGATAACTCTTTTTACACTTCCTATGAATTAATTTAATAAGCAGAAGAATATAGAGAAGTATTATCATGTTACAAAATAATAGATTGCTGATCAATTAAGATTTAAATTATTTAGAAATTTAGAGCATCAAGATGTAATTTAATAATTTGAGATTCATTTTAAAACTTTTAAAAACTTGGTATTCTACAGATTATTTGAAATATAAGAATATTTATGGAGAGTCAAAATCTTTGTGGCTATAATAAAGTTTATCGAATAAAAAATAATGGTCACCAATTATACTGTTGTATATAATTATTTCCAAGTATAATTCTATCTATTATGAATAGGCTACTCTATTAAGCTACATCAAACTTATGCAAATAAATGAAATGTTCCAAGATTTATAGATTTAATAGTTAAATTTTCTTATATCAAAATAAGAACCTGAGTATTTAGGAAGATCAAATTACTAAATTAGAGAAAAAGAGAGTGAATAGCCAATAGATATAAAATCAGATTAAAAGCTGTTTTATTATTAACACATAATTAATTATAGAAAAAATGAGATTAATTTAGCTCCTAATGTGTAATTTATTTTTGATATTTGGAAATAATATTCTGAAAATAGCTAATTGTAAATTAACTATGCAAATGTTTATTTTAAATATTTGCAAATAATTATTACACATGATTTTGAGTTAAAATCTAAAATTGTAGACTAATTAATTTATTTTGGTTTAATAGATGAATATAAAAACATCTTATAATTAGAAGCTTAATAGGCAGAACTTACAAAATAAATATAATTGTATGGTGAAATACTAATGTATGAGCATGATAAAATTCATGACATTAAAAAATTATCACATTAATTAAATAAAAAATTAGATATATTAATTCCTGCTAATACATTTATATCAATTTCTAAATTAGAATCTGATGAAGAAAACATTCATTTAAAAATTGATATGAATATTCCTCAGCAAATTTTAGACATGCTTGAAAATGGTGTAATTATTAGTAAGAACAATTAAATAGAATTTATTGCCACCAATCATATCACAATTAAAACAGATTAAAATATAGAAAAACCAGTTTAAATTCAACTTTATGGAAAATATTTGTAATTATATTTTATAACTTAGGGATAAACTTTAAATAAAAATAATTGCCTAAGATGTAGAGCTATATTCAAACAAATATAAAGTTGGCTTTTTATCCAAATATAAAAGAGATCCTCCAATAATCACATTCAAATAAGATTTTGCCTATATTAATGAATTAAATGAAATTGAAGTAGAATTAAGTTATTAAACTGAATTGGAATTAATGAATTTTACCTAAAATAAGAATGATCTTCTTAAATTTAAAGAAAATAATAATAATATAATAAATAGTAGACAATTCACTTTATTAATAACAGATAGCAATATACATGATAGAGTTATTGGATTCAAGATATAAGGAGAAGAATATTTCAAAAAAATTAAGTTTATTTTTCCATTTACTTACTTTATCAAAATTAAATAATTAAGTAGTGTTTATTAAAATGCACAAAACAGAAATCGAGGTACTTTGAGTGTTTTTAGTAAATGTGCAATTTAATTAGAAGTTTAAGAAATTAATTACATAGAGACAGAATTTAAACCATTAGTTGATCTTGATTTTTATAATAAAAATAAATTGAATGTTATTTTTATGACAAGAGATTAAACAAACTATACTAATTTTGGTTAATTTAGAATTAAATATTAAAGAAATTAGATGAATTATGAGGCTGTTATTGATGTAAATAATGTTTAGGTTGTATCTTATTTACAAAATGTGGAAATATTATCTCCTCCTACATGTAATGCATAGAAAACATTTGAAATCGTTGTAAAATTAAAGACAAGAGAACCATAAAATTATTTTATTTAGTTAAAAGATCAAGAGAAAAAATCTTTTTTTATTATGGGCAAGATCAAACAAATGAAATATATTGAAGATGAAGCTAGTTTTACATATTTATTATTTCCAATTGAATTAGGAAAATGTAATCTACCTGGAATACAAATTGAAATTAGATAAGCTAATAATCCAAGCCAGTTAGTTTTCGATTCCTCAGGAATGAAATCCATATTAATATTACCTTGAAAATATAAAAAATAAATAAGTGCAGTATTTTAGTCTCCGTTTATTAGTTGGTTTAATAAATCGAAATTTTTCGTTTTTTTTTAGTTATTTATTATATTTATGGGTTGTGTAAACACAAAGGGTAGAAGTTAGTCAAGCAGTATATCATCATTTGATGTTGAACCTAGAAACCCAAAATATTTGGCATTTTCAAATAAATACAAAAATGGAATACCTCAATTGTAGAATGTAATACATCTTTTAATCGTAGATTTCACTAAGCACTATACTTTAAAGAAGGAAAAAACTTGCTAAAAATTCCGTCTGAAGAGGAGAGAAATTTTAATTATCAATTTTTATCTGATTATACTAGTAAAATTTTTAAATATTTACAATTATTGTTCTTTAACTTACTTATTTCCTTGGATATACTATTGATGATAAATCAAAGTATGGTGATCTTAAAAATATAAAAATTGACTATAGAAAGAATAAAAATATCATTCAAAAATTGAAAGAATCTTGGATAAAGAGAAATAATTACATTATTTTTATTAGAAAAAAATTTGCATTAGAAAAATAATATATTATTTCTTTTTAAAAGTTTAAATGTTGTATAAAGAAAATCGTGAAACAATTATAAAACATATAATTAAGGTGTTAATGAATTCTTATATAGGAATAATTTATATTGATTTTAGTAAGGTTAGAAAAAAAAGGGTAGAGTTTTCTTTTATATTATAATTGAGAAAACACACAAATATATGGCTATATAAATTGATATAGCTTGGTTGTTTGGTTTCTTGTTTGTAAATTGATATTAATTTAATTATTAAGTATATAGCTAAATTAGCTTTAACAGTTTAATATTTTGGCTTATGATGGAAATAATTTAAAGGCTAATAGAACATTATTTGGATTTAATGACTTCATCTCCTAAAATTCAGTTAGGTGAATCACTATTTTAAAGCGCTATTTTCTTATAATTTATTTTGAGACTCCATTTTATATTTCCATTAGATGGATGGAGTATATGGAAATATGAAGATTATAAATTACATGTTCCTTATGTCATATTGTCTGTTTTATATCAAGAGATATCAGATAAGCTTAAAATAATTCTCATAATACTTAATGTTACAATCTTTATTCTCAGCTTTTTCAAATTTCAATTTGTTTTCTATTACAATAACCTATTATGGACTATATTTTATATACCTTAAGTAGTAATGCTTTCAACTTCATCAGAAAATATTGGAATTTCAATTTTTGGAATCCTATTTCTTTTTTTTATTCTAGTATTTAACATCTATTTTAATCGTTCCACTAAATTTATTCATAGTAATCCATTTGTTAGAAAATTTACTTAATTAACGATCCTCAGTATTGCATTAGATACAATTTGTTATATAGATTTTGAGTTTCACATGTTGTAAATGATTTTATTACATATATAGGGGATTATTCTTTGTTTAGATATCTTAATTTTTAAACCTTATAAATTTTAATTAAATAAATTAGTATTTCGGTTTAATTTTTTATTTTACACTATGGTTATGATTCATACATTAATGCTATTTAACAAATCAGAAGAGAATATGTTTTATTTTTCTATCCTAATTGGTACTTTAGCATATGCTCTTTCATATCAAATCTATGATAGAAAAGCTGATATGGATTCACAAAATTAATTTGCACTCTTAATTTAGTGTTAAGGATTTTATTAATCATAGGATATTTAATAATATATATATTTGAAATAACATTAAACTAATTGTAAACTATATTTAAAGGATTCAAATAAGAATGAAATATTGATTTGTTATTTAGAATATAACATATCAAATAACAAAAAGTAGAAAATAGATTATGAAATTTTAGAGTTAGCTTTAATTCACTTTTTAAGTATTCATAAGGCTCCATTAACAGCCCTTTGTAGATTAATATAATATTATAACATTCCTTAAGATCATTCATTATTTTTTAAAATAACTTTTCCAAGTTAACATAAATAATTGTGGAATTCAGTTAGGAAAGTATAAGAAGGAATAAATTAACTTTTAAAAGCAGGTTAATATTTAGATAATCGTATTTTATCTACAAAAGATGTATATGAGGCAGTGAAAATAAGAGAAACATTAATGCCTTTGATTTTAAGCACTTTGGATTATAAAATAAATTACTGGAAATAATTAAACTCTTTGATAACAAATTTAAAGAAACTTTTTTAGACAACATGTTTAATGAGTCAGAAATTATTGGAATGTAAATTTTTACTTCAAAAATTATTCAACTGTGGTGATATTGAATAAATTGAAGAACCAAAAACAATTTTAGAAGTTTTAATTCTGATTATTTATTATGCAATTATAATTAATGATTATGAACAAGCAACAAAAATGTAAAAAGTAATGAATGACATTTTAAGATCAGAAACTCTTATTGAAGGTAAATTACTTAATGGTAACATTATTGAAAACAAAATTTGTTTGCTTTACACTAGTATTGTTAAATCACAAGGATCAATAATTAAATTAAATGCATCATAAATTGCATAATTTTGGGGATATGAAAATGAAATGGATTTTAGAGATATTAAGCATATAAACTAATTAATGCCAGAATTTTTAGCATCAGTTCATGATCAATATCTAGAAAGATTCAAAAAATTAGGACACAGCATATTATTTGGTAAAAGTAGAACAATTTTCTTGAAAGGAAAAAGTAATTTCTTTATTCCTGCAGATATTACAATTGATAATTTCTTTATCAGTTATGATGATTATGTTATTACAGCTGCATTTTCTAAAACAAAAGAAAAATGTCTGTTTATGTTGTTTGATCATAAAGGTAAAATTTTAGGAGTTAATAATCTTATGTTCAAATTAATGTAATCAATAGATAAAACTATTACTTTAGATCACCTTACATCTGGTTATGTTTTTCAATTAATTCCTAAAATATTTAATTTAATAAATGCATATAAAAATTCTTAAGATGATTCAAATTAGGATGATAAAATTATATTAAAAATTGGAAATCCTATAAAATAACAGTTCTCTAAATTAATGTAAAGTTCAAAGCAGAAAAATAAGCATTAAATGTATTATGCAGGTTTATGGACGACATTTGATACACCTGAATATCGTCAGGTAAAATAAAATTTAAATCTGAATTTTCATGATCCTGAAAAGCCAAACTGCGATTTATTTGATTAAGAATATTAATAAAAGATGCAACTATACATTGATCAAAATCTTTAAACTTCAAATTTTTAAATTAAATGCTACTTAGAATATTTAATACTTGGATACTAAAAATCGATTCCTTTGTTTACTTTAGAAATAAATGATATTATTTTTTTACACTATTAAGAAAATGATGATACATTGTCATAAAATAGTATTCAAAATATTGAATTGTCTAATCTAAATAAATCTAGTCATATGATGCTGAGCTCAATTTAGGATGAAAGCTTTTAAAAAGTAAAAATTGATGATAATGAGAAATAATAATACCCAGAAATATCATTATTGAGAGGAAGATATGATTAATCTTATTTTGACTAAATGCAGGAATCTTCAAGATAAATTTTAGCTCCATTTTCTCAAAGAGCTACCTTTAATTTAATAAAACATAAAAGTATGAATGATGACTCTAGATATTTAGAAGATGAATTTAAAATTATTAAATTATAACAAGAAATAGGATATGAAAATTAAAATTTACAATTATAATACTTTAAAAATAAAACTGTACTTGATAAATTACAAGAGCAATAATCATCTAATAATAATAATGAATAATAAATTGATTAAAAAAATGAAATCCAAGCTGTAAACTCTGGTGGTTCGATTGCAAGAACATCAAAAAATCATCATTTTGAATTGTTAAAACTCAAATCTAGATCTTCATCAAGACCTATTTAATTAAGTGTTATCATTTTATTAGATGTATTTATTATCTTAAGCATTATCATATTTAATATTATTAATGGGATATTTATAAGTAAACAAAAAGATAATGGAAATAGATAACTTCTTGAAATGCAAGCTCCATATATTTTTAATGGATTCTATTGTGAATTAACTTCTCATGATATTCTTTATAAATTATCTAAAGTAGAAGGAATCTAAATAAGTTAAAATCTATTGAACTCTATTTAATAAAGATTTTTGAAGATTAATTATTTGCAAAATATGTCAGAATTTCAAATTGTATTTCATTAAATTGAATAATAAGAGTATTCTTTAAAATCCAATATAACATTACATTATATTGATTAACCTGATGAATTAAATTCATCTTTCACACACTTTTATACAAAATTAGTTATTTATTTCAGGCTGTTGATTGAATATTATTAAGATTCTGATTTGTAAAATTTTAATGATCACTTTTTTTAGCAATCTCTTTTTCAAGTATTAAATTTAGAAAATAGCACTTCATTTTTTAGAACATTGGTTAGATCTTTAATTGATAAATTTTATGTTGAATTAGATTTAAATGATTAATTAATTTTAAATTTATTCATCATTTAAACTATTCTATAATTTTGCCTATTTATCTCATAATTTTGGTTCTTCTTTGATTTATTAAAAACTCATGTAAAAATTCTACAAATTAACTGTAGATTATATGAAAAAGACATATATATATAAACTCTTCTTTCATCTAGAATATAGCAATCAACTTTTAATATTTGTTCAATTTCAATATTTTTGTTTGCTATACTTTTTATAATTCTAATTGTAAATATAGGAGGCTTTCTTTTTAATTCTCAAAAATAAAAATAACTTATGCCATCTTATAAATTAGGTGCTGAATTTCTTCATTTCACCATTTAATTTGATTCTATTATCACTCATGCCATTAGGATTAAGAGTTAAAATATACTTTTGAGCTCTAACTTTTTAACTGAATCTATATCCTAAAAAACATTATTATTATCTTAAAGTTATTTCAAATAAAATCACTATCAAAATTTAACAACTTTTTATTATTCGGTAGATACATTTAAGCATAACTAAATTCAAATCATATCAAATTTAATAAATAATCCAAATATTGATTCAAATAATGCTGACATTTTAAATCAATTGTTTTTTTAAGATATTTGTACACTCTTTTGCCCTAATTCCACAGATATTAAAGATAATTGTACTTATCTTTATAATAAAGGAATTATAGGAATATATACAAAAACTTTAAATTACATAGTCAGTTCCTTTAATAATGAATTAGAAAATAAAATACTGGATACAGATTTTTAAAATACTCAAAATTTACTAAATTCAGCTGATTTCAATTAGATGTTTGGTAGACATTTTACTAATGCTAAATTAGCTTTTAATCAATTTGTTTAAAAAAATTTATAATTAGCATTTGATTAAATTGAAAATAATTTTAATGATACTTTAACTTATTATATAATAACTGGGCATTTAACATTAATAGTAGTTGGATTAGCATTAATATATTTTGTTAAAGTTCAATAAAAATAAATTAATTTAATTAGATTGTCTTTAACAATCCTCCCAGTGGAATTAATTGATTAATAAGCTATTAATATTCTTCATTAATTATGAAAACGAGATATTAAAGTTATTTATAATGATATTCAATAAATAAAAACATACTATTCTTTTCTTAATCTCAAGATTTTCTTATAATCTAAAATAAAAAAATATGAAACATAATGAAAAGCTGATGAAATAAAATTTTGAACATCTTAATCAAAAAGAAATTTCATTTAAAAATTAAATTAGATAATATAATTTTATTATATAAATATTATTTTGTAGCGGATTTTTTTTATAAGGATTAATTGTAATTTAATAATATAAAATAAGAAAATTCTTAGAAAAATCTCAAATTTTTAAATTTCTGCAGATTGAATTTAATCAATGATGAAAAATCTATGAATTACAAATTCACTTAAGTTTTTGTTTAAATAAACTATGGTTCATCAATTATAAATTAGTAAAAACTGTATTTGCTTATATGAACAATAAAACAAAGTTTTTTGATTCATGAATACATAATATATCTATTTTTATATTAATCTAATCGTATATTTTCAATTTTTAAAAAGATCTAAATGACTTAATACATTACTTGTACTAATAAACTTTGAAAGTAACCATGAGTATTTAATATAAAACCTAGTATAATATAATTTAAACTTCTTTAGAAAAGACTATTATATATATCATAATCTAATATTTAAGAATCATTTGTAATTCTCTTAAGAAATTTAGCCAAAAAGTAAAATTGATCTCAAATTAAGATAGATTTTTACTCATCAAAACTAATAAATGGGTATTTTAAATATAAAACAAGAATCTTTTAAACCAATAGTTATAAATATCCTATTTTATAGCTCTTAAATTAGCATAGTATTTTGAAAGTATATTTTATTTTCATAAAGAATCTATAAAAAAACAATAATATTCATTTAGCTTCTAATAATTTGAAATCTTTATTAAGTTCCATATTTGTTCTTCTTCTCTTTAAAATTGTGCTATTAGAAATCTTGATTTTAATGAATTTGTATACATTTGATAATTTTTGATGAGGTCGATAGAATTTCTATATTTTAGTTTCGATTAGAAGAAATATTTGATTTGGTGTAGACTAAGTTGATTATGTTATCCTTTACGGAGATTACTCTTTTTTACTGCTACATATGCTTCCCATTAAATTTTTTATAAGAAAATATCTTAAAAAAGAATTAGAAATTTTAATTCAAAATTTATTATAGAAAAGTTCTAATATTGAATAAATGCATATTTCTCTCAGAACAATTTTTTATGAATAAATAATTTTAAAAAATTTGAATAATTCATTACAATAAATATGAATAATTAAGTACAAGGGAACAATAACCAGGCATAATAAGGGAATCAAGGTGAAAAATAAGGAGGATTTGGATTTTTTAGAATAATCCTTACAATAATCGGAATGAATTTTATGGTTTCATTTTTCTAATAAAATCCTAATGTAGATACTTATTTTAACATTCTAAACTCTAATGATTTATTTAATTTGACTATTACGAATAATGTAACTCATTGGACTTTAGTAGAATTAGATTTATTTTATAGCAAAGACACAATAATTGTTAAAAATATTACTATGACAGGGGAGGAATTATAGCTTATCAAAGCTTTTTGAAAATCCATATTTCAATGTAGGATTAGGAAATAGCAACTTTTAAATATAATCTGGCTTTAATTAACAAAACTTATGAAAATGTAATAAAATGAAAAAAAGAATTTATTATTTGATAAACATGATGAATATATGATTAAGAAATTTGAAGAAAATTCAACAAATTAAAAATATTATTTGCATGTTAAAAATAAACAATATATATTATTTGTACATTATACAAATTCATATCCAAAAAATTAAATTCCACCATAAATTAAATGTATAATTAATTGAATAATAAAAGGACACCAGAAGGTTTCATTTATACACCAAATTTAGATGTGGATAATTATTTTTTTAAGAAAGAAAGATCACAAGTTTTGATTTAAAAAAAAAGAGACATATGAAATTCCAATAGAATTTAATTGTTATTATTCTTGGAAATATTAAATGATTGATTCTTTGAAACAAGTAGGAAAATTTTATGAAAATTTGGGAATGGATATATATGATGAAATAGCAGAAGATAATACAAAAGAGATGCTTTTTGAAACTAATTTTTATTTAGTAGCTGTAACAATGATAGTTAGTGAATTGCATATAGTATTTTCAACTTTAGCAATCAAGAACGATTTTTAATATTGCAAAAATTTGAATTCTTAAGAAGGAATTTCAATCAGAGCCTTATATACAAATTTTGTATTTGATGTTATAATCACTTTGTGTTTATTGGGTGATGATACTTTTTATCTTATAATAATTTAATAATTTGTTGAATTAGGATTGATATGGAAAATTATAAAACAATGAAATTTAAATTAATAAAAGTATTTCCATAAGTATAACTTTTACATTAATAATATTATGAATCCAAAACTTAATAATATGATTAGAAAGCAGCTATTTTTTTGTATAAATTGTCAATACCTTTATTTGAAGGATATATTATTTATGCTATGATTTATTAAGAGCACAAAGGAGTTTACTCTTTCATAATAGAGAGTTTAGTAAAATTCATCTATTTATTTGGTTTTATTAATATGACTCCTTAGTTATTTATAAATTATAAACTTAAATCTGTAGCTCATTTGCCATGGAGAACAATGATATATAAGTTTTTGAACTCTATAATTGATTATTTATTTGCATTTATAATAACTATGCCATGGTTAAAGAGATTAAGTTGTTTTAGGGATGATATAATATTTCTAATATATTTATATTAAAGAAGTATCTATAAAGTAGATCCTAATAAATTAGTAATTATTTAAATAATATATTTAGGATGCTGGATATGCATAGGATATAAATACTAATTAAGAACTAACTGATATTAAAGAAAAAAAAAGATTGATATTATTTTCTTGTTCATTTATTTATTTTTTAAATAAGATATAATAAATCTTAAATTAATTTTAAAAACCAATTATTGTATATTTAATACAAGTAATGGAAATATTATAAAAATAAAAAAGAATATTAATTTTATTTTTAACAATCAAATGTCTGGCTACCCATAAATAGGGTTATTTGATAGCCATACAATTAATTTGGATAGCCATTCAATAATTTGGATTCTCTTTTTAATGATGTTCATCTTATTTAATAAATACTTTAAGGATGGACTTCTATTTTCAGTTAACTTATGGAGATTAGCATTGAAACACATTAACAAAATTAATCCAATGTAATGTTCTATAATTTAAAAATAAAATGCATTACTTTTATAATTGCTGATTTAATTACAAAAAGGATCCAGATTTTCTTAATCAAAAGACTAGATTAATTTTTCACCAATCAGACCTACAAATACTGAATCATACGAAATTATAAAACTTTTAATTTTTTCAAGTATCTTTAATAATCCTAAAAAGGTATATCAAACTGAGAAGTAATAAAATTTCAATTATGCAGTAAAACACATGTGAAAATAATCTACCGAATCGCTTAAAAAATATTAGATTTAATAAAGAAAATAAATTAAACTAATATCCTATTAATAAATTAAGGTTTCAACTCAAAGAGCTAAGAGTTCTAGTGAATAAAATTGTAAAAAATAGTTAAGCAAACTTTGTTTAGACATTCAATTATTTGATAAACAATATGAAACTAGTTAAGAATTAATTTGGAAGAATCAAAAAAAAAAAGGAAAATTTTATTATATTTGTTAAATTATGGTTTAAAAATTTGTAGCTATTTCTTGGAGATTAAAGATAGTTAAGTATTTTTAAGAATAAAAAGATTGTATTCCATAATTATTACTTATTGACAATATTAAATTTGTATTAGGAGTTCAAAATTTGACAATGTTTAAAATTAATTTTTGATTTTCAATTTGAAAATTACATATACTCCGAGAATCATAATAAAGATTAACTTAATTTATTTAAATCTTTTAAAGCCAATGATGAATAATTTTCAAATCAGGAGATATTTATTTTGTCAATATTTTATAGATGAATTAAAAGCAATTGAGAATAGTACTTATTTAAATAATAATTTGCAAACTTATGTATTT